ATATTATAAAAAGAAATGTATGTCGAAATTAAATAAAAAAGACGCTGAGCTTTAATGATTAAGGTAATATATAAAAAATTATATTGTATAAAACGCATGTATCGTAATAAGAAATGTATAAGAAAATAAATTTTCCAGTTGCTGAAGAAGTCCCAATAAAGGGACGAAACGTCCAACTCAATTAAATTAAGTTCTACTTCTTTTCATGTCCAAGTTCCCTATGAAATTTTATCATTAAAATTTATATCTAAATAATTGCAAGGTATAATGGTTATCTGTTATGAAAATAATATACTATACTATAATATATATATACATAGTAAATAAATAAATATACGCATAAGTTAATACCAAAATTAAATCCTCCGTCTCCACGTTTTTTCATCTCTTGATCCGTAGACGCTATATAATTTCCTTTTACTATCCATTGTTTTSGGAGATTTTCTTCTTTCTCTCTTTTAATCAAGGGTCTAACCTTGATGGCAACTTTAATACTATCAGACATTTTATTAGTTTTTATTTAAKATCTCTTTACACTTTTACACTTGTTATTTAATAATCCATGTCTTGATAGTACTCCACTTAAAACAAAYTGATAAACATCTTCCAAATCACTTGGTATTTATAGACGCTTTAAACAACGGTTTGAAATTAATTCAAATTCAAATTCAAATACTTTTTGGTGGCGTTCTCAAATGATACAAACGCGCACGTGCTTTAACTAACAAACGTTTCATAAATTTACGCGCAAGATCATACCGATAAGATTACTTCCCCAAACTTAAAGCTAACGTAATATTTAAACCTTTTTTATCCATATTATGCCGTATATTATTATTTTATAAATTACATTACAGCAATGACAAAATATTTAAATATAAAATTTCAAAAATCTGAATCACACACCACAACCACTTTTGTTTAATATGCATGAAGCGACCATGCAGCTAGCTTCACTATGAGGTTGCCAGATGGCGCATCGGATCGATTTTAAAAATAAACATTTTTTTATAACTATACGACTAATCTAGTATTTACATTTTCGAAGTGTCCACTTCCGGTTCGCAGTACTGCCTTTTTCATCAAAATGGCTCCAAAACCTAAACCTACGGAAAAAACAGGTAAATTTAAAATTACACTTTTATCATCTAATGGAATTGATTTAATAATGGCAAATAAAATTGAAATTATTACGAATAAATAAATATGAATATAATGTCAAGTGAATGAATTTTTAATGAAGTATAGACATTCGTTATTGTAGATAACATAACCATGTGACGCCGTCACACGTGTCTATTTATGTAGTTGTTCTAAATGATTTTTTTTATTTGTATAAAGTTATTCTTCTCTCTGTAGTAACAATGAATCGGTTATTAAAAATATGAAAAAATAATATTTTACGTAAAGCGCTAAAGAGATCACATTAGTATAACCTATAAAAGACAAAAGCAGATGCAACGTTGGTTATTGACAAAAACATTTACCAGTTCTTATTGTTGTATTTCTTTTGGTTATTTTTCCTTTTTAGCGAGCAAGACTTCTGAAAAGAAATCAGAAAAGAAAACTGAGAAGAAACCGGCGTCAATTGCAGCTTCTTCCAAAGTAACAAAACCAGCATCGAAGCCTACCGCTGCAAAAAAAGCAGCTGGTACAAAACCTGCAAGTACTGCTAAACCTGCAGCAAAACCTGCAGCTAAGCCTGCACCAAAAGTAGCAGCCAAGCCTCTAATTTCAAAACCTAAAAAAAATGCACAAACAGCAAAGAAAACGCCTAAGGGAGGCAAGCCAGCAACACCTCTTAAAAAAGCYCTTAAGACTCAAAAAAAGGTACTTATACAATTTCAGTTTTTTATTTTTCTGACTTTGTTTTATGACATTGAAATGATGAGATATGCTGAAGGGAATCTCTTTGAATTACTATGATAAAAATATTAAAGGTAGACTGAATATTTATGAATTATATGTAACACATAAAAAAAATAAGTTCATAAATTAATTAAACGGCATAATTGTTTCTTCGCATAGATTCTGAAAGGTGTACATGGATCTAGAGTAAGAAAAATTAGGACTTCTGTTCATTTCCACCGGCCAAAGACATTTAGGCCTCCAAGAAATCCTAAGTATGCACGAAAATCTGTACCCAATAGAAGTCGGTGAGTACATTTGAATTTGATACACGTATATTCTTATGTATAATAACATGTAATATTATAGAGATGTATTTATTTCTTTTTTTCTTTTAGAATGGATGCATTTAACATCATCAAACTTCCTTTGACTACAGAAGCAGCGATGAAAAAGATAGAGGACAATAATACATTAGTTTTTATTGTGCATACGCGTGCTAGTAAGCATCATATCAAAGCTTCTATTAAAAAGCTTTACAAAGTTGATGTGGCTAAAGTGAATACACTTATAAGACCAGATGGGAAAAAGAAGGCGTATGTGCGTTTAACGCGTGATTATGATGCTCTCGATGTTGCCAACAAGATTGGCATCATATAAATGCTGTTCCAATAATTATAAAATAAAATAAAGTATCTGTACATATTGCATATATATGTATTTCTTTTAAAGTTTTGTACTTATAAAATTAAGGGGTTATATAATTTTTTTTTATGACATATATGTGCATGTTTACACTAAAGCGATAACCATTATTTCCTCATTTTTTATCTTTGATTCTTTCTCTTCTTATCCTCTTTTCTTTTCTCGTAGTGTTAGCACCTTGACATTGGAAGCTTCCTAATTTTGTAGAGACAGACTGAGAAGCAACATTCTCTACTGTGAGTTTAATAGTGTGGGACATTTCGATAAATGCTAACCTTTCCAATCACTCAATCAATTGCAGAGGAATAGCTTGCTTCGGAGCCTTCCTGATGTCTCTGCGTTTTTTTGCTGGAAAAGTTTTTCCCACCAGAGGGTAATGACCCATGCCAATGCTGTCTTGGTTATAATAAACAAAGTTCAACTTGTGTCCTTGGAATAAAATGTAAACAAATTTCAAGGCAGTCGACTAAGAATTAATAATACTTTCTAAAGTCATCTATGAAAATAAACAGAAGCCGTTCGAGAGAAATATATTGTTTATATATATTATATATATAAAATATACATACACATACATATCTGCACTGTAAATACTTTCTAGTATGAAGAGAAAGTATAACACATATCACGTCTATAGCTACAATATTTGTTCATATCGAGGCTAAAGAAAATAGTGAAATTTGACAAATTAATATTTACAAAAGTAATAAAACTCGATAATCTGTATAGAATTTACATTTTATATTTTACTGTATGTGATTTATTTTAAACAATGTTCTAATAAGAAGACTTCTGAAGAGTTATAGCTTTCCTCTGTTGTATACTGTTATGAAAAACTTATTGCTCAACGATTCTTTTAACTCATGTTTTGGAAATGAGCTCTTTAGATGATATTACCTTTCATGATTGAGTAACAGTTTTGAAAATTAATTCATTATGTAAGCGTAAATATACAAAATTACATATCTACTACATATGTATAAAGTATTTGTTTGAAAAATTTTTTTTTACAGATTATAATTGAATAGATTTCCAAACACCATTCTAGGCTATTTTGATCTATGTAACATAAATTAGATGATTAAAAATATATTTTTTAAGAATATGGAGATAAACTTAAACTACTACGTCTTGCGTACAATTTTTAAACTATTAAATGGATTAGACCTACACAATGCTTCTCAGGTTTCCAGGTATAATTACGATTATTATTCATAATAAAGTTATATTTTATCGAAATAATGTTTTTGTAATTTTATAATGGTATTATAACGAAATATATTCATCCTTTCGTTATTAACGATCTATATACAAGTTGTCCATGCAAAGGCCCGTATGTACAAGCAAATATTCGCACCAAAACATGCAACATGAAAGACTTAATAGTACAGAGTACTTATTTACTGTATATTAAATGAGCTTTCGTATGACAATTCTGTTCTCCTAAAAAGAATTTGGCACAAATAAAATGATTTCTTTTTTGATTACAGATCTTGGTTGGAAGCAGCCAATGATGAAAAAAAAGAAAGAGGTCCCATGTATATTATAAAAAGAAGAAAAAAGACAACGCCTCATTACAATTCGGAACAAGTTAAAAAAGAAATCATTGAATGTTGCCAAGTAAAACCTTCTTTAATTATGCTTTTATATGTCCCATACAGTAATGCAATATTACGAGGTATGTTTGACGCCACACATACATTGATTTTAATAATGTTGTTTTTTTAATATATTTAAATTCATTTCAAGGATGCTATTGCAATTTTCTGCCAGTTGAGTGTTACTTACTATCATTGGAATATAATTCAACAATAAGAAATATGATTAGACCAAAGAAAACTGTTGCAAGCATGCATTTTCCTGATGTACCAAACATACAAATCTCTGCGTTAACATTAAAAAAAAATTTGAAGAGGCCAGAAATATATTGCGAGGAACTTAAATTATTTTTCGAAAATCCTTTAAAAAATTCTGAAAAGCTAAAAACTGTATTTGAAGAATTTTTTACTTACGATTCTTCTATGACAAGTTGTCTGATTTTATTGTGCAATAATATTAATAATGTAATAGCAGTAGATTTAGTGAAATCTTTAAAAGACTGGTAATGCATTATATGTTTTACATATCTTTTAATTCAAAGAATTATTCATTTTTATTCGTAAATATTTACATCTTTGTTTTTTATTTAGGTTTCCAAATAAAAATTTTCCTTTGTGGGGTGGGATGGTGGACAGAATTTCAATTTGTACTTATGTACACAACTCCCGTGTATGTAAAGTCCACGCGGATTCTGTTGCTATTTTAATAGGTGGTCCAGAGATGAAAATATGGTCTGTGATTCTTGATCAATTCTGTGAAACTAAAAAGGTGATCGAAAATAAGTTAAAAACCTTTAAAGAAAGTATAACATTAAGAAAACACTCAATAGGTTTTATTTTTTCTTCTCAATTTCGTGAGAATTATTTGTTAGCATTAGATTCATCTATGTATCATCATTATTTTCCAAGTGTACCCTTAGTTAATTGTTTTGGTCATAAATCATTGGGAGGAAGTTTCGATGGTAAGTAAGGTATCCATAAAAACAAAAATGAATATTTCCTTTATTATGTGTTAGAAAAATTTATTTTTTTGTATGATTGTGTGTGTTTCAGAAGCATATAAAAGAATATCAAATAATTCGAGTCAAATTGGAGACGCAACTTTAATGATATTAACATATAATTAAATAATTTATCATACGTTCAACATGTTGAAATGGATAAGGAGCATTTTGCCATGTAAGACGCTGCCTATTTTGTTTGGAACTTTATCTATTGCAAGACGCAGCAATATTTACTACGTTTGTTATGAAATCCACCTAAGAATATTCGACATATATTGTTCCAATACTAGTGTATTGTCTCCTTCATATAAACAATCGTAATTTCTATCTTTGCTAGTTTCTGACTTACATCTAATTTTAACATTTTAAATTCTTCTAAGAGTTTTAGGAGAACAAATACATTTCTAGACTAGTTATCGTCTCCTTTATCATTAGAGCTTTCATAATGACTAAAATAATCTTAATGAGACTTAATAATCTCAATTAGATTATCTGCAAACATTTTTCTGCCACTTTCTATGTCAACAATGTAAACAAATTGTAAAATAATTTTATAAGAAAACGCAAATAAATGTCACGTTAACTGATAATAATCGATATTATTATTATTACAGAAAAAAGAACATATAAAAAACTGGAAACTAAAAGAAAATGAACGAATACAAATCCAATTGCGGCTGTCTGTAATATTCGAAATGCTCATAAAATATTATTTACAGTAAACAAAACCTAACTATTAAAATCAAATAATATAGAAGTACATAAAAGCTCACAAGTCCCTTTTTTTATCTACTAAATTTTAGTTACTAGAATTTAGATAGTTTAGTATTCTTTGGTCATAGTATTATTTTACAGTATTAAAATTAAATTATATTATCTATAATTTTTATTCTTTAAAAGTTTTCATTTGTTTTATTGTTTATTTCGAGTTAATCGACTAACGTAGTTTATATATTTTCGAGACTCTCATTTCCGGTTAGTAAAATAGTTCTCTTCAATCAAGATGGCCCCCAAACCGAAACCTACGGAGAAAAGTAAGTTTTCAAGTTTTATATATATTATAATTTTGTGTATAAATTATATCCAATAAATATAAAATATAATGTAAATTAGTACAAGTAAGAAAATTCGCTATTACTATCGATTAAACCGCTATAAGTGAATGAATGTTTACTTGAGCATAAACCCTCATTATAGGAGGTAACAACCATGTGGTCTATCAAGCATATGTTTTTTATTTTATATATACTGGTTGTACATACTACATTGTTCTTATTTTAGAAAATTTTTAATGAATTGATTGTTAAAAGTATACAAACAATATTCTACGTGATATATTAAGAAGATTGTTAATATAACCTCTTAGTTGTGCTTTATAAATGATATTATATATTAAAACACTTTTCTCTTGCTTACAAATTTTTAGCAAGCAAGGCTTCTGAAAAGAAATCAGAAAAGAAAACTGAGAAGAAACCGGCGTCAATTGCAGCTTCTTCCAAAGTAACAAAACCAGCATCGAAGCCTACCGCTGCAAAAAAAGCAGCTGGTACAAAACCTGCAAGTACTGCTAAACCTGCAGCAAAACCTGCAGCTAAGCCTGCACCAAAAGTAGCAGCCAAGCCTCTAATTTCAAAACCTAAAAAAAATGCACAAACAGCAAAGAAAACGCCTAAGGGAGGCAAGCCAGCAACACCTCTTAAAAAAGCCCTTAAGACTCAAAAAAAGGTACTTATACAATTTCAGTTTTTTATTTTTCTGACTTTGTTTTATGACATTGAAATGATGAGATATGCTGAAGGGAATCTCTTTGAATTACTATGATAAAAATATTAAAGGTAGACTGAATATTTATGAATTATATGTAACACATAAAAAAAATAAGTTCATAAATTAATTAAACGGCATAATTGTTTCTTCGCATAGATTCTGAAAGGTGTACATGGATCTAGAGTAAGAAAAATTAGGACTTCTGTTCATTTCCACCGGCCAAAGACATTTAGGCCTCCAAGAAATCCTAAGTATGCACGAAAATCTGTACCCAATAGAAGTCGGTGAGTACATTTGAATTTGATACACGTATATTCTTATGTATAATAACATGTAATATTATAGAGATGTATTTATTTCTTTTTTTCTTTTAGAATGGATGCATTTAACATCATCAAATTTCCTTTGACTACAGAAGCAGCGATGAAAAAAATAGAGGACAATAATACATTAGTTTTTATTGTACATACGCGTGCAAATAAATATCATATCAAATCATCTATTAAAAAGCTTTACGAGGTCGATGTGGCAAAAGTGAATACACTTATTAGGCCAGACGGTAAAAAGAAGGTATATGTGCGTTTAACGCGTGATTATGATGCTCTCGATGTTGCCAATAAGATTGGCATTATATAAATACGTTTAATGAATAATTATAAAATATAAAAAATTGTCTGTATTGATAATAAATCTAATACAGTTCACGATTGTGTTTCGCGTTTTGTCCTGTTGCAGACTCCTAGTAATTTATAACAAAAATTGATCTGTGATCTAAATTACTCTTATATGTAATATAAAACATTTTTATGTATTTTTTTATATAAAAAAAGAAAAATTCCATATACAATACCATAAAAATATGTGTATTACATTTATACAGAATTAATTTCTTTTTATATGACAGTGAGCTAATTAAAATAATTTAAAAATTTTTTTTATAATATAAGCAATTGTAATATAAAATAAGTCATAAAATCCGTTCTTTAAATTATTTGCCTTAGTACACTGTCATTATTACCGGCACTTATATGCTTATTCTATGTTTTTTATCCACGAACGTGGTATTTTTAAAATTTGCCGCGCACGAAATTATCGTATCAAAATGGCCGTCATACTTCTATTTCCGTTTCGAACTAAAATTATGTTAGACCGTCTACAATTCTTGTAGTCCAATCCAAATAATTATCACAACATTAGCACACATAAATAATGGAGATATAATTCAAATCTTTGCTTTCCAATATGACTGGAATTTTATTTGGTCTATAAACAAAGTATATATAAGAGAATATAAAAATTAATGTTATAAGTGACACGTGTCATCACAATTTGGCATATTTAAACGTCATTCCACATGGAAGGAACATGACATACTTCACATCACAACAAATTATTTAAATCGTTGTAATTATATGATAAAGGCCTAGATAAACGTTAATGTTTCTTTTTCTTTTATCATATATATATATATATATATATATATTATTGAACGTATGTATGTACAAATTTAAAAATGCAGTGGCCGTCAATAAGTCTTATACTTTCTGAAGTGTTTTTAGCATATATTGTTTATTCAATATATACATTATCTTTATTATTTGTGGTTCCTTCGTGTGAAAAAGGAAAACCATGCCTAGAGTCTTATTTATACAAAAATCCACAATTCCAATTACATATTTATAGTTCCGTAACAGAGAGACCAATAGAAAGAGAAGTTCATTTTTTGTATACGCTGCAAGACTTTAATTATACTCAAACGCAAAACATGTAAGCTTTATTATACATATCTATTATATGATATTTATAATTAGATTTCTTTCATATTGTTAATCAAATTTACAAACATACTAGAAAGATTATTTTAAGTCTTTAACGTAATCCTGGACATATATTTATATATAAGTTACTCGATTACACCGATGGTATACGTATGCCTTCAATGTTATCGTTCATCCACAAAGAATTAACTATAATATTATAATATACATTTACATAATTCATGTAGTATTAATTCTAGCTTTACCGATCAAATTAACATTTAATTATTAACATTGACAAGTAATCATTTTTCTTTCTAGTTCTCTTTCCATAGATCTTCCTCGAAAAACTAAACAAAATGGAACGCTGTTTCTACATGTGATAATGGTGCCTATTTTCCATAAACAAGTAAAATCCTTTAAAGAATTGCAAAAGGTATAAAGATATATAAACGTCGTTATCGAATATATTATACTGTATATAAATATACTTTTTCTTTTTCTTTTTCTTTTTTATAGGATTTACTTATGGCATATACTACTATAAAACTAACACAATATTCAGTACCTGAAGCAGAAGTTTTTAATTTATTAGGAGAACGAGATGTAAGTGAAAGAACAAAAAAAAAATATGTGCACCCTGTAACGCATATTAAAAGCAAAGTAACATTTACAATAATGACAGAGGATATTAAATTTCCAACAGATGGTGTACCCATGGAACTCATACATGATTTAAGGTATAATTTATTGAATCTTATATATGTAGACTTTTCTAATAAATCTTATCAAATAATTTGTTTCAACTAATTTATTTTAATTGTAACATGTAATATGATCGTTTAAAATTGTATAAAACACAATATTGACCAAATTGCAAGCATAACTTTTTACAATAAAGTTATGATAACCATTTGTCTAATATTGTATTATTTTATTATATTAAATATCTTTATAAAATTTTATTTGTATTACATATTTATCACACATATTATTATACACAGGATAATAAATGGTAATAAATTTTTACCAATTATTAACTATGACTTTTTACAAACTCGTCATCGTGATCTTTTACAAATATCACCGCAGAATAAAACTGTTAATGTTTTTCTTATGTATACTCCAATAACTCTTGGAAAGTTAAGATTGATATTGCATGTTGAAGCTGCTATGCAGAGTTTGAAAAATCTTGGATTTTCAGCCAAAGATATAGATGAAGTTAAAGGAATTTTTGCAGATACTAACATATACTTATTAGGAAGTACTTTCTTCATTGCAGCCGTTCATGTAAGAATATAATAAAATATTATAAATATATGCAACACTATTTATAATATATTAAACACTATGCTGGTTCCTATGAACCATCCTTAGACCTGTGTTAATTGAAATAATTTATTTATAGCTGCTATTTGATTTTCTCGCTTTCAAAAATGATGTAAGTTTTTGGAGAAGAAAGAATAATCTTGCTGGACTTAGCAAATGGACAGTGATATGGAGAGCTTTCAGTCAGACAATCATTTTTTTCTATTTGTTAGAAGAAAATTCATCTTTACTTGTGCTCATCCCAACTGGAATAGGCACCATTATAGAGGTACATAGTATAATTTCTATAAAACAGTAGTGTCCATAAGTTATATCATGTAATAATTTAAATGAATCAACTATAATTAACAACTGGTTTTTTATTAATATATTCTATTACAGTAGCGTACCAATTGATTATATACAAGAAATTGTATAATATTCTTTTTTATGAATAATTAATAAAAATGAGTCATGGTTAGGAATGCATTTGAGAATTAGCTTTATAGCCAAATATACTGGACACTGTTATTTTAAAACAATGAAATAAACATTTCAGCTGTACTAATAATATTTCTTAACAGTTATGGAAATTAAAAAAAATATTCAGAGTAGAAGTGATCAGTCATAATCGTATTTTTCCAAGAATTCATTTTAATGAAAATAAAATCAATGCAGCTGAAGCGAAAACAAGAGTATTTGATGCTGAAAGTATGCGCTATCTAAGCTATTTATTATATCCACTTGTTATTGGTGCTGCACTTTATTCGCTACTTTATCAACATCATAAAAGGTAAGAAAATGTATTATTGAAGTTAATGTTGATTTTATTGAAACCTATCTAATATTCATGATTTTAATAAATATAAATTTTTGTATTTAAACGTATTATCAAATGTATTTAATGTTATTATAGTTGGTACTCTTGGACGATACATTCTCTGGTGAATGGCGTCTACGCATTTGGATTTTTATTCATGCTTCCACAACTTTTCATTAATTATAAATTAAAATCTGTAGCTCACTTGCCGTGGAGAGCTTTCATGTACAAAGCATTTAATACTTTCATCGATGATATATTTGCTTTTATTATTACAATGCCAACTGCTCATAGAATAGCATGCTTCAGAGATGATGCAGTTTTTCTTATTTATCTTTATCAGAGATGGTAAGATAACTTTTCTATTATCCACCCCCTCCCCTCTGTAGTGTTTGATAAATGTATGTTAATTATTGTTTTGATATTAATGTTAATTTATAAGAATAATATTTTCCAGGTTGTATCCCGTTGATAAATCGCGCACAGACGCTGAAGTTATAACAGAAGAATCTGTAAACGTCTATAGTTCAACGAAAAAGATTAATTAAAAAACGATCATCATATATATTCTATCAATCAATCAATCAGTCAATCAGACAAATATTCGGACACTAGTATAACTTCGAACATTGTGCTTTATATATTAAGTAAATATATAATAAACAGAAAAAAGGTTTAATGTTGTTATATTGCAGTTTCTTGTTAACAAAAATACGGAACATTTTTTATTTTCTACATATAATTGTTGAAATAATTACAAAGATATCAAATTTCAGCTAATTCTGAAGTCTAACAAATATTTGGACGCTAGGCATATTTCAGGAGATTTTAATTCCTAGAAAATGAAACAAATAATGTTTCTGAACGCACACTGCTGAAAAAACGTTCCGAAAATTTTGTACAGAAAATGTATTACACAAATCGTCTGTTCATCCGGTACACATGCATTTCATCATGTTTCACCGTCATAGGTAGTAATATATTATTTTCAGTATCGAAATTCAAAAAAATACAATAAAAGTATCTAATACATAAACTTGTATTGATTTTGGTGAGTAAGTAGGTAGAAAAAATTGTAAATAAAGAAAATGTAATGCAAATAAAGCGAGGATAATGATAAACAAGCATAGAAAACATTAAATTAGGTCTAAACATCTGATAAGGTAAAGAAATCTAAAATTTATTTAAAAAAATTTTTTTTTTAATTTATGTATAGAAACAAAAATAACAAATAAAAGCAAGAAACGGAATTTTAAAGCAATATATGAAAAAAAAAAAGAACAGAAAGAAAAAATCATTAAAAAAGCAACATTTAATAAAGGGGAAGAAATTATATATACGTAATTTATAATATATTTTTATTATAAATAAAAAAATGTTTAATCAAATAAGTTTTATGTATTATATTACATGAATTATCTACATGCCGTTAGTTCTTTAAAATAATCGAAACTATAATTATCTTGTAAATAATATTATAAATCTTTCTCTAAATGTATATTGTTATATACTATTATGTACTTATATAAAAAAAAGTAATATTATTATTCATACCTTTAGCAACTCTTTGATGTTTTTACGATAATAAAATCACTACGTATTCACAGCCATTATAACAAATTGATGGTAAATATAATTGCTTGCATCGAAAGAGTTAATCTATGAAAAAATTAAATCATTGACATTTTTGAAAATATAGAAATGAAATATTTGTTGTTGGTTATATCAATAATAACTTTGATAAAAATTACGTGTATATTCATACACGGTTTATTAAAAATATAGATCTTTTTATGGATACAATAACTTTACAAAAACAACAAAAGAAAAGTATTTGTTCACCTGTACTCTTTTTACTACTCTTTCTTTAATATCTTAAAAGTAGCCCCTAAACATAAATGATCACTTCCAACAGCAAAGTTAGGTATCGTAGGTAAATTTGTACACTTTTCAATAGTTGGCAAGGTGTATATATCTACTGGTTCAAGATCGCTATAGAATATGTAATCAACTGTAATCCATTTCCCTTGATTAGTTGTTACTTCCTGATTTCCATGCGCGTCTGCATGTTTATAGACACTACGCAAATTAAAAGGATGTGTTAATTTGCCAGATGAAAATTTGATACAATTATTTTGTGTTATTTCAATGATTTGCGGTTCATTTTTCCTTGTATCAAATTCAGTTTGATTAAATACAGCTATGCCATATGATGCATCTTGTTTATCGTCATATTTAGTGTCCTTTGTCTATAACAATATATATATCAGGATTCTCTAGTTAAATTTTATATACAATTTATAATAAGAAAAAAAAAAACAGTTATAATTTGTGAATTTAATGTGTATTATACATGTATACACATGTATTAAAGTTTAAAGGAAAACTGTTAATAGTTTATAATTTTCATTTAAAACACAATTTTAAAATATTTAAAAATATAAATATCTTTCCATTATTTCCTTAGATATTATAATTATTTAAATAATGTACCTTTGTATCTTCAGTAATATTTTCTCTTAATCTTTTTATTAACAGATGAAAATATTGACAATTATCCGTAATACGTAATCGTGGAGGTATTAATATGTAAGATAAAGCACGAAAATCAGTAGGTTCCAGATTTTGCCCTTTACCGTAATACTTAAAAGATCCTTCGGTTATAAACTTATAAACACCCGTATAAGGCTTTAAATTAAAATCGCCCGAAAAAATAATTGGTAGATACTTTGGGCCCGATCTGTACCACAATAAGCAAATATTTATAATATAAGAAGAAACTATAGATTATATTAGATTAGTAGTTATCGTTGGATATATTTCTTACGGTGTATTCTCAACAAATGCAATTCTTTCAATTTCTGTAAACAGCAGTTGAGTTTGCGCTAATCTGATATCATTTCGTCTTGGATTGAAGAGCAAATGGGTAGTAGCTATAACGATCTGTGTATTTGGACTATTACGAAGCGATAGTTTAGCAACTATGCCAACGTTGTCTCTGTTAAGCAGTTCTATGCCTGGTTGATAATACTCTACTTTCACATAATCTATCAAATTGAATTGATCAGAATGGTACAATAATAGTAAACCATCCCTTTTGTCATTAGTCCGTTTTTTGTAAAGATATTTGTAACCAAGTTCTTTAAAAGGTTTCAAAAATTCGTTTAAATGATCTTCTTGCATTTCTTGGAGACATATAATCTATGCAACATATAGTGAAAATATTTACATAGAAAAATATAAACACAAAAGTTTGGTATATTTTGTGCTTGACTTACATCAGCATGCGCCCCAAGTATTTCTTGTAATAAAAGGGGCTTTCTTACTTCCCAAGATAATGCTTCCCTATTATGTTGCTTATATAGATACATATTATCTTCCAAAAGATTTTGTGCGAGAATATTGAAAGACAATAATCTGAACACAAATGCATCGTCTCCATCTACTTGTACTTTCCCTAAACTCAGGTCAGAATTAAAACAATTATAAAATAACATCGATAATAAGATAAAAAAAACCTAGAGTAAACCCTTACTAATTTAATTTTTGCAAATTTACAATATTATATGGGAAAAAAGTCCAATTACATAAATAATCAAATATTATGAATTATATTTAAACTAAAGAGAGCTCTCTCTCTTACCTTGAAATATAAAGTTGTAAAGATTATTATAAATTTGCATACTTGCAGTTTGTCAATAAATTATATATAGAAATAAATCTCTCGTTTCTAAAGTTAATATAAACGTTGTATAAGGCGAGTCAGTCAGTGTTTATATTTCAAATCTTATTTTGAAGAAGAACTATAATAGCAGAATAGAGTGATTCTTTTCAAAGTATTTCTCTTTTAACACAACTTAATGTTATACTTAACAGTTTTTACTATCTTTCGAGTACCAAAGATCTTTTAGGTAGAGACATTGAATGACAACTCGCATATAAATAAAAGAACTTAAAAGTTAAAAAACATAAATATTGTATTATTGATTGTTGCACTTAAATTATATTAGTTAGGATTTACAATATTCAATAAAATATTATTTCTTACCTTTTCCCAATCTTGCCCACTTCCTTAACGCATTATAATTTTGCTGATCGGTAATACTACTTTGTTCTATAGACGAGCAAATGTCCAAATTATTCGCCATTGAATCGGTGTAACTGTTAGATATATTATATGGTATATCGCAGGTCATTAAATTACTATTTGTAACAAAAGACGTATCCAAAAATGGTTCTATGATATTTTTATTAAGTTCTTGATATGCCATTGGATTAACCATTGACTCAATTATATTTGAATACGTTGAAAATAATGTCTCTGGAAATGATGCACTTTTCCAATGATATCCAAAAAGTTTGTGTTGTTGCAGGGGAAACTCGAGCATGTGAAGGATCTAAAAAAGACCATTATCAGTTACACTAGCACATAGACATAAAGAACAGAATTACCAACAATAAAGAATTGTAATGTAAATCATATCTGCATCAACTTTTTCCTTTACTAAGATCAAAAAGAATAAAAAGAAATCTTCTACAAAGAAAGATATAAGAAACTGCTAACCTTAACCCTTGTCTAATGTCAAATTCTTACATAATATGATAATCAAAAAGATTTACTCGTATCAGTCAAAATAATCGAACTTACCTTTTGTTCCTGACGCAACAGGGCGATGTGAATATTACGACTAAAGTTTGTAATAGAAGTTGTAGTTAGTAATCTTGTTGCGTTCATTTATTCGAATGAATTTTATTATTTTAACACAATATAATTTATTCTTTGATAAAACATAACCATAAATTAATCATTTTTATTTATTATTTTATTCCGTGAATGTGAATCGTTTAAATCATCAATTCGATTAACCTTCAGATTCGATCATTTCAATACGTTGCACGTGACTTTCAAGTTTTCATTTTTTTACAGTTCCGCAATTTCGGACAAAATTAATTCGGAAACTAATTCTGTGTTTTAATGTCAATAGTATCAAACATAAAGGAGAAAGTATAACAGTAATGAAAATTGTCTAGACGTAATCGCCATTTAAAAAATACAACAAAACGTTTTTATAATACGATAAAATAAAAAAACATATGCATATGCATATTATATAAATTATTTGGGAACATAATTCTTCTATAACTATACGATTATATTATATCACATTAAGATCATATAATAATATACAACGAGATTAAATTTACTTAAAAGTAAATATATAACACTTGCACTTTGTTTTCGTAAGATTTACAGTAATCTATACCATGCTGCTTCGCTTGACTTTTTTCATTATTTTTATTATTTTTACTTTTTCGATTATTTCGATCATATCGATGTATCTCGGTATATCGATATATCGATATATCGATATTATCGATTCCAAATCGTCTACTGTACTGACATCTAGTGTTAGTTTATATTCTCGCGTGTTGACAGTTCATTATGTTTTAATGAATAATTTCAAAATAAAGAATTGTATATAATTAAATAGGAAAAATGTCGCTTGCTGACGAGTTGTTAGCAGATTTAGAAGAAAATGATGATTCCAATCGAATGGTAGAAGAACCAGAACCAGATTTTATTCCACCAAATATTTCAAAACCTATTGAAGAAGGTTGCTTTTTATTTCTCATTGTACATATTATTGTTTATTTTTTTCTTTTTATTTTCCTTATATTTTTATTACAGAAGTAAAAGTTGCTTCAGTGAGAGAATTAGCAAAGCTTCGCGATTCTGAAGAGTTGAAGATGATCATGTTTGAAATAGAAAAATACAGTAAAGTACCTAAGAAATCAGCAGATATCATAGGCCCTGTTGAATCTGATCCAGAATATCAATTGATCGTCGAAGCCAACAATATGGCAGTTGAAATAGACAATGAAATAGGTAATTCGTTTGTTTAAATGGATAGTGTCTGCAAATTGATCGTACTGATCAATTTTCTCATATATTTATCATTATAAATACATCTATTTTAATGTATCATATAGCTACAATCCATCGGTTTACAAGAGACAAGTACTCAAAAAGATTTCCAGAACTTGAGTCATTAGTAGTAGGACCGTTGGAATATGTTATGACTGTACGAGAACTTGGAAATGATCTTGATAAAGCAAAAAATAATGAAACTCTACAACAATTTCTTACGCAAGCTACTATAATGGTTGTTTCTGTTACAGCTTCTACAACGCAAGGGTAAATAATTTATATCATTTAAATATCTCTATTATGTTTGAGTTCTTATTATTGTAATCGTATTTTTCTGTTATTACATTTTATTACAGACAATTATTAAGTGAAGAAGAAAAAGAAGCTATATGCGAAGCCTGCGACATGGCAGTAGAATTAAATAATTGTAAATCCAAAATATTAGAATATGTAGAAAGTAGAATGACTTTTATAGCACCAAATCTTTCTGTAATAGTTGGAGCATCTACTGCTGCAAAATTAATGGGTACTTTTTTATATAAATATATTTCATAATTTTAAACATTACACCTACTTTTGAAAATCTAACATATTCATATATATATATATATATATATATATATATATATATACATGACCTATTAGGTGTTGCCGGAGGTTTGACAAAGCTGTCCAAAATGCCATCTTGTAACGTATTAGTCTTAGGATCCCAAAGAACAACGCTTTCTGGTTTTTCGCAAATGTCGAGTCTACCTCACACAGGATTTATATATTATTCTGAAATTGTCCAAGAAACACCACCTGTGAGTTTATACAAAATTATTATAGATAAATATTTCATATAGTAGTTATGTAATATCATTTCACAATTAAATTATTTTTAAGGATTTACGTAGAAAAGCAGCTAGGCTTGTCGCAGCAAAAGGTACATTAGCTGCTCGTGTAGATGCTTTTCACGAAAGTACAGATGGTCATGTTGGACAATTATTTCGCGATGAGATAGAAAAGAAATTAGATAAATTACAAGAACCACCTCCCGTCAAATTTATTAAACCTTTACCGAAACCAATCGACCCAAGTAGAAAGAAACGTGGTGGCAAACGCGTTAGAAAAATGAAGGAACGTTATGCAATTACAGAATTTAGAAAACACGCAAATAGGATGAATTTTGCAGATATAGAGAACGACGCTTATCAAGAAGACCTTGGATATTCAAGAGGTACGATTGGAAAAGCCGGAACAGGACGCATTAGATTGCCACAAATCGATGAAAAAACAAAAGTTCGAATTTCAAAGACTTTGCAAAAAAATTTACAAAAACAACAGCAATGGGGCGGAAGTACTACTGTTAAGAAACAAGTTTCAGGAACGGCTTCAAGTGTAGCATTTACACCATTGCAGGTAAATTTTTCTAAATATTTCAATGACTATAATTATTCATTTACTATAATCATTTATTATATTATATCATTTATCGTAGGGTTTGGAAATTGTTAATCCACAAGCCGCAGAGAAAAAAGTTAATGAAGCTAATGCCAAATACTTCTCCAATACGGCTGGTTTCTTAAAAGTAAAGAAACCTTAAACCGTAAATCTGTATTATATGTACATATTTATAAATATAGTTTTTATTATAATAACATTTAATTAAATGCTTAATAGTAAGTAAAATTCGTCGCAATGTATATTAATTAAAAGACCAGTTATTTTATTGGAAACCTTACTTATGTAAAAGCATAACGGTATTTATGACGTTTCCAAAGTTTTCATATACATATTGTCAAAGCATGGTTGTTCTATCTATTTCAGAACAACTATGAGAACTTTCTTCATTGCTAGATTCAAATTTACTACTAATTATTAAATTTATATTTTCGCGCCGAAATAATTTGCGATCTATGTGCTATCTATTGACTCTGCCGCGAATTAAAAGTGATTTAGTTTATAGAGTTGGTAGTCTTGTAAAAAACAGTGCTTAACTTATTTTTATGACATAATAATATTTTAGACAGATCGTATCGTACGTTCATATAAGAAAAATTAACGAAATGATAGAACATCGTGCTGTTACACCTATAATTGAAAAATTACGCGGATTTTTTCGAGGTGTAAGTAATTAATAGTGTTAGTTATAACATTTTTTTATATTTGCAGCTTCACACATACCGATTATTAATTTATTTTTTAAATTCTAAATTATGTATTGGAAACAAAAGTTTTAATTTGTGACACGTTATTATATATATTACAATTTATTTAGAATAATCAAATGTTAAATAGAATGAAATTAACAAAAATAAGTAGATTTACGTTATTACATATATTTTAATATTTTCTTAAGTAAAAAATTAATAAAAACAATTTTATCGATTACTTTAAATTTGCCTCGTTGACTTGTACGTGATACTAAATTTAACTTAATAATAATAAATATTAATAAATATATATATATATATATATATATACAACAGATGTTTATATTAATATTAAATATATTCTATCGTATAATGATTATTAATATTTTATAAACAGAGAGCAATTGTTACTCAATTACGATATGCAGATAAAATCGCTTCACGCACACAACCTCCACCTGAAATACCAGGTGGACCATATCATAAAACTTCAAAAGTATATTACTATAGTCGTGATGCTAGACGGATAGTTGAACCACCAATTGAAATTTTGATGGATAAACAAATTACAGCAGGGTAATGTTATTTCATTATATTTATCTTTTTTAAATTGTGCAAGTTTAATATTTCGTTGGCTTTCAACACTCTTTAAAGGATTTACAACAACTTCAGTTATATACGTAAACACATAATATGTCTTATATACATCAAAACTTATATTTACAGTACATTGATATATTTTAATCTATTTTATTAATATCATATCTTATATAGTTACCAAAAACAATAAATAAAATATCAAATATGTAATATGAACTAATACTTTAGAGAAGAGCAATATCATTATACATCAATCTCTGGATAATCGAGGACAAAATTATTAATTATGAGAACAAAAATAAATATTTTTATGATTTCAAGTGTTTAACTTTCTGCACGTATATGGAATCTGTTAATTAAGCATTTAATTCAAAACAAATGTTATTACGCTGTGCCTTAATTCCATTTTACATAAATTCATTTTATAAGAAATATTGACTTAAAATAATTTCATATTGTAACGCAAATATAAACGTTAATTCATAAATTTCAGAACCGAACAAAAAGCTGTTGGACAAAAACATGTTACCCCAGGAAAAAGATTCTATGGTGAATAACATATTAATTCAGATGTAGAAAAATAATTACTTATTTGGATATAAATAAATTATACTGTAGTTATATGAGTATCATTGTAAATATTACATAAATGAATTTGATTATTTGTATATTTATTCATTTATTTATTTATTGATATTGAGTCTAATTGATGCAAAAATAATGGCCAAGTTTTATTTATCTAACTTTTTTCAATGCCGACATCCAGCTTTGGTCAATCTAAAATATCTAGAAAATATTGTTGAATGGTACATTTAACTGCATATTTCATAAATGAGCCATACAAAGGTCAAAGCGTATGAAAAATTAATATTAAAAGTTACTACAGTGAATTGATTTAAATGATAATGATATTATTTAATTAAATACTCGACAATTAACAGCACGATTATAAGTAACGGAATGTTCTCGTATAATTCATATATTTTACTAGCAATTAAATAAAATATAATTGTTTTATAATTTACACAGAAATGAAAATAACAATGATATTGATACTTTTATACACTTTCCTAATTACTATATCACATTTAACAATATTATACATTTTATACTTAGCACATTTTTAAAGAAGGTGACACAACATAGATCGTCGACATAGATAAACAAAATTGACGTTTCATTTGTTATTTTGGTTAACGAATACTATATATCTTTTAATACCTGAATCCTTTTTTAAACAGTGTACAATATATATCATGGAAAGTATGTTAAATAATAATTTAATAAGGAATCTGATTTTGATAATACTGTATCATATCATAAGTTTTCGTACGGAAATTGAGGTAGCTGCTACGAATTACATTAAGCATAAAAGCAGCAGCTTCTCTATCGGTAGCTGTTGGGACAAATCTACCACGTAACAATTTTATTGTTTGACCTCGGAAACATGGTAAGCCTGTATCGAGCATAAGGGAAACGAGAGAAATGATTGCTTCTTGATAAGGCCTGCAAAATAATAATTCATATGTTATAATGATAAATTAATTAAATAAGTAATAATTTTTCGAATTATATATAAAAGTATTGTACCTCACAGCTAGAAAAGCTTGAACGCATAATTCCATGAACCAACGGAAAGGTGCAGCTTCCATTTTACCACCCATTACTAGTACCATTTCATCAGTAAGTTTGATATCAGGTTCAAATCCAAGATTTCCTCCAGGAGAACTTTCAAACATAAAGCCAAAATCTATATGTATTATATGACCTTGACTGTCTAACATAATATTTCCATTATGACGATCTTTTATTTGAAGAAGATACGTAATCACGCTATAAGCAGCCATCGATCTAACAAAGTTACGTCGAATTGTTTGAAATTCTTTTGTTGTTTCATCACCGCATCGTGTAATGAAATATTGATACATATCAATATCTGTTGTACGTCCTAATTGATCTCGTGATTTTGCATCTGGTACGCATTCAATAACACCGCACTGAAAAGAACAAGTTTATAAACTTATACTATTATTAAAGATTATAATAATACTATATAAAGTAAATCTTACCCCTGGTGCTGTTGCTACTACTCTATAAGGATACAAAAATAAATTCAGACCAACTTTCTGGAAAATATTCTTAAATATACTAATTACTTGTAATGCGAGCATATCTTGTCTTACATCATCGCCAACTTTAAAAATGGCAGCTTGCCATGTTTCTTTTCCTGTATCTTTCTTTCTCTCAACTTTTCCATTTGTTGACACCGCTAATGCAATATTTTCTAACTCATTAATACCATACCTTTGAACTTTGAAACGTGCAAGGAATGGCGCCTTAGCAGCACTGTAAATATTCAAACAAATATTTTATGGATATACATATGTATTATTCTGTAATGATCTTGTTAATAATATTTGATTTGATATTACCTTTGCATAGGTGTCCCACTTTTATAATCTATATCAATAACCATTGCTTCAGGATTAGATGGTAAGTAACAGCCAGGTTGTACTTTGATTTTTGATAAAGCTTCCAAACATGCTGCCTTACGTTCAGGACCTTTAGGATATGGCCTAATTTCACCAGATATATTAGTTATTTTTTCAAAGAATTCAAATTCTCGTTCATAAAATTGTTTAGCCGGACCGGATAATGCATTAAGAATATTTTTCACTAATGAATCCAAGACATCGAAAAGAACCGGATCTTTTATTTGTTTTTCTTCATCCATATACATATTTGTATGCATATTCCATATTAACTGATGCGCTACTACCTGTAATATATAAATCTTTCTTAATATTATATTTTTATAAACTTTAAATTACTTTTTTAAAGATTCTAGATAAATATGTTTACCTGAGAACGTTTAGCAATTTTTTTAATAAATTCAGTAACATAACCCATAGAATCATGGCGAACTGCCTGTACAAGTTGTGGTATATAAACAAGTACAGCATCAGCAGGATAACTGTCTAGTACACGTACTGCATATTGAGCAGAAATTGGATGATGTGGAAATTGACGAGAAAAGTAAGCTAACGCATGAATAGGTGAAACTCTTGCCCATGTTAGCATATAAACCAACTGCCAAAAAGAATGATATTTATAAATAGAACATATTTATGAAATGAAACTTATATTTTACTAAGCAATGCTTACTTCAGGTACATCATTAAGAAGAGTATCTGTAGTTACAAGATATTGTAAAGCTTCTGAAATATGCATGACTGCAACAGGTTTTTGTCTCACCAATCCACAAATTTCTTTAATAATTATTTCTGAATTCTTTAAACGTACTGGCATAAATACAGCGAGACTTGGACTAATCTCCCAAGCCAAACGCGTATATTCTCTCCATTTTTCATTCATACCTTTAGCACGCCATTCCGCAATATTAGCTTCTCCTGGAAGCATTAATTCTTGTCTACAACCTGGATTACGCCAAACCTACGATTATTTATGAAACAATTTAAAATAATTCAATTATTTAAATATAATACAAATAAACGATTTGAGTTAATAAAACAAATAATATTTGATACATTTTGACTAACCAGTAACATTTCTATTTCTACTGCTAACAATTCAAGAATTAAATTACGCTTTTTAATATAATCTTTTACAAAAACATTGGTATTGACAACACGTTTACTTCGATTACTGCGTTTGCTTAATGTATTGCTACTGGTCGACATTGGCATAGCATTAACCCACACACTGGTAGGTGTTTTTGAAAAATCGTTAGTAGCTGGACTTAATGTTGCAGTTATCGAATTGATAGTTTCACTCGTTACAAGTACACTTGCTGTGTATACTTGAGGTTGTATTGTTAAATCAAATTCATTTTCGTTTCCCGTCATCATTAAATATTTTTTATCACTGTGCATAACCTGTATAAATAATATAAAACAAAAGAAAATTAAAAATTATAACAATTTGTAATACATTTAACATTTATACACTATATTCTCACGTGCCTGCCAAAAACGTATAAGAGTAACTATATCTTCACGGAGCTGTTCGAGTTCTTGAGTTGGTACTTGTCTCTCTCGACAAAAATAATCTAAACAATTAGAATAAACACGTTCTCGCAGAACATTTTTACTTAGCGATCTGTAATAGAATTATTTCGTATTAAAATCTATCTCTTACTCTTTCTTCTTTAAATTAATGATTAACATATTAATACCTTGGTAAAATATCACCTTGAAGGAGAAGTAAACCACAAGATAACAATTTAAAACGGACTCCTACTGCAGCCACATGTCGGTTTATTGTAGGCTCTTCGCCAAATGCACCAACAGACATAGGTAATGATCGATGAAGCAACATCACTATCATATCCACCGTTTCTTGGCAACAGTATTTTGCAGTTTCAATTAATTCCATGATAAATGATATCCAAATATCATGAGGTTTTACATCAGGTGGATTAGGTTCTAACTTACAACCTTCATAAACTGCTAATGGACTGACTTCTTCTTCTTCAGCAGAAAATAATCCCATTTTCTTATCAACGGTGTATTGCCACGCGACAAGCATCTCTTGTAAAAAACGCAATTTAAGATCAGGCCGCACAGTAAGAATCCATTGCCAGCACTCAACAGCAGTATTCATTGCTGCGCTTGTAAATAATTCAACCTGCGAGCAGGCAACAGTTTGCAAAAGTCGTCTGTGTATTCCTGACAACATAGATAATCAAATATAATAATTGTTTATGATATAGCGTATCATGTATATATATTAAACAATTATACCTGGCATAGATATTAAAAGAGCAGTAGCACGCCAAAGAGCACCACGGTGTTGAAGATCATTAGATTCGCGACAAGCACGCCAAACAGCATCAATAAGTTGTTGTACAACTGCTACTCTAGATTCTTCTATTGACATTTTATTTGTCGGAAATTCTGAACGAGCAAGTGCAACCATACCTGCTACTTCACCGGCATGCCATAAACGCATTGCCATCATTGAAAAAAGCCATGAACTTGCACCTTTAGGACCACGAGGTCTTTTATCCAACGAATTTGTCTAGAATATATAGATGTTAAAAATCTTGAAAAATCAACACTTAACATTTATTAAAATAATAATATGATATAATAAATACGTACGCTTGATGGAAGAGCTGTTGGAACTGTTAAATCTACAAATTCCAGAACCGAATCCGTTGCTAAAGATAATCCAGAATGATGCCACATACCCGAAGATGGTATTTGATTTATATATTCTTGTACATGTGATCTTGTAGCTTGTGGAGCCCATTTCATTGCCTCTTGTACTATGCCTTTACATCTTGCCGTAAAGTCTTTTACAATAATCTACATTATACCATCTTATTATAGAATGCTTTTCCATTTTTTAATTGTATTTAAAGAATTATAATGATATTAATACCTCTCTTGCTTCAAGGCTATTCATAAGTTCAATGCTGTAGGGTGTATTAGGAATACGCAGACTAGGTGTTTCCTCATTTGGATCAATTTGTAGAGAAAATGACAAAATCTGTTAACATAAAAGTATAAATAATTTTTTAAATAACATTACTTATATATGCTGAAATGATAATCATTAATAATACTGTATGATAGATACCTGTAATATATCTAACATACTCCATAATACTTTACAATTCCATAATAAGTGTGGAAATGCATCTACTAAAGCACTTAGATATTTATCTGCCACGCGTCTAATTTGTTTATGCACATGATTAAAATATACTAATAAAAATTGAGCGTGATTTTCTAATTCTTTTTCTCGTTGTTCATCTTTTGGTTTGCGTTGCATAACATCTTTAAATCTAACAAAGACAGAGTCAGCGATGCAACATATACACTGCCACATACCACTTTTATCTTTTTGCAAATCAGTATCACATAAATATTCCATTATTGGATGTAAGCTAGGCTCTGGACTATTTGCAACCCTTAAAGTTTCCAACCAGTATACTGATAATAAATACGTACACTGAGCAAACTGTAATTTTGCTACATATGCTGATATATCATTGGACCTATTAGAAAAGTAAATCAAATACATCAAATTCGTATCGTATAAATATATAATCCAGGAATAAATAATGCATGATGTATATCTATAATATAAATTTACCGACTACTTAATTTTAATATTTGGCTACGTAATTCTTGAAGTTCAGTTAACGAAACACTATCATTGCGTACTGCCGAAGTATACTGTAGTTCTCTCATTTCAAGACGTGCACTAGTTGGTGAAATAAGATAAGGCGATTTAACAGCTATTTCTTTGACACCATCATACCACTCAATAGGCCATATTTTCGATTGTTGATCAGCAGCAAATCCCATTACAACGCAATAGACCCAGAAATCTTTAAAAAGCTTTAGAAGTCTTTTTTGTGGATGTCTAATTGGTGGTAAACGTCGCAATAATATGGCAATAACAGGAATTAGCACTCCTAAATTTCCAGCACTATTTGTTGTCTTCTGCAGTATTAATGAAACAGATATTATTATATATATGTAGTGTAATGTAGTTAAATGTAGCAATTAATGTTCATTACCGTTGTAGCAATACTATTTGGGACTTTATCGCTGGCACGTTTACCTTCTAGACCTAATTGAACAAAAAGTTCTAAAAGATGAAGAAGCAAGTCATTTAATTCTGTTTCGCCTTGTAAGTTAGCTGCTATGTTAGCAAGAGCATTTGTTACTGCCTTAGAGACATGACAATATTGTTTTCTGTCGTCGTTTGATGCATAAGTTGCAGTACTTGATCCCAATGACATTGAAAACATTTGCATTATTCCCTCATAAATCTATTTAAAAAAATAATATTTTAATTCAATCTTTTAATTATATATATATTTATAACATTAAATATTCCAAGAAAATCAATATAATTATATGTTACATAAATAAATTATATTAAAATCAAACCTGTGCTTCACATTTAGCAATAATCATGCAACCTAACTGATCCACGATCAAGAAGTCTAGATCGCTTGGTGAGCGACAAAAAAGTTGATGAAAAAATGGGAATATTGTACGCATTGTTTTTGGAGTATCCTTTAAAGCTACAGCTACGTGTCCTAACATAATAACAATATTTTTGGAGATTAGCTCGCTATTTGATTTTTCATCAGATTCTCTGAAACAAAACAATTACATATATGTGTGTATATATATATGTAAAATTGTATGGAAACGGATTAGAATAAAAATTATACCCATCGCATATGTCTGCTGCAAATAATCTATTAGATACACTAGCCACTAGTGCTGGTACGCAATCTGGATTAACAGAATGTGCTGCTTCCAAAGCTATACAAAGATTGCCAATTGCTGCATCACGCAATTTTTCAAAAGCAATTTGAACGGATGATGTTGTCTGTTTTGAATCTTGTACTTCTTTTCCTTGTACTTTGTATAATAAGTAATAACCAAAAAACAACCATAATAATTTAAAAAATTATTTAAATATTAGAAATTTAATATTATGTTCAAAATTTGATTTTCCTTACCGGTAACTTTAAAATGATGTTCTTTTATAGATCGCTCATTGAGTTGACGATATAATTTTAATAATATAGGTGAAGGGACAATAAGAAATTCACGAAGATAATATATAGAAGTACTTGCAATATTAGGAAACTTCTGAGCTAATTTTCCTAAACCTTCTAAGCATACTAATAGTAAGGGCATGTGTGCTAATACAAGTTTTGGACCATGATTGGAGTTAATTTTTTCAACAAGACGGCCACATAGACTATCAGCACCTGCAAACAGAAATAGTAATAATATCCTTTTAATAATTTTTCTCGTACCATATTTTATTATAAGTGTCTATTAGTCATTTCTATATGACATATTTTTAAGGATAGGTGTAAGATTAAATAAAAAATGTTTTTCTAAACATTATTCGAATGATTATTTAAATGATCATATGAAATGTAATACACAAAATGCTTTTAGTCAAGCATTATTTGATATTAATTTTTTTATATATGAACTTTAATAAAATATATCAAAAAATATTCTTTGATTGCAATGAAATATTATATTCGTGTATGCGAACACATAAAACAATTGATTATACTGCACACAGAAATAATAGGCAATAGGAGAACCGCAATATAGTATTGATGCGGCAGGGAATGTCAATATTAAACTGGTTTATGAAATGTTATCATGTATATAGAATAGTTAATAAAATAGTAACACAAAGGGGTAAACAAGAATACCCTCGCCGAGCAGCATAGAACTGATATCCGCGAACAGCGCGGATGTATCATACTCCCCGCTCACTGCAAAAACACCGTATAATAATGTTTTACTTACAATATTTTTTATAACTATATATATGCTTGATTATGTGGTAACAATTATACTTTTTTTTTTTTTAATGATTTAACTAATTGTAAGTTTCGTCAATAACTTATATATATATATATAAACTAGATGTAATTCTTATAATTTATAGTTTATAATTTGTTGACGTTATTTAAAATGTCAATAAAATAAGAAATAAGAAAATCTAAATGAATCATCATATCGCATACTTGCGATGAAAGTGATACAACTTGAAACAGTTTTTCAGTGTTTTTAAACATAATTAAACCTTGTAGATGAAGATTGTATGACTATTCTCTACCAGTCAAATAATAAAAATAAATGAAAACAATTTTTGTAATTAGTCAAAGAAATATTTTTGGAACGTTTTCAAAGTAATAATTGAAAAATTGCGTTTTTCGAGTTGTGTTACTTTTGTTACAAGTGTTCGATATGCGCTCATTATAAAATATAACATTAAGAAAAAAAAGATAGATCATTTTAAAATAAAGTCACATAAATAAAAAATATTAAAATTCATTAAAATTTACTTTAGAGCAAGAAGAAAGTGCAATAATATACATCAGAGACTTGCAAAGTTGGTTTATCTTCATTCTTTCTTTTATTTCTTCTTGGTCACGTGCTATGATTTTATTGTGTTTCGTCTACAAATAAAAGATTTGTATGTATATTGCGCTAATCTAAATTATAACATTTAAAAATACTGTAAGAGTAGAATACTCAAATGCGGACAATCAAATAATAATAGCGAGAGATTCATTTTTCTTTTGATAAAAAGATTGCATATCTCTGATATACACAAGCACATTACATTTGAATGCAAATTACTTTTTACAGTAAAGCTTTTAATATACATATGCTTTTTTTTAAAACATGCATTCATATGTGTACAAAATATTATAATACATTCCTGTTATTAGTATTTTGTAGTTACTATAAATTATAAATACATATGTTGGCGTTATTTTGCGAGACCCGTTTATTTGTGAAATGACTAGCTAAATCCTGAAATAACTATACTGTTTAAATATGAAAGAAGGTAGAATTACATACTTCAACTAGGTAATATATCCGTAGATTAGATCCGACAGAAAAGCACGACAAACATTGGTTTTTAAAGTACAGGAAGAGATAAGAACAGATAAGTATAAACATTGTTGTAAAAAGAATAGCAGACATTAAAGACGAATCAAATTTCAATCTCATACTTAAACTACTCGCCTCTTGTGAATTCATATATAATCTCGTTATTTCCTAAAACTACTAGTTTTTGTATATAATAAAATTCTTTTTATATACTTTCCCAAAAACGCCTAGTTATCTCGGATAAAACTTAGGGTTTCCACGATTTAATCAAATTATACAGCTTTAGTTACTATTATTAGCTGACATATATAAACAATTATTTACATACCAGTTTCATCTCCAATGGCCCAAACAAGAAGATCAACGCATGCAGAATTTGCCATAACGTTAACTTTGAATCTATTTACTGTCCGAAAATTAGTATCTACATCCTCTCGCTCACTAGCATCGTGTTGTCTAGATTGCAATTCTGTCTGTCCCGACAGAAAAAGGCCTTTAACAAATTCTTGTACATCTCTTGTAAATGGAGCAGGTAAATCGCGTTGATTTTGTAATAATTCTCGTAAAACCGCTACCATAACTAAATTCATAGTTTCGCTGAATGTGCGATATGGAAATATTTGTACTTGGCCAGAATTATAAACCTATTGAAACAATAATTTAGAATAACAAATGATACAAAGATAATTATTGTGTAAATTTAGAAATTATTAAAATAACATTAAGATATTAACTTGTTGAGCTTCTTCGTCAAGGAACGTAAGAATATCTTTAGTAAGTAGCTTTTTAGCTAATGCTAGAACACTTTGTAAATGTACTACATTAAATTGCATTGCAGCCCTTTTTTCAGGACTTTCATTACACCGCATTTGTGGAAATTGATTAAAACTGGATCCATATCTACTGAAAAAGTATGTAACTGGATCATATGGCACAGATGAAAAAGATTGTAGTGATGGTCTCTTGATAGTCGAATAATCAGAATCAGCCGTTAGCAATGCTGGAGTATTATCGATTGGTGGATAAGGATTTAGATTTCCACTTAGAGACCGTGGAATAATTGGACGAAAATTTGAGAAACTATGTTGTTTTTTATCCGATGTTAAACGTGTTTCTGTATTTGTGAAAGAGACTGGAGTTTCAGGCCGTGGAAAGATACGACAGAGCAATGGTGGATCTGTACATGCGAAACGACCCATAGATCTTGCCAGTCCAATAAGTACAGGGACTAAAGATTTGCATAAAGACACTTTAAAAAAAAAAAGAAATATATAAAATTATTAACATATATTTTTGTAAACAATGAATGCATAAGAAAGTACATTTGTTTGAAGGAATCTTACATTTTGCTTGCATACCCCTATTTCCATTTTGTTCTTTATAACCGCGTATCAGATTTGTTAAAACTGCTAATATCTCAATCTGTGTAGAAATAATTTCCTCACGAGCTGATTCACATCTGGCAGCTATATCACTCAGTAACGTATTCAAACAAAAACTAAAACGTTCAGCAACAGGAACTCTTTCGCTAGGTGAAACTCTAACTTCGTCCAACCAAACAGCTTTTGGAAGACCACGCAACAATCGTAAAAAATATGGTAAAATACGATCCCGATGTTGCAATTCTGATTCCAAAAAATATATTCCCAATGCAATAGTTGCATCTTGTCCACGTTGATCCAGACGATATATTCCTTGAGCAGTTTCTTGAGGACATAATTTGAATAAACGAGTTACCTATTTTAAAGAAAATAAATATTCAATTAAATTATCTACAAGTATAACTAATTACATATGCTAATTTTTAATTTCTTGCTAATTTTAACTATTTCTTTTTAATTTTAATTCTTTGGTAATTTCATTTTAAATTTCATTCATATGTAGCTATATGAAAGATTTTTTGTTTAGACTTCTCTAATAAGTATACTGACTATTTTTTTTATTGTAAAAAAATATATGATCACTTCATAATAATAACGTGTACAGTAAGAAGTAATAATAACAGTTCTTCTATCAGGTACCTCTATCATTTTATTGCTTTTTTTGCTGCTTATCGTGTTCATAAGTGTATTCATAAATATGTTAGAATCACTAAATGATATCTTTAATATATACACGGTGATTATAAAAACATACTTGGTTATTATAACATGAGAAAGAAAGGAAAAATCTAAAAATGAACATCACACTGTAATCAGGCATTATACTTCTCACTGTAGGTGTTTTGCAAATTTTTTAATATTGTCTCATATTATGTCATACAAGATAATAACAGCTTAAAATATTCAATTGTGTGTCAATTTACATGAATAGACAATTATCTTAGAAAAAAGATTATTTTAAGATAAAAGTTCAATTAAAAATTGATTCATAGAGATTCAATTTATACTTATGTAATTAAATATAATAAAAATAATACAAAAATTTTACATACATTTTTGTAATATAAATTTTTTTATTGTATGTTTAAGCTTTTTTTTTCTTAGGGAAATATCATCTCAATATTATCTAATGATATCTAAAAAAAAATATATATAAAAGAATATTGTAAAAGTCTTAACAAAATAAATTTACCTTTTCCCACGGTGTAGGTTTAATAGCAGCAAGGCATCTAGCCAAATGTTGTACAGCTTTTGAGAAAAACAATTTCTCGTCCGCCACCATTTTACACAGAGAATCACTTAAAAAATACTTCTTTTTTTTATATTATATAGTAGTGAACAGTTTCACCTACTCATTATTTCAAAATATTATTGCACTGTGAAAAGAGTTGACGTAAGACTGCTTTGACGTATATGCCTCTCTTAGCGTGACATGATAACGTTAAAAAAAATAAGATCCTAGATATTAAAGTAGTAGGGCTTTTATACTTGAAATAGTTGCAAAAATCTTTGGAATATTATTTTTGACAATTGCAAATAGAACGTGTATGTAAGTTTTCGTAAACGATGTAACAAATAATTATTACCGTACATTTTAAAAGAAATGTATAAAAGGGATTGGTGAGATCGCTTTTTGTTTTCATTTATTTTCTCTTCTACAATCGCACATTTGAATTACGCGCTTTTTCTACTCGTTACGAAGGAGGCAGAGGGAGCTGCTGTAGTAGCTGGTGCAGTAGTTGCTGGTGCAGTAGTTGCATTCACTAATTGCAGTGGTTTCGTAGTTTTTGTATTTTTGTTATAAAACATGTAATAGAATGTATGGAATTACATATAATAAAAATAGTTCTAATCATTATGACAATAGAAAGCTGTCATTCTAATTAATTTCGTTCGTGTACTCGAAATAAATGAAATAGTTTGTTGATATAAATACTAAAAAGAAGAACAATTTAACCTCACTTTTTAATGATTGACATATATATGTGTAATTGTAATTATGGCAAAAGTTATTAAGAAGAAAACAAAATTGAAGAGATTATCTACTAAAGAAGAATTGGAGCTTTCTGATAAATCGGTATAATTTGTTTTTTGTGAAATTTCCAAAAATTGTGCCTGTTATACCTTATGGTAAATATTTTTTATCATTTTAGGAATTAATAGATAAAATATTACGATTAGAAGCTTACAATGCGCAACTTCAAACGATACTTAGAAAAAATGAGACTAAACAAATGGAGCAAACGAAATGTTTTAATGGGACTAAAAAGCAGTTTGATTTTACAAAGTATGTGATGTCCAATTTCTTTTATTTAACTTTTATTAATGTATGCAAGTTGTCCCAGTTTTCCTCCGTAAAATTTTACTAACATATTCTATAGATAAAAATAAGAACAATATGAAACGACAATGGATTGCTTTCCTGTTCGATACCACATAGGAATGAATTGTCGCTTCAAATTATAATTAAATTCCAAAATATAGTTCGTTATTGTAAATGTGAGACTGGCATCTATTGGAGAATAGAATTGAGATCTTGTTTATTTCCCTTAATTACAACTAATGTGTCATGAATCCTTTGCATTCATTCCTCACACATATTAATTTGTGTTTGATAAACTTTTTTTTTGCTGTTCCCCATAGATAAAAATTCATTGGCCATTGTATTAACTGACACTATTAGTACTTTGGAATACCATGCGTAGAGAAGCAATATGAATATGTTGGTAAAATTAAAAAAATAAAAAGAGAAAAAAAAACTGGGATATCCTGCATAGAATGGAATAAAAATATTGTAAATATTTAATTAAATGAATTGGTTTTAGGTGTCATAAAAGGCATGTTTTATTAAAATTTTACTACTTAGGTTGGGATTACGATGGTTTTATATGTCAAGAGGGAAGTAGTAATACTGTTGAAGATTATTTATTTGTTGCTTTAATTAAAAGTTGCTTTATAGAGTCTCGTGAAAAATCAAATTATCATCGTTGTGGTAGAACAGATAAAGGTGTCAGTGCTTTCTCTCAAGTTATTAGTTTAGACATACGCAGCAAATTGGAACCCGAGAAGCAAAATGATTTACAAAATGAATTGCCATATTGTAAGATATTAAATCGTTTACTTCCTCAAAATATAAAATGCATAGCTTGGAGTCCAGTTCCTAGTGATTTTTCCGCTAGATTTAATTGTAAAAATAGGACGTATAAATACATTTTTCCTCGAGGAAAATTAAATATCGACGCTATGAATAAAGCAGTTAAATATACTATAGGATCACATGACTTTCGTAATATTTGTAAAATGGATGTTGCTAATGGCGTAGTCAACTTTGAAAGAAGAATAATTGATGCTACAGTCTCGGTAAAACAAAATGATTATACACAAAATTCGGGTATGCAGTATTATATTTATTTAATATTTCGTTATATAATCATTATATAAGGCATTGTATGCTAAAAGGGTCTTATAATGTTTTTAATTTCATATTTATTTAAATAGGATACGATATGTGCGAATTAAAAATAACAAGTCATGCTTTCCTTTGGCATCAGATACGTTGTTTAATGGGAGTATTATTATTAGTAGGTAAAGAAAAAGAAAAACCAGAAATTATTTTGAAATTACTTGATATCAATAACAATCCTTGCAAACCTCAATACAATCTAGCTTGTGAAATTCCCTTAAATCTTTATCATTCCGAGTATGAAAATATCAAATGGTTCTACGACGAAAAAGATCTTATAAACGTTATAAAAATTTTGCAAAAAGATTGGTCAATAAACGCTGTGAAGTATGACATATTTTACACTTTATTATTAAAAGAAAATATGTTATAATATTGTCGTCATTTAATATTTTCATTTAAACAGATCGGCAATGATCAAAGACATGCTAATGGATTTAGAAAGTATTCAAAATTGTTCAGATACAACATTTCAAGATAATTGTTTACTTCTTGGTGTGAATTCAAAAGTTTATCAACCTTTAATGGAAAGAATTACTTGCGGTGAGTAATTTATATTACTATTATTATTTAATATTTTATAATTTTAATTTTTATATAATATTTTATGCACATAATGTTAATATGATAATGTAAATAATGTTTACAGAAAGTTTAGAAAATAAGATAAAACATTACGAGAAAAAGCATAAATTAGAATCAATGAATTTAAGTAGTACGTAATACCGAAATGATTGCGAATGTATTGGTAAGGAATATAATCTTTAAAATCAAAATAATTCAGCCAAATACAATCATATCTATTTTCAACGTGCCAAATTTGTTCCTTTACACTTGATAAATATAGATTGTTTGTTATATTATTTTTTACATTTTAAGATTGACAATTGATGTAGTGTTATTAAAAATGTCAGGGGAAGTTTCTACTTGCAGTAAAATTATCAAAAATGTTGTAGTAGCTCCACAAAACTATAAAGAAAAGATTTATTTAATAAGTTTCTTAATAACCATAAGTCGAATATTTTGATAATAATTTAATCTGGAAGAAATACCTGACGAATAAAATTATAACCGTATTCGTAAAAACCAAATGCGGAAAAGTTCACTCGTTTATAATTTATTTCGGATATAAATTGAAAAACCTTAAAAGAATACAATTTAAATATTATAATAAAAGTGTCGGGGAAATAAGCTTAGTTGTTTAAAAATATTTATCAATTTTTACCCGATAAATACCAGATATAAAGAAAAATATTTTCAATTGATAATAACTTACCTCGGCGCGTGTCTTTAAACAAAGAAAATCCATTACTTTTTGAATAAGTATTTGTGTCCTATTTGCCTGTTATTATCAATAATTTATTAAACTAAATAGATTTTATGTCTATTTATTTATTCTTTTTTAATATATATCAAGTGTTCTATATTTTATAATTACCTCAACTTTTACTATTTCGCATGTATAGTTAATAGAAAATAATTTTATGAAATAAAACGAATTCCATACAAGAATGTTAAAGACATTTGCTATCTTGCAATCCGAAGTACCTGGATCGGTAAGTGTCGTATACAATTCGCCAATTAAGCCTATTCCGGCAATAAAGAAAGATATCATCTCTAATAACATCGGTATTTCAAATATTGTATTCAGATTATTACAAATCCTACTTAATTCCAGATGAATATGCCTGTGTATGAAAGTAATGATTAATTTCATAGATAAATATTTATAAAAATAAATACAATTTTATTAATTTTCTTTATAGATCATATTAAACTGAAATTCATAGTACAAATTTAATGCAAATCTAGTTTGTATATTAGTTTTACACTGCTTTACATTGATATCCAAATGTCGTAATCCTCCAAATTCGTTTTCATTACATTAGAACAATATGTTGTACTGGTCATATGGTCTTCAAACATATTTCTCGAGCGATCTTTAATCTGGCAACGTTCAATTATATATTCATTTAATTTACGAAATCTATCTTTTTGATACCTGCATTTAAATATTATGTTAAATAATTAACGGAATTATGTTCTCGTTTATTATATTGTATACGTACAATAAAAAAATGGTGAATGTAAGATCCAGAATTGTGTTGATATGAAGAGAATGATTAGTTATGCATAATACCATAATTTGGATAATACCGTATTTCGAAGATAGTGTTATGTCACAAATGTTTAATAAGATAAATGATATGAGCCATCCCAAAACGACGAGTACCATTAATTTCCGTATTTTTGTATATTCCATTTGAAAACCAAGCTCTTTTAAAGTATCATCGAGCACGGACATCTTCTTCAAACATTTTACAAGATTCTAAAAAAAGAAAAAACAAAAAAAACAAGAAGAAAAAAACTGCACAAATATGCATATATTTAAAGTGCGTGATTTTCAAGTTACATGACGTTTACAGAGGGTTGCAATTTACAAAAGATACCGTACTTTGCTATTATACAGGTAAGATAGCACCGATGCAATTGTCGTGAATTGAACGAAATAAAGAACAAGAACTGATGGACCATGCTTATAAAAACCATTAAAACTCTCGTAGACCGATAAATATTTGACAAAGATAAAGTAAACGATCCATAAGCACAATATATATATAACGTTAACGTAGGTAATTATTTTTCTCATTGACCATTCAAGAACAATTAATCCGAGTATGGAATTCGTAATTAATAGAGGAAAAAATGCTTCATTAAGACTGTTGGTCATGGTTTTCCCGTTTAACGCGACGTTTTGTCCTAACGATAGTAAACTAATATTCGAACTGACGTATAATATACATCCTACTTTACGGTTTATCGATATTCTTGTCATATCTATAGCGTATCTTATAACATAATTACTTATTATTTGCGCCAGATAATAAATTATATGTCTGCTAATTGATATTGAATGGTTTTTTCCTTGGAATTATTCTACCATGAAAATATATTAAATTACGCGTAAAAGAGCAAATGTGAGTCGACGCTTTAATTTCGCATACGTCGATCTATTGAATAGATTAGATTCCACCATTTCTAATATCGAAGAAGATGTCGTGTCATTAAGATCGTCAGAAGAAGTTTCTATTTGCGATAAGATTATCAGAAAAATGGTACAAACTACCAACTATTTTACAAAACTAAGAGAGAAAGATTTAACTTCTTTCCCGATAAAAGAATAAATAAATCACGTCCCTTCGTTTTTCATTTTAATTAACAAACCAAAATTTCAAGTTTCCTATCCACATTCATCGGTCGACAATTTTTTCCAGTTAACAGGACCAGATCAAGTATCGACGAGAGAAAAGTACGCGGGATGTTCAAGGGAAGAAAATAGGTATGGCTTATAGCAAAAGGTGTCTTCTTATTAGTGGAAACAGTGACGGGTGCTAAATTTTCTCTTTTGAAACCTTATTTGCAGTTGAATAACAATGGCAGGCAATGCCCAACTCTTGCTTCTAATCTAATATTCACATGTATTTTTTTTATTGGCAGAAAGATTCCCATACTAAAGCCGATCGATGGTACAAAGAAAGAGAACAGAACAGATCAAAATAAAAAAGGTACTCAAATGTATCGTTTGACCATTCTAATTGACACGCGAGTGTCACTTTGCATGTCTTCTTTCAATCGGGCCATGTGGTATATTAGTTTTTATTTTATTTTATTATTAGACAATTTAGAATTATTATAATACAACAAAAGATACAAATTGTGTAGCGATCAACGTGTTAAATATTCTCTTTCATATCTGACAATAAATATAAGGAATAGTTATCTTGAAAGACTCTGTATAATATGTATAATTGTGATCACTGGCATCATCAGGAGAGTGTATAAATTGCGAGATGCCAATCAGGTTTTAGTAGGCGTTGTACGCGGTTGTAATTATCGATCGTAGTAAGCATTCCTCGTTAAGAATAAATAAAGACAATACGAATACGTATTATTTAAAAAAAATCATAGATTTGATTATACAAATAAAAGTAATAGATAAGATAAATTCGTTGAAAAAATGAATATGGGAAGGGTAATGATCGTCTAATTGTGGAAGCATTATATGAAATGATTATTTTCCATTTTCAAAATTTCTTTCTATGAAATCGATCGTAAACGAATTTTTATTAACATCGAGTTCTTCTACTCGTTAAAGGTTACAATCGGTCGAATCGATTGGAATTGCATTCTATTGTTTCACGTCGCGATTATGCGTCTATAGTGATTCGATAATCACACCGTAGGTATTAACAGCTACTAATGTAAAATCCACAAGAGACCAGTTTTGCGTGTTATTTTCACGATTAACGAGTCATCATACAGGATCGTTTATATTATACAAAGTTTCATTAATATTTCAATATTTTCTATTTTTAAATAGGAATCCCATGGCGAAATGAATCGAACAATTCGTTCGAAATTACAATTAAAACATTTTCGCGTTTCTACTAACAAGATAAATGTGAAATTTCATCTGGATGATTGTACTTAAAAACTAATAAGGAATAGGAGAAGATGGACTTTGGTGTTTGTGTCGAAACTACTTTGCATGTTATTTATGCAATCGGCATTATCCCACTGTGTATTAATAGCAGATGCGATCTCGTAAAAATTTACCGGACGTCCCGTTCGTTGCGTTCTTTGTTCGTTATGACGAAATCGAGTTCCCCTTGATTTCTTCATAAGCGATGGGAATAATTAGATATTTCATTCGATTTGTTACATACAAAACTCTGTTACAAGATATTATGGCACATTGTGATCTCGAAATGCTTAGCTATCACTAAGGGGGATATCAACCTGAGAGGATCAATTTTGTCTCCATTTCTATGCGTTAAGAGTTACAAAACAATGACATAAACACATCGAGTTAATATTACTAACACGGATTGAGAAATTGCGGTAAAGGATCAAGGTGAATTTTTACCTTTCGACTGTAGGATCCTTGTGTAACAGATATAACGAATCACTATAGTGACTAGTGTCACTAAAGTAAATTGCGATGCATGATCATTTCTTGTTTGTTTATTTCTTTTTATACAATAAGATTAACGATAATGAAACTTATCGAAATTTTCTACTTAAATACGTCATTTATATGCATATTATATAAAAAAAAACATAACATATGCGTCAACAAAACTGTCAAACGAACTCGACAGTTATTCGCCGGATTTTTACGTCGATGAAATTACGGCCGACTGTCATTCTATTTCGACCCCCCGTCAGAATGAAAAGTGACGGGGATTATATCGCATTGCGAGTAAACCATACGTTTTTCGCTTAAGTGTTGGTATGGATCTAAATGATGGTTGGTTCCCGTCCTTCTCGGTAAACCGCAACTATCATCCTTTTCTTTCTTTCTTTCTGTGTGGGTTATTCGTTCGTGCGCGAAGCCCATAAAATAGAGACAGTATTTACGAATATGTGTAAGTATCTACAGAGTATATACATATTATATACATATTACATACCGTGTGTTAGTTGATGCGTAGGAGGACAAAGACTTGAATTTCTTACTCAACTTTTGAGGGTCAAGTCGAGTAAAGAAGACATTCTTTAATACGGATCTATGTACAATCCTTACCTTTAATTCATATTATTTTCAAGTGAAACTTCTTTTGGGAGGATACATAGGAATGTTCAATTTTTCTATTTTTAGAAATAAAAAGATCATGCATCGGTACAAAAAGTAACTTTTATAAGATGCTTATTTAGAGAGAGAGAGGGAGAGATAGGCAAAGGTGAGGGTCAAAGTTAAACGAGGCAAAATTCCTCATTTATCTAGTACACATAGAAAAACATTTAGGAACTACCTAATAAGGTAATTGAGAGAGGGGAGGTGATTTGAAAAATATAAATAATATCCTAACATTCTTAACCGTTGCAAAATCTCATTTATTGCACGTCTCGGCTGGAAGTTGGCTGGAGAGTGTGATCTGTCTTGAGAACGTACTGACAAAACGTTTCCGTAGTTTGTCGTAACGTTGAAAAAGACGAAGGTATGCACTGAGGTATTCGTATCATACATTAGTATTGCGTTATCACGATCTATCTTTATCGAAATGTTAATTAGCATAAAAAAAAGTTAATCATTTGATAGAGAGGAATAGGTGGCGGCGGAGGGGCAGGGCGGGGTTACAAAATGTCGAACTTTTTTCTATCAAGTTAATTATACGAGATAAGATCTTTTTAAGATTTTCTTTCAAGACATTTATATCTTATTCTGTCGTATAATGAAGCGTCGCTACTATGATCGAGATTGTAGTTTAACACATCTTGGGAGAGTTACGATTGAAATAATGAGTCCCGCTCGACTGGCTATCGGTGTTACAGCACTGAATCATCGCACGACTCGTTACTACTCATTGTCAGTAGTAGTACTACTCGATCGATTTAACGATAACCGATTAAACGTTTCATTAAGAAAACTAACAATTTTAGTTGACATGAATTTTTGTTTCCTCTTCAAATGATAATTTACTTTATGTGATAAATGTGGAAATCCTAACATGAAAAGTCATGATTTTATTTTTGGGCTGTGATTGGTTAGGACTGGAAAACAATCTTCTATTTTTCCATAGATGCAATATATTTTTGTACACGTATTCTTCGGTAAAAAAAAAACAATAAATCGCTCGTAGAAATAGGAATAAAAAAAAAGCTATTATAAAAGGACAAAGTCGGAATAAAGTATTCTTACGTACGTATCTGTCGTATTAAGAACAGAATTAGGGTTTATATTTATATATAGAGAGAAACCGTGGTTCCGTAGTAGGAGCAGTGCACATGACGACCGAGAGCGCGTAATGCCACGGTGTGATGGGGCACCCAGATTCTTGGCAAAGAGTAGGTCATCTACGAACAGAGCGAAGTTTTCACTTTCATCGTGACCGAGGGAATACCTAGTTACATGAAGCGGCAGACAAAGGCATCGTGGTGTTGTCGGCTTAGAAGAAGGCGGTTTCTTGGCTATATGACACGCAGACTTCGACAGAGAAGATCGGATATTCATAACCTTCCATTGAATTCGCACGGCCGTGCGAATTCTACGTTCCACTTGGCCTCTTCCTCTTACTGTTCAAAAATATGATACAGACTCTCTCGAATTTATTCTTCTACAACGAGATTGACACGAGCGATCGCACATCCCATTATTATTCCGAGAGATCTATCCTACGCGATACCGAACTATCGATTTTTTTCCGATTCACGGGATTATATTTTATCACCGAGACAGTTGATTCCTTATTTGATAATCCTACAAGGATTTTATCATCAATTCTATAGTGAGTTTAGACAAAATTTAATGGAGGATATGGATTGGTTGAAAGGATCCATGATTTGATGAAAGTGCTTAAATTATGCACTATTAATTAACTAATTATTATTTAGTTTGTATCACTCTAACAATAAAACAAGTTTCATTATTTCAGATCTGTATTCTAACGACGTATGGATTCGTTTGAATAGTCTTATGAGTCGTTTGATACGTCTATGCGAGAGACCTTTGTTTCACACCCCGCTATCAGCAATAAAGAACTTTGCGACGTGATCTAACGCCGGGCATTAAAAGCATTACTATCGTGCTAAAACTTTATACGAGGGAATAATAATCCTACACGGATGAGAATAACTATAGATAAATAGATATAGATAGATAAATAAATATTAAATTTATTAAAAAAATTAGTTGTTACTTACTGCTACACCTGTAACAATTTTTATTCAATTTTCTTCATATTCGCGTATATTTGTACTCGTTATTTTCATTGTATCGCACTTTGCGTAATTGCAAAAATTCCTGTTAAATAAATATAACGGAAGGGATAATCGTTAGAAAATAATACGTACCGTATGTATACATAGAGTACCTCAGAATCTATAGATACCTGTATGAATATATATGCACATATGTATGGGTAACGAATGGATTAAATTGACGATGAGTTCGACGACTGTAGAAATGGAAGATGCGAAAAGAGGTAATGACGAAGCGAAATGATCTATGGAGTAAATGATTTGAAACGCATTAGCCGTAATTTATGTGCACGTTTCATATTCATCTAAACGAAATGATTCCTTAGAAAATGATGCAAGAATATCCCAGCTCGATATAAAATATATTCGTATATACACTTGAAAATGTTGGTATGAATTTTGTAAAAGGTGTTACGAAGTGACTTAGAATCGTAAATAGAAAATAATGATTATTGGTCTTATTAGTAATAAGAAAAATGATGAGAGAAATATTTCTCATATCGCGTTTCTTTGCGTAAACTTTTAATGTTATAAGTTTTGCAATCTTGCCATGCGATTGTCGAAAAATATTGAAATTTATAATAAAATGCTCTGTCAAGATTTCTGATAATAATTTTCTATAGCGTTAGAATGATGCCATGAATTGATGCATGAATTGATGCATGAATTGATGCAAGAATTTAGATACAAATTTTACCACCATTTTGTATATTTGTTAGATACTTGTGTGATGTTTGATTAGCGTTAGGTGTAGAAAAATTGTGCTAAGAAATTAGGGCAAATATTAATTAAGGTGAGCGAGGAAGGACTGAAAGCAAGAAAGCAAGAAGAAGGCTTCTAGATACCCACACTCGGCGCGTGTTACGTCACATCGTCATGGGGGGATAGCTTATGTTCCTTTCGAATGTCTAGGCGAGCACCTCTTCTCAGGATCGGTGCATCTCTTTTCCTCGTATTTAGACCAACCACTTACATAATAGGGGCCAGTACGCAAGAGACGTACTACGATCTTGGAGCGGAGACTTTAAGGTTACGAGAACGAAATGTCACGAACGCTTCGAATAATGGGTGCAATGGGAGAGAAAGGATGGGAAATAAGATTATAAGGACGTTCGTAAATTTCGCGACGTTAGATAATAAAAGAAAATAAAAGAAAATAAATGAAAATATATATATATAATAAACGCAGCCATCGTAGGTCAATTAACGAAGACGCCATTTTTCTTTCCCTACATTTCAAACAAATATTTTCTCTTCATGAAAAATATGATTTTTATTTAAATCTAAAAAAATATGAATATATTCGTATTACTTATTCGAATCTAATTATAAATGGGGGGAAGAAAAGCTAATAAATTGTCGTTAATAGTTATCAATAATTTCAACGATGGTTATTTCTTTTGTATAGTAAAACAAAGGTTAAGATACCAATAAGGTTATTCGTATTACTATCCGGTATAGCGATTAATTTATTTATACACGAGTTAAGTTAAGTTACAAGTTGATTTTGCAATTTGCTATTATAGACCATAGAGAAGAAGAGAAAATTCTTCGGTATATTAAAGTAAGAAAATTCATTAAATTTAACGGCAAATTTATCCGCGGTACGTTTAACGTAAAACAAAAAAAAACTCACACACTTGTGGGTTTACGCTATTTGAACTTATCGCGGTAAAGAATAATAATGAATATTTGCCTCCTACCCCCTGGACATAACGGATTATGCAAATTACATGTAACGTTCCTACGACTTACTTAGAGTTTAAGATCGAAGAGAATGAAATGTCATGAATGTCCCGATCGACGTCCCAGACAATAAGACGCGCATCGAGGAAGGACGGAGGACGCATCGAATGGATGCGTTAGAAAAGTTTTCGGTCGTATTATATAACCGAATAAAAGAAATCAATCGCCATTAGAAGAGATTCTTTAAACGTCGAAGATTCTCCGGATTTTCAGAGCTTTGCCATCCAGAAGCTAGGTGTTAATGTCACGCACTTTGAGATCAGATAGAATCTGTTTCAACGAACCTTGATCTTTAAAGTCCTCCTTTGATCCGCGTGAAAGAACGCTTCTTTTGCATGTACCACAAGCGTAAACGTAGAAGGCCTTCCTGCAAATATCAGAATGCTTCGAGATCAATTTGATTTACAGTTGGAAGCTACCAATGGAAAAATCCTTCCTTTAACTTTGATAATTGTTGTCATTACTATAGAAGATATTATCAAATATTATATTATATTATCCCACGATACGGAATATGTATCGTATGTATGTATAGTGTAGATTATAGTCTAACTCTCATTTATTTTTTATTCTCGAATAGAACAAATATCGATTTATGAAACACGACCTTACCCAAAGACTAACCATCAAAATCTTATCAATCATACTTAAAATTTACTATGGTATATATACATTGTAATGGAATTAATACAATAGGTGTAAATGTCGCGTTGAAACGTTACAAGGGAGGATGACCGAAGATCCATTTGAAAACTCGTAACGATCATCTTATCTTTTTTTGGGATCGCTTGTGTAAGTATAGCATTCTATTGTTGACCTTTCCAAGAGCAACAACGCCTGAGCTTGTGACTTTAGTCTTATAAAATCTGAGATTATTCCAGAAGAGAAGAATTGGAGACTATTTGCTAGCGCTATAGTATATATAGTGTGGGAAAGGGTCGAACTGGAAACTAAGAGCGAGATTTAATGATGCAAACGCGACGTAAGATCAACCGAACATTTATTTCAAACAATTATTAAATATTTAACATATTTATCCGATGTGTTATTGATTTTATTTACTTGATTTATTACATTTTATCTATACCCGACAGATTTGCATTGCAATTTTTGTCGGATAACTTTGTATTTGTGCACGTAATAATCGATCTTACCGTTCAAATCGAATAGTCTTTGTTATTTTTCATTAAACCCACTCCTCCCTGGCCCCTGTTATAACATTTCACTTGCAGTAATTAGATGGTTGCATAAAAATAACTATGTTCACGCAAAGAAAAGCATTCTATATAAAGTCGTATATGTATAAGTGCGACCGCTTGCAAATACCTCTGCGAGTTGCTAGACGAGGCATTTGCGATTATTTGTGCTACCTCCACTGTGCGCTTTAATGTCTTAGATCTTCCTTTACGCGTTTTTTTTTAATCAGTAAGACCTGAAGAAAATCGTTTAATCCGATCTTATAGCATCGAGAAATAATTTCAAGGCGCGTCTGCGTATAACACGTGCGATTAATGAAATTGATTTTCTTGGTTAATCACTAAGATGCCATTTTGTATGCTTCGATTAATCGCAAACTCCTTTGTACGATACTTCACGTATATTCCATCCGATTGTAATAAATCAAGCTGACCTATGTGATCAGCTTTTCATTTTTGTATCATTCCCAACACTGATTAACGCACATTTAAGTCAGTTTACTGTGTACTCGTCGTAGATTATTGCTTAATCTTTGCTTTTCATAATGCAATAATACAATATAATTTAAAAAAAACATTTCCTCCAATTGATCGTCAACGTGACTGCAACTAATAATCGTATATACCGTGAGAGAACAGTCATTGATGCGTTAAAATATCATATTATACTGTGATGCAAATTAGGATTCTAATGAGGATTAGTCAAATATATTGATATAGTAACTTGAAGCCTAAGTTAACGAGACGATAAAGTGTCGAGTAAAACCAACGAAGGTGCTACTCGTATTGAAAAAGGGAACTGCCGTTGCCGTTGCCGTTGCCGTTGGTGCTGTTGTTGTTGCGAGAAAGTCGTTCTTCGTTAATCATCATCATCAACCACGTTAGAGGTTCTTAAGCAAATATTACGCTATGATCGAACAACATGCAGAGAGGTTAGTTTCCTTTGAGTCGCTATATGACAACTGAAATAAAAAAGAGGATCGCCATTCACCGGTTCAGATTCACTCGTACGGCGTGGCTGCAGCAACCTAAACTACCACCACTGTCTCACCTGATTGCAGAAGCGCAACCGGCAGGCACGACTTGCCCTCTCGCAAGTCCGATCTCTGCCAGGTTTTCTAAGAGACAAGGTAAGAAGATATGTATATAGTGGAAGCCAAGGGAGGTGCCCCTTCTTGCGTGGGCCTGTTTGTTGCCTCTCTTCTCTTTCCATCACGTCTAAGAAACATCTTATTAGACCCACGCTATATAAACGCAATGCACCAGCATACCGGCCAGTTATATGCTGACTCTATTCGCAGCCGTGCCCGGACTCTAACAATACACTTATATTGCACAAGTGTAAATCGTAATCGTATCTGTGACCTAACGGAATTCCTACCGTAAGAGCATCGTATCTTATTAAAAGAGATAGAGAGAGAGAGAGAGAGAGAGAAAGAGAAAGATTTTTAAATCGAATAAGACCTCCGAGATTCATTCGGAATCGCAACGAGTGTTCCCTTAATTTTTGGATTATTTAATCAAGTGCGGTCATATACTTAATACGCATGTGGGATCGATTTTATTGTTTCCTTTAGTTTTTTTTCTTTTTTTTTTGTTTTCTTAATTTTTTCTTTTTCATTTATCCATATCGATATAACCCATTAATCTCGCGGATAATAATCTTGTGACTCTTTTTAGGTGGTAATTCATATGAATAAATTTTAAGTGAAAGAAAAGTGGAAATTCCTAATAAGACGATAATGAAAATGATAAATGTGATTCGATCCGATTGGTGTAATACTTTAAAGATTGAGAAAACGAATGAATAATTATCGAAGGTCTTATTCTACGAGATTATTGATTTATCTATAAATTATTAATTAAAATTAATCTTAATTTATATTGAATTTTTGTTCATTAACAATTCGTTGCTACTGTTATCTGTAGGATCATTTAATACTTGTCCCAGTACCTACGTGTCATCATTTTTTAAGGTAATCATCAATTCAAACCGACATCGTGGCAACAAAAGATGTATTATCTTCAGGTATGCTCACTTTTTGACATTCCCATTTTGCAAAGAACGTAAAAAGAAACTATTGTTTCCGATCGATGATAATAACAGTTGCGTTTAAATATCTTCCTTTACGTAAATCAATTTTTTTTGTTTTCATCGGGACATACAAAATTGCTTTCTATTATCACAAAATGTTTACTTGTTATTAGAATAGTTGAGATCTCTATCGATAATAACGAACAGAGAAACGACTCTTTCTTTTTCCCGACATCATTGTTCCTTTAATCGAGGAACATACTTATGAATATGTTCTCAGCAATGACATCGACTTTTAATTACGAAAATGGAGCATCGATCCTCTCTCTAATGGGTGTTCTATGTTACGCAAAGAACATTTATTATTTATTAAGTGTATTATCGTGTATTTTCGCATTTCATTCTCTTTATACTCATCGCTTACAATTAATTGTCATTATTAAATATAATAATAATAATATAAAAGTATTATTTAGTGGGGTGTTGAAATTGAAATAAAGAAAATAAACAAGGGGTTAATGATTTTCACGATTATAATAGCATTTAATTAATTTTAATTTAAATACAAAATCTAGATATTCCGCAAAGAAAAAAAAGAAGGATACGTTGTGATGTAATATCAAATGATTTCCACAGATAACGTTACTTTGGTTAATAATAGCCAATGTGATATGCGACTTACCACCGGGGACAAGACGTAATACTTATCTACCGCCTGAATCAACGAAAGGTTATTCATACGAGAAGCCACCGATACCATTTCCAAAAGTTACATCCTTCCCTTCTCGTCCAACGCCAACATTTCCTGGCCCAACTAGGCCCACTCCTCCTTTTAATACGATACCGACGAGACCTAACGTCCCTCCGACACCAAGTAGACCATATCCTACTCCTGAAACTAAACCACCAGGAAGATATCCTACGAGACCACCAAATGGATATCCACCTCCAGGACCAAGACCGACTCCAATATTTCCGGACACGAATAATGGAAACACAGTAGGTCCTGGAGTAAGTAGACATTTCACCAATCAAATTATCTCATTTTTATGTTAGAGTTATATACGTATCACATTTATTGGTAGTATTACCTTCAGTGTGACATACGAGTTCAAAGGGTTGATATATTTGATTGTTCATTTGTTGAATAATTAATTCATTCATTATTGATAATTATAGCACGATCATCATCACCACGAGCCTGGTATGCCCTTTGATTTTAACTATGCAGTAAAGGAGGATGCCTTCGGGAACGACTATTCTCACAATGCCATCAGTGACGGGGATATCGTACGCGGTGAATATCGCGTCCAACTTCCGGATGGCAGAATGCAAATTGTACGATACACGGCCGATTGGAAACATGGTTTTAGCGCACAGGTCTCCTACGACGGAGCCTCGCGTAATTTCAATAGAGGCTACTAGCATTTAGCGTTTTTTTTTCACAGGGATATCTACGATTATTCCATGTCAACGCCGTTTCTAAATATTTTCCAAATATTTTACGAGTATCTAAAGTTAGCATTGCGAAAGAGAGAGAGAGAGAGAGAGAAAGATAATGGTCCGAATTAATCTTTTTTCTTTTTATTACTTTTTTTTCTCTCTCTTAATTAAAACACGAATTTATTATAACACCCCATTTTTATTGTAAGTTCAAAACAAATGTTTAGTTATGTTAACTTATTGCAACCCTATGCGGCCACATTTCATTTAATCGCCCCCCAAAGATAATACTCGATTATTCGTAATTTATGGATGTTATTAGGGTACAATAAGTTATTGTAACAATATATATATATATGTACGTATATGGTATGCATATATTACATTAATGTATACAAAATTAAATACGTCATTTACAAAATGGAAAATATACCGAGGAGTTACATAGGCTAGAAAATATTACGATTTTAAAATGACTTTATAATTATAGAATTATATAAAGATTTACAACTTTTTAACGTATGTAATGTTCTTGTTGAAAATCTATTTGCTACACTTTCAATTTTGGAATAGAAATTTTTCTTTGCTTGTTTTAATCCCTCCTATGTTTACCTTCCTATTACAAGATGTTGCCATCGATCGCTCCTATAGCTAGTCGATAATCCTAGCCATATCGACACGTTGTAAAGATAATGCAATTCTCTGTGATCTATTATTCAGTTGCATTATCTCATAAACATAGGTACATTTTAGAATTGAATTTATTCATCCTCTTCCTCTATACCATTTACAGCAAAAATTTCTAATTTATCACAGGTCGGTAATTTATCGACGATTCAAGAGATAGCGCCACTGACGTACAAAATGTCTGACGTGTAAAAATCTAATATAAAAACTGAGGAAATTTTGTTGATAGTTTAGTCCACGTTTAGTCGTCGAAATATGTCTAGTTATAGAACGAAATTAATATTATAAAATAGTGAAATAATTTAATAGACAATGACATTAATGATACTTTATCGTAAAGTATATTAAATCTCGCACACATCTTCTTACTTTATCTTTTATTGCGACACCGCGTCACCTGACTTATCTCTGTCGTGTTATTTATGCAAGTACTTTTGCTTTTTAGGATATTTAAATAATTCCCTATTATATAAGTTCGTTTGAATTTTAATATTAATTTATAAAGATTCCAAAAAATGCAACATTGTTCATATGTTAATTTATGAATTAACCATAAATCGTATATCAATAATGAGACTCAACTCCTACTGTTAGTGCAAAATGGTATGTACAAATTGAAAAACCGTTAAAAAGTCATCTTGCACCAATCTTGGAAACTGAAAAAAAGATTCAATGATTCCAGAAACTTAACATTAAACGAGGATTTGATTGGCTCTATAAAGTTAATGCTATAAAAGATAAATTATTTTCATCCAAAAATTTATTATACACCAACGTAGCCGTATCAATTTCTCTTTCAGCTGTAGGAGATATTATAGAACAACACTATGAAATAATAAAGGTTTACTATTTTCGATAGAGTCCATTAAAAAGTTCAGAGTTTGATTTAACATAAAGCTTAATACTATGTACTTTTAGGGCCAATGGGAAAAATGGAGTCCAAGCAGAACAAGGAATATGGCCGTGAGTGGCATGTCCATCGGTATTGTTTGCCATTACTGGTACAAATACTTGGATTCTAAGTTATCTGGACGCACTAGTAAAATTGTACTGAAAAAAGTAATTATTGATCAGTTAATTGGTTCCCCGCTTTGTATAGGGATGTTCTTTTTAACTATAGGATTATTGGAAAAATGCAATTTGTCAGAACTAAAAAATGAGATAGTGAATAAGGCACATAAATTGTACGTAGCAGAGTGGATCATATGGCCCCCAGCACAGATTATTAATTTCTATTTTCTTCCAACTAAATATAGAGTTTTGTACGATAATACTGTATCACTTGGCTATGACGTTTACACGAGTCAAGTTAAATATGACAAAAATGAAATTACATGTCAATGATAATTGTATTTATATAGATAATTTTAATTTATTACTTTGCGTATAACAATATTACGCTAAAGAAATATAATAATAAAAAAGACATATAAATAAATAAATTAATTGTGTATTACCCATTGCTTAAGATTCGAATTTGTATTCAGATACTGAATAATTTAAAATCTTCTTGGAAAATATAATGTATTGCATTCAAAACATTCCATCGTGTATTCCAATAGGTACTAGCACAGCAATAAATAACAATAAGTTCCGAGCTACTCTTCTCCAGTCATTTGGTACCGCATATGGTACCAACATAATTGTCAATCTATGTATCTGTCGATAAGAGTTAAAATATAATCAAATCTTTTCGGATACTTGTAGAAATATTAACACATTTGAAACCGATAATTTAGTCCTACATCATTTCAATAATTATGGAATCATGTTGATAACAATGTAGTCCTATGCTATTAATATTTAATTTTTATCATTTATTAGTAGTTTGTTCAATTTTGTTTAATTGTTAAATTGTAATATTATTTCAAACTATTATATGCGTTATCTAACTAAAATAACATCTCGCTCTAACAACATCGGTTGCGAATGTGGTAATATAAAAAAACATTAATATAAAGAAAGAAATAAGGAAATAGTACTTACTTCGTGACTTGCGCATATGAAGATAAATGAAGTAATTAAAAGATTTAATACTGGAAACCTAGGTAGTAGGACCAATACACCATGTGAATCTGCAGCTAACCATATGTGACCTTGACCTACTAATGTTTCCAAGCTAATCCTACCTAATCCAGCTAGTAGGACGGAATGTTTTCCACGCAGTGCTAATGAAGCATTTCGAAGTACAATGTAGCCTACGATCTATAAAGAAAATTTGTATATATGCATGTGCGTGAATAATAGATAAGATTAAAATTAAAGAAATTTAAAGTGTATATAATATTACAGGTATAAAGGCTACGTAGGAATGTATTTCTTCGCACTCCGATACCGAATAGCATAGTATTGTAAAAGTAGTGTAAGCTACTAAAGAAATTAGTGCCAATACTGAAGATAATGCTGTTCCTGGTATATGATCTATTCTTTGCAGAGCTACAAGAGCAGCACCAAACGTAACACCCCATACAACGCTATATCTATCAACTCGCCACCGTGACCACCATTCTCGTATATCATCGTCGGTCGTAACGAATAATGCCTTCCAAGGTCGTGTTACAAAGACCTTCTCAAAGAAAACCTAAATTTGCAAGAATGTTAATTTAAATGTATGATATAAAAATTGAAAAATATTTCATTTAGCCTTACCTCTGACATGTACAATACGGTAATTATTGATACTAAACCCAATAATTTTAAGGCAAGATAAAGCAACGTTCTTGGACCATATTCGGCCAAACTTCCAGAATATACTCTAGGAGGTAGCCACGCCAAAAAGTAAATAACCAAAAACCAAAATGAAACTAATGGTACAAAATGATAAAACTGATAAGGTCTATTCATGCAGAGGCATAATGTCACAGTTAATAAATTATATCTGAACATGACCTAGAAAAATAATTAATGTAAATAATTATTTCATATTGATAACTGTGTGTGTGTGTGTAATGAAAAGTAATGTGTACATGATGTGGATTATAATTAAAATGATTTATTTACCCTGGCAAATCTGATGAGAGAAACATCACCTGTTTGCCAAAAATAGCAAAAGTGTCCGTATCCGGAAAGGAATAAATATGCAGAATTAATTAATCTTAAATACATGTAAATTGGTAAAACATTTTTGGCACCAGTAACATGATATATAAGCACTACTGCTTGCATTAAGCCTCTCCATTCGTCCGTCTGTTCCCTATTTAATGCATTTGGTCCTCTTTCACAATGCTCCGTAAAAAATAATCCAAGAGCTAAGATATATCCAAGTGGGAGCCAAAAGCTAAATTCGCTGTAGTATTTATTCTCCTTCATGAAGAAATTCGTTCTGAATATGACATAAAAAAGAAAAAAATAACTAACGATTAAAATAAAGACTAGAGACATAAAACATTATTAAAATGATATATAATATACCTGTCGCATAAATAAAAGTAGGCTAATATAGTAGATAAAATAGCCAAAGATGTGCTTAAGCTATAACAGTCTTGCACTTGAGGTTGCTCTATTTGCACAGCTTCGGAAGATTCTATTTGCGCAGCTTCAGAAGATTCTGTTTCTTCCGTATCTTGGGTTTCCTCCGTAGCTACATTAGAGTATGAAACTTCCGATCGTTGCTGGCAGAATCTTCTGTACAACCAAACACTCCCACCAATTATTATACTATAACAGATTTTCAGTTACCTGCTGTAGAAATACAAATAATATATTAACACTTACCATATCGCTAGAATAGATAAAGTTAATAATTGCAAAGTCGTAGCCGATTCCGGATAGCTACAACAGCTCCCGTCGCCAAAGTTCATATGATTGTTACAATATGTGTTCAGTAATATTTGAACTTTATGACGTAAGGATAACGGACTAGCTAAATATCCATCTGGACTTTGTTCTAGTACCCCTGCGCCAACGAGTCTACTACTTTCCCACAAGTGTACATTACTATGAGAAAAAATCTACAACAAAATGCATCATTGATTATCATCGTGCACTTACATATTTAATATTATATTTATAATTTTCACTTTCTTACTTCTATAGCTGCCTTATTACACAGATTAATTTGTGCATTGTCTATAACCGATAATTGGGCAGGCAATCTTTCTTTCACTACAGGATCTTGCATTACCCACAAAACTTGTGAATCTTTCTTAGCTAAAATATCTGCTGGCTGTATTAGCCTTACAAGACCCATGCTGTAATCAGAATACAATTGTGTTTCGCTAATATTATTTGCAAGAATATCAGCAGCAGCACAGCCTGCAATAATTAAACTAGGCATCGTTTCGTCGTTCTGTAAAAAGACATAATCGATATATCATACTATTTGAATATTTTTAATTATGAATATAGTAATCCTTCCATTTATACAGGTAATTGATTCTATGAAAAAAGCGTCAGAATATTTTGTTGTTAAAATGAATCCATACAAATGGAGGGATATTATAACTTATAACATATATATTTGTTATACCATCCAATGCCTGAAATCTTCTATCATAGTGTTATCCAACTTGGGTCTCCATAGGAACTGCACTTGTAACTTTAATTGTGCATCGTTAAAACTTAAATCTGAATTTTCTGGTAATTCTGTGAGATCCGATGCTTTACCATCTATTACAAATTGCGATACAAAAGATTTATAAATTTGCCTTATCCTAGCATCACCGGTAAATACAAAATGATTGTGATGTTTCATGAAAGCCAAATATCTCATGCACGTTCTGCTATCTCTAAAACAAAAATACACATTAAGCAATAAATAATAAAAATAATATAAAAAGCAATAAATATTAAATCCTTACGTTTGTGTATAATGATGCATCATACAGCCGTACGGTTGCCATTCTTTATCTCCTTTATATCTTCCTTCTGTTAATAACCATTTACAGGAATCGCTACCTTCAATATATAAAAGTATACAATTTATATTTCAAAAACAATGGTCTATCATAAAAAATATTAAATAACATATTATCTTTAAGGATATATTATTGAAAAATCTATAACTGTATAACAGGGTAAATAACATGTATTACCATAAATAAGATGTATCACGCCATGGTAAAGTATAAAACAAACGACAAGTGCTGTAGCTAATTTTTTTGCACTCGCCACTGTTATCAAACTGATAAAGTATTCCGCAGAAGTCATGTATAATTATTTTATTAATCACGTAGATACATTTTATGTACTAATTAAAACAACAAAAATACATTAAAAATGATTACGTTCAAATGAATTAATAATTGAATATACAATGAACGTAGTTACAATGTCATGATCAATGTCGTGTTGCATGGGATATTCAAGCGAAAGGCATTAGGATATGAATTAGTTTAATACGATCAAATGTGACTTTCAATTGAAACGATATGAATATTATTCAATGATCAATAGTAGTCAATGACAATTAAATGATAAACCGAATTTTCAAATCTCATCACGTCATAGCACTGTCGACTAGGTTTTGTTCGTATTGTCCGGCGTCGGGTTTATTGTTACGTTCTTAAGCTTCGTTCACATTATCTACATCTAATACTCGGTTTACACGGTAGATTGACTAGTCCAATGTTACAATTATATTAGCACATCACATGCAGGGTGCTTTAATAACTTTTTCCACTTTGAATATCTTCTTTAAAAACTTTAAATCTATACATTTATATGTATATATATAATGATGGAAACCATTTTTTCTCAAGCTCATTTTGTTACGAGATTTCAAGGTTATCGATTTTTTTTAAATGGAACTGTATATATTTTTTTAAATATTTTTCTAGAGCATGAAAAAATAAATAAAAATGATCTGCACGACCATATTATCATTCCTTAATTTCACTGTTATTCAAATGTTTATTTAGTATATCAGAGTCAGTTTAAAATGAACGTCCTGTGAGAAATTGTCAAATCTGTTAATAGATGTCTCATTAATCTAGTAAGCGTTACGTGCTTCTAATACATATATATACTTAAAAATGTCAATTAATCATTGAGTTCGGCATGATTTATGGTTAATAACAAACTCTATCGAAACATGTTTAGGAATATTGTTGATTTTGTAATATTTATTTCTGAACTTCTTGGACTTAAATTGTTTACGTGCAGTCTAAAATAATTAAAGAATGTTTGATTTGGCTGGCGGCCGGCGGTACTCTCCTATTGTTTAATCCTTAATTACGATAAAGATCATTTATCAAGTATATGAGGATTTCTTCTATGTCATCGTATTAATAACTAAATATATTAACATTTAAACTTATTGCATATTATTATATCGTTATCACGTAGACTGTCATGAGGCACTGATAACCTTAACACGACCGTTAGTATAATTACTGAATAAGAATTAATATAAATTATGATAAATTTTAAAATAATACCATTCGTATTTCTAAGAGTTTAAAAACATTTAATATGATATATAACAGAGCCACAACAAAAGTAATTATGTTTATTACAAGGAAAATATACATTTTATTTGGACATACTTCGATGAGTTACGATGAGACACGATTAGGTAAAGGAAATGTTGAACCAAAACAATCATCACTTCTCGATTTTGTTTTAAATTCGTGATAACGTTTTTCCTGTACATAATTGCTTGATGATTATTGATAATTGATGATTAATAATTGATTGAATAATTGATTGATTACCATAAATAATGCATAAAACATAATTATACAACACCGTTTATCAGTGGTAAAAAAAATTTCAACAAAATATGCATTCCATAATAGAAAATTCGCGTAGACGTGGCAGACAAATCATATGAAAAGCGCCGGCAGTCAACGTGTTAAATTCGGAACAAATCGTCTACATGGTCAATGGAACAAGATTTTAATTCACATCTTCAAAATGTTTATTCATTAATCTATTTTGTAGAAAAATAAAAACGTAGATATGGCCCATATCATTAGCAATTTAAGAATAAAAGCACGAACTTTGAAGTGTTTGGATTATATTTATTATAGGCGCGTTCTAGTATTAATAGTATGATGAAAAGGATTATCTATGCCTAACTGAAAGATCTAGATTAAAATTATTTTTTCATAATTAAATTTAAATACCAATTTTCATAAATAATAGTTAATAATTACAAAATGATTCGTCGTTAAATCAAAATGAATATCTGATGTATGAAGATTTGACGAAGAAAAGGATAAGTAGAGTAGAGTAATACTACTTTTACGTATCATACATAACGATGGATATATTTATAGAGTTGAAATGAATCATTGTTGATCGATATTCTTGATTACTTTATAAATAATATTGTAATCTATTCTTTTCCTCGCTTTCTTGTTATTTACTTTCTCTTTTCCCCCCGTATAGATCGGCGTAATAATCAATTTTCTCGATATGAATGAAAATTCCTTTCGTAGGATGATGATGCATACGGTGGTAGTTATAGAGTGTAGAGATAATAGCGATAAGACTGAAGGAGGATATGGGATTTTTGAAAAAAAAAGTACCCTGATGATAAACAACGATGATTGCGTAATTATTCTTAGAAAAAGAAAATATATTGAAAGATATATTTATATATCTTTTTTGTTTGCATTTTTTTCTAGATTTACTTGATTATATATTAATTAGTTTTGTTACAATGATCGTGATCAGATATGACGAAGTTACTTATTTCTAATGAACATGTACAATAAACTTCATTCTATCGGACGAAACATATGCACCGTAGATGTAATGCATAATAAAAATATAATATTATATATGATATATAGATTCTACGAGAGACGTGATTTCACGAACGTTTGTCATGACACACTTTCGTTTCTTCTCCAGTGTAGATTAAGACAAATTGAATAATGTGCAATAAAGTTATATATCATAACCGAAGCCCAATTCGAATAAATCTTTGGATCAAAATACTGTTGTTTAATCGATTAACAGGGAGGATAAATATCAAGTTATTCTATCTTCTGTTCTCCCGACTGAATTTTCATTTCTCAAGATTTCTTTCTTGAATGGGGTACGCGGACAAATTGGTTTGTCCTTATAAAAATAATAAACAATTGGCAATTAAGTACGCGAGGCTAGGCGTTTGTAGATGAAGTAAAAGCTGCGATTATTATAGACCCAGTTATGGCATAAATCGAATTTTGTCGGTCGTTTGGGTGTCGCATGTCCAGCCTAAAACGATGAACATGTCGTCGCCTGCTCGACAAAAAAAGTGATAAGCCAAGGTGAGAAGATTGCGGTAATCGAAGCTTGATTGGCAGACAAAAAGCTTACGATTAGCGACAACTTCGACGCGACAAAAGCCCGAGGAATTTGTTGGACAGGAAATTCTAGTTAAAAAAGATGAAGCTTCAAGGTGGCTCACGCGTGATTTCGTCAACTTGGCTACTTGACATTTTTCTAAATCTTCCTATTTATTTCCTTTATCTTCGTCGTTTGTTCTCTTATTCCCGAATAAAGATACAATGAATTCCCAAAGAAAATGAGATTATTCTTATGGTTCACATATTATGCAATAGCGAATAATGAATTAATGTCGCAAAATTAATCGTTGAACGGGAATTAGTGGAAATAAGGGAAAATTGATAAATTGGCGGTAAATCGTTAGATTATATTAGCCATTTTTCTTATTTATTGTTAGAAAAATGTCGAAAGCGGAGTTCAGCGAACGCGGGGAGGAACTCGTATATCTTAAGCATCTGACCCGTGTTTTATGCAACCGTTTATACAAAAGGGACGTTAGAAATGTATATATACAGGGTAACAGTTAAGAGGATTTGTAATGGTCGCTACGGAAACGCGATAGTAAAATGAAAAACGGTGAAGATTATCGTTTAGGGAAGAAGCTTATCCTCCGAGTAATCTAATTCGTGATAATGTATCGTAGATGGAATGATCATTAGAGATATACGAGTGGGGGGTGTCGGCGTGGCTGGCGGTAAAGTTGATGGAGAGGAGAGGACTATACTATTCTCCGTGTGTAGTCTACACGAGAGTGTCGTTTACGATAATGTCAGAGTGTTGGTACTCGACGGTTGATAAAAGATAGCGGTGGCTAAACAGAAGTCAGTACTCACCCGTTATTCGACCTGTCGATAGACGACAGGAGACCTCATCGTCTTTCATAATTATTCGTCTCGAGGACTTAACTATAAAACTAACAATTAGCTAGGGGATAAGAAGAATTATAGTTTTATTTAAAAGGAATGTGGAAAATGAAATGTATTTAGGGTGGCATAATCGAAGTGATCGGGATCGGACGGTGATCGAGTGAAAATGTTCAGAGGACAGGACTACGCAAGATTCGTTTTTTACATTGTCGATGGGTATCGCGTGACTCACTGGCGTAGGATCACGGCAAGATCTATCCGGAAGAACGGTTGACGATCTTTCGACTTTTTCTTGATACAAATAAGAATCTAAAGAGAGAGAAAGAGAGAAATATTAAATAAAGTTAATAAAATAAAAGTTAAGTAAGAATAAATGTCGTGTGGAATAACGACGAATAGGAGGAATTTGTTGGATTCTCCTGGTTGGTCGGCGATAGGCGAGAGAGTAAAAGATCAAACCATGCACGATGACAAACAGCGCGACTAGACTCGATCAAGATTGGATGAGGATGGTCGAATTACGTACTGGCGTTGGGATGACGGGAGGATTGGACAGCCCATCGTCTAATCATCGGCTTCATTACACGATCCTAACGATCTTCGATACGATTTTTTCGGCCATAATAGCTGCACCCGCGGTGGTCGGTTATTGGAGAGGTACCTGGGGTCTAAGCGACGCTTACCTTTGCAGAGACGATCCGATCCTCAGTAGTTTCGTCTCGATAGCTATAGGATTTACAGGACTCTTCTTCTTTAGCATCACTCAAGACCGTTTAAATGATCTTCTGCACCCGGACAAACACAGGTTGTCCTATTACGCGGGATCGAGAATCTACACGGCTGTATTTGGATTTTGTTGCGTTAACGCTTGGCGTGGCGCATGGCAAGCCCTCGATTTGTACACGGAACTGATACCGAGGACCGTTTCCTTAACCACCGCGGCCAGTCTTTTAGCACTCGCGATTATGCGTGCCATCAGAAACGTTTCCGCGCCGCCCTTTTCCCTTAGCCTCGATTCCTGTCCCGGATACTTCCAAGTGCAGACTATGTTTCGCGTAAACGTAAGTTCATTATTTTATTACAATTATTTTATTACAATTATTTTATTACAATTATTTTATCCCTGTGAATTTCCTTAACGATTCGTCGCTTAAAGCGTTCAACCCTGACGCAACGCGTGACACGTGCCGTTAGAAGAATATCACTAAATATTTGACGCTTAAATTGACAGTTCTACGACGAATCCTGCATTAATCTATTTCTACTATACTATACTATGCTATATCCATTTCTTCTCGACTATGTTTTAATCAATTTTACACGCACGATTATAACTGAACAACTCGTGTATATGCACACACGCTTAGGCTATATATTGTTCGCAATGAAAAAATGTATTATAGTCTTAATTTGTAATGTTAAGCTTACACGAGTCATTATACCTCTTTTATGGGATTAATCTTATAAACACAGACCGGTTGCTGAATCACCATTATCCCCAACTCCTTTTGAGAATTCAATCAGAGTCGGCTTTAAGTGATTCGATATCGACTTATAGAAATTACAATGATACCTACATTCAAATTCATCCTAATTCTAATGAATATTTATATTTGAACGTGTGTTTCATTTATTGCTAATATTAATATAAGATTCGATTCAAAGTTATGTATATACTCGGGAAACGTTTTTATGACAATACTAGATGAAATCTTGATTTATGTAGAAAATAGTCGGGAAAGGTGAATTTTCGCATATCCTACGAGCTCATGTGAGGTTCCACATCGTTCACGCATAAGCACAGTTTCCGGCTATCTCCCCCGATCGTGATCAGTATTGCGCTTGTATGATACATACAGGCAGAGGCATAAGTAAATGCATTTACGGTGTCTACTCGTATATCTTTCAATAGATCTACTCTATGACAATAAGAGTTCAAAAGAAAATATTAAAATAAGTTAAAAATGTAGAAAATTCTTGGATACCTGTCCATCGAGGACCATCACCGAGGTTTTGTTGCTTTTATTGAAATCATTAACGAATTCAACTTAAATAAAGAAAAGAAAAGGAAAGGAAAACTAGGTAAGGAATAATAGAATTTCCGAGAAAGGAGCGATTTATTCGACTCCTTCCAGGATATAAATCGATTCAATTTGGCTAATGGCTAAATTGGAGATCAACGTCAGTCAAGTAACTCTCGACAATCCGACATTTCTGGAATTATATCCTATCGAGAATCATTATCTTCGATATCATTTTGCAAAATGGTATCTGATCGTATATAAAAGAACAAATATTATTGAAATTATTATGTATATATATTATCGATCGGACGCAAACTGATTTGAGCATCGTGCGTGTGACATCTCATCGCTTTTAGAAAATCTCCTCACGAAGACTTGCTGTTTTTCTTTTTTTTCAGTTTTCTGCGCTTCGAGCTTCTGCCGCTTGATTCGAATGGTTATCATGGCATCCCACCATACAGAAGTCGAATGCAAAGGTATTCTCTTTGCTTAGCTATTCAACAAAATTACCTTCCAAATCTCTAAATCATTTTCTCTCTCTTTCTCCCTCTCTTTCTTTCTTTTCTTCTTTTTCTTTTTCTTTTTGTTTGTATGTTTGTTTTCTTTTTACTTCCCAAATGATACACGGCTTATCTTGTTCGTCCGCGGTTTATTTTTACTCCGTGCTGAATTGTAGACACGAAAATATGCTCAAATCAGGATGTACCATTCGTATTCACCTTTTGTACCAAAAAAAAGAAATAACATTTTACGCTTAGGTATATATATATATCGAAGTTTAATATATGAAATATATGATAATGTAATAATTATCATATTTATTAGTTACCTTAATAATTACATTTTTACATGATCTTTTCATTCTGAAGCAACTTGTTATCAATAATATTTAAAATCATGAAGATTTTGTAACACGAAAATTTGTTGGTTAAATGAAGCGATGAAAAAGTTTATTTTTTGAAAGTGATGTTAACTTCAATCGTAATCATCAAAATAAAATTATTTCTATACTATCGCTATACGAAAAAAAAACGAGACCACTCACAAATCTAAAATACAAGGATTTAATGGATTTGTTATATGTCACCTGCACATCATAGTTATTTTAAATCTCTCCAGCATACACAAATTGGAGACTGAATAATCTATCTATTTATTTATATATATATATATATATAAAAGTTTAATTTTATTTTTTTGTTTAGACATTTTGTAACTCCCATTTTTTGAGAAAAGAAAGAAATTTAAAAGGAAACATTTAGCACATCAAAGTTAAATAAAACATGTTGAAGCGCGGAAAGCTCTGTGCATACATTTATTTTCTTTGACATTTTTTTTTAAGAGATATTATTTATTGGGATTTTCTGCAATAAAACAAAAAAAACAATCAGCATAACATAAAATAAACATGGCAGCTCCAATATTTGAAAAATGGACTAGCTTTGCTAGTAATTAATATAAAACAATATTAATTTTAATGTTAACAAATTATTTAACAAAGAATAAAAAAGTTGAATATATTTCTGCTGGATTTTATAACATAAAAGTGTATAACATTTATTTTAATTTCAAGGGAAATTGACTTTTCCTCTGGACTTGTGCTTTCTTAAGAATTGAAAAACGTCATTTAATTGATTTTGAAAGTGGCATAAGTCCAATCATAGCCATCAAAAACATATTATTTTGGAAATAATGTTAATTATGCTAATTGGAATGATAAATTTGACACCTTTAGAAAGCCAAAAACATTATTCTACTATGTCATCTATAGTTTTAAATTGAATCCAACGCTAACCCAATCCAATTGAACCCAACGCAAACAAAATAATTCGATTCGAACATAAATGGACTTACGCCAATTTCTAAATAAACGGCTCATTATTATATAATATGTTTGTGTGTTTACAGAATACGAGGGGCTGGTCGTTGTACTTACTTGATTGCGCGTTTAGTGTTGGGGTCGTCGGTACACTGGTAGTATTTGTCTGGAGAGGAGTGTGGATTCTCTTCGATCTCTATCTTCTTCCAGAAAATAGGGAATACTCTGCTCTGGGTTCTCTCGTAAGTCTTGTGTCAAGATATCGACAGATTGCAGAAGATAGGGAATACCTAAAAATCAATATTTATCTAATATACAATGTATATTAAAAAAAAAGAACAAGATTATCAAATAATTGTTTAAGCTTACCTACATTCACGCAATTCTTGATTTTATCTTTTCATTTATAATAGATACAAATATATATATTGAGCTGTATTTATTTTAAAGTCGCTTAAGTCCATTTTAATATATTTTTGTTGTCGACAGTAATAATATCTACAACTGAAAGTTAACTAAACTAAAAAAATGGACTTTTTTCACTATATAATTATTATATTTTTAGTGTTTTTTACTTCCTCTTCTTTTTCTATAGATAACAGTATAATAATAGTCGTATATATATAATCTAATCTATAAACTATTTAACAAAAGTAATTTACCGTTTTATCTTTTTTTTCCTTGTGGAGTTATCGAATGCAATCCACTTGAGATAATGTCGAAAGAGAAGTTATGCATTAAATTGCATGATCTGCGGATTATACATTTTTGTTTGTTTTTTAAATAATTTTAATAATCTTGAAAAGTGTGTGTGTGTGTGTGTGTTAGGTAATTATGAGCAATGAGTTATATACCTGTCTTCTGTAATTAAAGAATAATATATAAAATATATAAAAATAATGTTGTTTGTGTCTCTCATAGGCAATCGGCTACGTAATAGTAGTCGTAACGTTTAGTTTACAACCCTTGATGCGTTACGTCTGCGCACGTTTGGAAGGTCTCGCTCGTCTGATAACGGCCGACGCTTTCCTTCTTCTTAGTTTCCTAGGAACTGTCAATGTTTGGCGCGGTATTTGGAACTTATTAGATCTATGGCTCCTGCCGAATAATTTAGTACTCTCCTGTTGGATCACATCGATAGGTTGTTTCGTCTTTCTCCTATTACTCAATTGCAGTAATTCCATTCTCGTTCGCGGGGTTTACATCGACGCCGAAGAGGAGGAGGGCAAGTGCGTTACCTTTCCTTGTCATTATCTTCGACTATTTGTCAAGGTTGGTACCAATGATCAGCTCGTTCGATATTATGGGGCACCACTAGTGTGACCGCCTAAAGAAAAGCTTATTTACTGCATTAAATGTGTTTTCATTTTTAATATAATTTTTCGACCACCGGTATGTAATAATTAAATAACTTCAAAACATTTATTTGTATCGATATAAAACACGTGTTGTGTATATAGAAATATCACAGTCCACACTAATTGTAAGAGAGATATATCGATTTACTTCATGCAGTTCATTTGCCCGCGCATGATGATTTTTCGCCTCCTAAAATGACATTTTTTATTCGATCGAAAAATTGGTATGGAGAAACGTATATAAAAATGAGAAAAATGTAGTTTCGAGAAAAACGCGTTTAAAGTTTAAATTACTGATATGGGACGGTAAAACTATCGAAATATGCAATAAATTTTTTGGAAAATTGCACACTAATGGTGGGTGGCCCCTTAATAAAGTTACATTTCCCATGTAGAGAAACTTCTAATGAAATGAATCACGCGATTACGGATTATTTTTCAGATCGAACGTGAGAAAAAGGAAGCCAGAAGGCGAAATCTTTTAAGCGCGTCGAATAATTTCGCCTCTTGTACCGATGGAACCGGCAAAGATGCTGAGAACGGAGCCCTCCTTCAGAATAGCACCTCGACTACGATCATTCCAGGAAATCCCGAATCTCTCGTATAAGATTACTGCCAATCCATCGAATGCGTTCCTAGGAGTGGTAAAAAGCCCTGCTGCAGTACCGTCATCTTCTTTTATTCACTAAAGGATCGAGAATATGATCGGATTTACGCTTAATAGGAAAAGGTACGAACCCAAGGGAAAAACGCTTTCAGTTAGTATGTCTTTTTAACGACCGAGAAATAGAGTGTTTAATCGTCGTTAACTTCGTCAAGAGGAAGAAGAAGAAGAAGAAGAAGAAGCATCGAGTGATGCGCGAGCATTCTGACCCATGCAATTACCCAAAGGCATAATACTCCTCGTCCTAAATTAAATACGACTAAAAACCTCTCCTTTATAATGCATACTTTTCTTCCACGTTAATAATCATAATGCGACCAAACAATAATGCGTATTATCGTTTATTTCCTTTTGAAATATCGATTAACGTAGAATAATAAATCAGAAAATAAATAACCACAGAAAAAAATGATCCATCATTCGTACGTTTAAATCTACATTTTAACTCTATACTCTTGACGTAACCTTGCCTGTTTTTTTTTTTTCTCTTGAAATCTAATGTCTTAGGTAAGTATTATATTTTCATAGTTAAATTGTCGAAACAAACGGAATATTGAAATCATTTTTCTACGACTAGAGGAGGTATGCTCGAATGGACATTTTTTTTTTACCTCGGGGGGGGGGGTAGGAAAGAAAAAGACTTTTGTTCCAATTAATTTTCATACCACCGAATGGAAGACCTTCAATAGCCAACCAGTGGTCAGAGATTGCATACGATCATTATAAATAGATCCTAACCTTCCTCCCTCGTATCCTGTACACACATACGATTTCTACTCTTGCAGGGCAATTACTACGTCACAGCTTAATAATAATTAATTAACTGGTATAATGAGGGAACAATGGGATGGCGGGCAAGTCAATGGGAAGTGCTTAGTTCCACAATGAACGACTGCCCTCCTGGCCTACATTTAATATTTATGCAATCTATGGTATACAACGCGCTTTGATTTTTCCTCTAACAGAGGAAAAAAAACCCCTTTTTAGTGGCCTAAGTGTCCTTTCCAATTCCATTTGGGAAATCCGGAATTATCAACACTGCCTAAGCATTATTCACAATGGCAGGTGATTTTGGACAATTGTATTCATATTTCTTAGATATCGACCAACTGGCTCCCGCCCCCACACACACTCCTTCTTCTTGATTGTGTTAATCTCAACGTTATTTGTTTATTTGTGCATTGACGGGATTTAAATTTTTTTTACCCATTGTTACATAACAATAAATAAAAGGAATATATAAATATAATTACAAAAATGATGAAAAATTAAATAAAACATACATTAAGTTGAAATAAAGAGAGGAACAAAAAAAAGAAAACATTGCTTACATAGTAATTTGATATTCTATAGGATACCAAAGTATTATGTACAATGGCTAGGAAAAGTCCGTAACAATTGTTCTGTTTCCAAATGATCAACGTAACAGATAGAACGGCTCAAATCATATTGTCTCATATTTTTCAAATATCCAAAAAACTTATCTTTCTTTCCTTTTAATCATTTTTTAAAGATAAATCATATGCCATGATAATCATATGCTTAACACGTTAACTGCCGTGAGGTCACCGGTGACCTCACCATAAAAAATAGATAAAAAAACAATAATACAACGGCGTTTTTCAGTTGTAACGAAAAATTTCTCAATAAAATATGCATTCCATAATAGAAAAAAAAGTGTTGTCGTGGTAGAAAAATCACGTAAAAAGTGGGTGCAGTAAACGTGTTAACTAGTTAATGATATATCTGCTAGATTATCGCATGAAGCTTTCGATAGGATCTTTTATCGTTCATTTTTTTGCCAACACGTCGAGTGCCTTATGCGTTATGATAACGATGTAGATTTTTTTTTATAAGACGCGAATGATAAGTCATCGAATAACAAACATATCTCCAGCAAAGAACTTTCTACAAGAGGCGCTAATTATAGAATGTTTCTTCTAAAGTATTACGAGCGTCTGTATAATGATTTAATAATAAGTACCATATGCGTATACAAGGTGTTCATCTAAAACCAAAGACCGAAAATAAGAATTATCTAGGAAATGTAAGTACTACTAATAAAAATAATAATATATTATAATCCTTCTAAAAGGTGTTTATTAGAGCTGGAAGGTTGCGATACGCGCAAAGAAAAGAAAAATAAGGATCGATAGAAAATCGTATTGGTGAATCTCGGATGTGTTGCATCTTTGATACACCGATAGGAGGAGTGGACGACTACTATTTATCGAATCGATTCTCGATGCAATCCGCGAAGAGTGGGGAATCTATTTGAGTCGTTCTCAGCGTCGGTTAAAGTTTAATGAGTCGCCCCTCGTGGTTGCAAAAGGTGAAGGAGTCTGTCGCGAAACGAAATAATACTTTTAACGAGAAAACAACTACGCGGAAGTACGACCGCGGCGGCATCGAATTAGATCGAAACGAAACGAAACGAGACGAAAGATTTGGAATTATCGCGAAGATTAGGATTCCCCTCTGACCTACCTTACTTCCTTTATTTCATTTTAACCGACGACGATTACAAAACAGAATGCCGTCGGACGATCCGCTTCGCAACGAACCATTGGTTTCCGTTGAATTCGAAGTTTTTGGTAAAGTTCAAGGTAATCATTCCTAATTATTTACAATTCAAACAACTTTTCTCAGAATTTGGTCCCTTTCGATAACGTCTCTCATTTTTATGAATATTATAACAAAACTATTTATCTATCTTACTTCTCGATAAGTAATTTATATACGTAATATAAGTATAAATATAAGTATATTTTTTCTCGTCCAAAGAGTAGTTGCCTCGACTCAAACCACTCGATCCCAACCCCCTCAAAGAATAAACGATTTCAATTTCTATGGGATTATCTTGTGTTTACGCATTTCAAAATGATTTGGTTGTATCTTTTTGTCGAGTTAACATAAAATAGATCGAGACGAATTCAACGACCTAAGAGGAGATAACGCTAGCATAAATGAATGCTCGGATATGGCCACTTGTCTCATGACTAAGTCTATTTTATTATTCCTTTATCTTTGCTATAGTATTAATAAGAAAGAATGCAATAAATCTCTGCACTCGAACAATATGTTTTGTCATTCCACGAGCATAACTTTGTGCAACATTTATTGTCCTTCTAAAAATCCCGCCAACCCCACCCCCCCCCTCTCTCCTCGTGATAATAAGAAGCATCATTTTATTTATCAATGACAATAATATTATACATTTAGTCGGTGTGCGTTGAATTACAGGTGTATATTTTCCCAAATACGTGAGAGATCTATGCCTGCAGCTTGGGATTTGCGGTTGGGTTAAAAACAGTAAAACGGGAACGATTCTTGGAAAAATGGAAGGACCACGTGCATTCGTCGATCAGATGTGAGTTTTCTAGATATGCTATTATAGATTTTAGGTAAATCGTTAAGTATAATAAGTACGGATTAAGTCTGTGGAATATTTGTTCGATGAAAATTCTTTAATCGGAAGTACGGACGTCATCGCCCGTGGCATCAATTAATTATTTGGATCAGATCTTGCTGGCAAAGGCACGCGTGCCATAATAGCTGTAGAGGTAGCTTGTTACCCCATATCATAGACCGACTCGATTTTCTCTCATTCGTCTTGAAATATGTGTGTCAGCATAGATAGAACGCACACACACACACACACAGTGTCATCTTAATTCGACGAAAGTAATACTTCAAGGTCACTGTTGCCCTTGAAATACGCTTTCGACATCTTTTCCTTTTTTAATCGATTAGCTTTAATAAAATATATATATATATTATATTTATAATTAATATTGTAATATATATTAACAAACCGAAATGTTCGGTTGCGCTTCTTGGAAGGAAGATTAAGTTGAAAGATTAAAGCGGTAAAATTGAAACGATTCAACAATGATAATTGCACACTTTTCATTTGACGCTCTATGGATCTTATGAGACAGAAAGCGAATCTAACAACCTGTGACCTTAGTTGTGAATTAGTTGATAACTAGCATTAGGTCAAAGACTGACTTTAATAATGATTTAATGAAGTAATAGCTCGCCAGTACGTAACCTTCTTCTTCGTAACCGTCAAAATAAGCGATGACCATTGTCAATTTCATCTCTGTACACACATATTTTCTTTTGGCAATCTTTCGATTGTCCCCTCTTATTAGAATTTCTATTTTGACAAGAGAGAGATATCGAGCTCGGCAACAACTCCAATTATTTATTCTTCACGATAAATAATTTCTTTTTAGTTAGGTATATTAGCATTATTCGTTTTATCCGTTTATCGAGGATGGACGATACAAACGTGTACCCAAGAGTCTAATTTGACTGCTAAGAATAATTTGGAGGCCCTTGAAGGTGCTATGATGACACAATGTGTACAGACGAGTCGTACACGTGCTACTATGACGAGTGAGCTTCATTTCAACGGCCAATTGGCGGCACGGCAAATCTCTCTACAACGTTCCATTTAACTTTTGTCCTAACTCGATTGTGATTTGCAATCATTTCCTTTCCGCTAATAAATCATTTATTGGAATTTTCAATGAGAAAAAAAATAAATAAAACTACTTGTCTTGACGTCATTTATTTCAATGCCAACTAATTTGTTCCTTTTTATTATTATTTTAATGATTGTTTTTTTATTATATATAATGTTATTCCCACAGGGCACAGTGGCTATCAACAGTGGGAAGTCCAGGAAGTGAAATTGACCATTGCGAATTTACAATGTGGGAGTATGTTACGAGACGTAGTTATAAAGGTTTTGCTATACGCTTTTGAACTAAAATATACAATACTATTCATTTATTTTTGTATGCCATAAAATTGTACTTCGCGAAATGATGAATGTTTGTTGGAGATTTATAATTTATAATGGGACTTTTATGTATGTATGGATGTAAATAGGTATGCATATGTTAGTTATACCCACGACATAAAAAAACAAATATGTAAATATGAAATATTCATTAAGAGTCTTCAATAAAATAAATTTGAAAATTAACTTTCGTTGTCTTTCAATTGTTATTTGATTAATTTAACTCATTTAACAAACAAATATCATTATTTTATTTGTAATTACTCTATGATACGTCATCTTGTGAAACGCGCGCAAATATTACCAGATCCTATCGAGAAAATGCGAAGAAACTTTTTCCCCAACCAAATATATACATTTTGATGCAATTACATGTACAGCGAGTCACAGAAATATTCGTGCCCGCTTCCATTAGAAATTTTAAATAATTCATATTTGCTTGTATTTATATTTAATGCTCATGGCTACAATATCATGTTTTAAACCTCAGGATTAAGGAATTATATTATGAATATAAATAATTTTGTGGAAAAATCTCTATTTTTGTAACATTTGTACAGGCTATACGATACTACAATGACTTAAATTACATATACGTTAATATAACTTGAATAAGAAACATCTATCTTACAAGAAAAAAAAATAACATTTAGTGTAATATTATATGTAATAGTTGAATATAGACATATATGTATATACACGTGTCTATATAGGCATATATGTATACATTTAGGTCGCTTAAGTTTGATTTTAAAAGCCATTTTAATATATATATAAAGAAGTATGGAAATTGATAAAATGAATAAATGATGTTTGTAATAAATCTTTAAAAATGTCACTTTACTTTTACAGATACAGTATTTGAACTTGTGTATATATAATAACTTTTAAACATTGTAAAAAACTTTATCATTATAGATAATAGATAATAATACAATCTGTGAATAAGTCTTCTTTAAATTGAAATCTTTATCGTAGCACTCTTTTACAAATGTGAAGCACATTATTATCAGACTATATCAAAATTTTTAACAAAGTATTACATTTATATTTTTTTTCTTTTACTCACACACATTATAAGAGTGTTCAAGCTTATTTAAACATGATTTCAAATAAGTGTGTTAAGCTTTTTTTTCTTTTTTTTCTTTTTGGTAATGATAATATTTTATATGTAAGGCTATATTTAAAAAGGAAAATAAATAGAATAAATATGAACACTATTGGCGGAATGTTTGCCATAAGGAAGAAAATTGTTGATAAAATGTAGCTACATTTTGATTTTTGTTTCAATGAGAAACACAATAAGACTGTTTGCACTATGATCACAGTATATTACTCTAAAATATAAAGTTTCATTATGTATAGCTAGCACAAACTATCTTTATTTATTCAATTGTTAAGAAAATATTAATAATAAATAATGAGAAACACACAATATACGAGATTAGTGGTTTCTCTTGTTAAAATACATGTATAATAGTAGTTCAATATAAATGCAATATAAATGCAAAATCTTTAATTCTGAAATATTCAGAAAATGTACGTAGTAAAAAGATCAAAGTGATAACTAGATATTCTCTATATTGTGCATTCCCTTAGATCCTCTTTGGAAATCGATAGAACTATATTTTATATTTTATAACAATACGTAGGATTCATTTATAAAAAGCTTAAATTAGCGCTTAATGTAAAGCAGGCCATGATAAAATTTGTCCTTTATAACATCATCGTTTAAAAATAGTAGCCAACAAGGCGCAATGCGGAGTGTAAAACTTCAATAGTTACATCATAAACTTTTGTCCTCTCAAAAACGTACACATAATTTGCACTTTGCAAGTGTGTACCTAACAGACTATACTATATATTTCTATTCTTATCTATGGAAAGATCTACATCAATACTACGGAAATATTAATCATTGTCCATTATTGTAGAATGTTTACGAGGTATCTCTTTCAATTCAGACTCATCGACATAGTTAGCTTTGGTATTTTTTTCTTCCGTAGATTTAACACACTACAATAATAAATCTAATATTAGCTAGATCCTAATTTCAATCATATATTTGTCAATGTTTCTAATTAAAACTAATATATCTTATTACGTCACCATTTATAAACTTACATCAGTTATTTGTATTCGTGGTGCTGTTATCTGCTCCGGAAAATGCCACGGCTTATAATTTGGATTATTTTGCACTTTCCAATCTAAATATCCCAAAGCAGCTTTATGTAACTTTTTTACCATCTGTTTAAATTTAAATAAATTTGTTAGTATTTAGTGATTTATTAAACTAAGGAATACTACGATAGAGACCTTTGGTGCAAATATTTGGGTAACTTTGTTCATTAACCATACAGGTATTTTACCATGCGGATCAGTATGTGATACATAACCCAATTCTGAACCATCTCCATTTCGGGAAGGTCTTACAATATAACCTTAAATATTGAATTTAATTATACATAAGATAAGTATATTTCATTGAAACTATCTTTGACATGAAACTATCTCATTGTACCTGTTAAATAAGATGTCGCTCTAATAAAATGTTTTCTAGGCGGATAGTCCTTGTGATAAACAGAATGATTTATGATTAGCTGTTCTCCTCCGGTATCAAGCCACGAACGTTGTAATATAAAATCTCTATTTTTCAACGGAGAAGCACAGGACACTACAAATTTTTAATCTCAAACATCTAATATAACTGTTGATATGAATCATAGATTATAATCATAAACAAAATAATACTAACTCGAATAATATCCTATGTCATTATTCGGATTGAAAAATCCTATATCTTTTGATTCAATCATATGAGTATCCCAAACTTTTCTGTAGTCAGGATCATGTAACACATCATATAGGGTTTCCGGCATAATATCAGAAAATCTTGTTCTAATCTGTAATATAATCATCTGTAATATAATGTTCAATAGAACTTTCATTTTATAGAATAAATTAATCAAATCTTAAAGCTTACCTTTACCATTTTAAAACTAATACCAGGAACAGTCTTTGTCCAAACGGACAAATCGGGTTTATTATAATCTAATTTCCAATCATTGTTATTATCGTACAACTGTTTTAACTTTTCAAAATCTTTGTCTTCTGCGATTTTAACAACACCAATCTCCATTGTAAATAAAATTGTTTCAATTTCTAAAAGAAAGTAATTGGAATAGTATTTTATACATTGCTCGTGTACGTTGCTATCACACACAAATTTCATTAATTATTCATTAATTCGTTCCAAAAACTAACGGAATTTAGATAAATTATAATTTATACATATCCTACAATTTTATACTTATTATTAATATTACTATTATACAAAACGTTTATTTAATTTCTTATTCTATATTTATAATTATAAAGTCTTTAAAATAAATCTTCCTTTTAAAACAATAGACAAAGGTATAAATATATGACACACTAACCTTTTCATCGACAGGTGGAAACTATTATGCTAAAATAATCGCAGTCAAATCATATCGCTTTTTTGCTTAAACGTTCTTATCTTAAAATGCTCGTTATCAATGCTAATGACTAGGCCAATTTTTTTATAAAACTCATCGACAATTCTCATTACAAAAGCTAACAGATTGTACCTGTCACACCGGTATGGTGCAGAATTGACAGGTTAGATGATAAATAGTTATAATGTTCACATCCTGCAAATAAAATCCAGAACGTGTAAGACCCGAAAATTCTTCTCAGATAAATTAATTCTTTTATGTTATTATAATTACCTTCTTTTTATGTTAAGGAAATATTAATTGATGACACGTAACATCTCATCTTCAAAGATAACACCATCCAACGCCATCGTAAGACTAATTATGATACCGCCATATTACTTTTTTTCATATATTGCGAAAAAAATTTAAAGTAATTAAAATTATTCTTATTTTATTTTATTTTTATTCGTTGGAATATAGATATTTTGTTATATTTATTACAATTACATTTTAAGACGAGCTTTTATTAATAAAATTTTAAATTTCGCGCACTCACTTGAATACGACCAATCGGTAAGCATTCTTTAAGTATCAACATCGTTGATTGGTGCATTTATAATTTTATTGTTTTTACGGTCAACTATAATTTATCAATGCTATGAATAAGTAATTAAAGTAACAATAAATATAATATTCGTTTCTTATTATTTACAAGATTGTTGCCTTTACCTTGTTCAAAGTTTTGACTTTGATCATTTACTGTCATCGCTTTACATAGTACATATGCAATCATACTTATAATATAACGTATACTGCAATCATGCTTATAATATAACGTTTGTTTTCTTTTTCTTTTTATGGCCTGTTAGAATATATTTTAATAAAGTCCAACAATGACGCACCAATAGAGTATCAATAGCGTTCTACTGATGAATCATTGGTGCTCCATTAGCGTATCAATGGCACTCCAACTAGCGTATCAATGGCGCTCCACTAAAGTAACAATGGCGTTCCGACAGCGCATTAATGGCGTTCCGACAGCTTTTCAAAATGGTGTCCTAATGACGCAATAATTATTAGCTTTGATAGACGATTACAGGAATCAATACGTATAAAAAACATTAGAAAAATGTTTATCTAATAAATGTGTATGGAAAACTGGCTAGAATCGAATTAACCCTTTGTATTCGAGAACTTTTTCCTTCTGGCGAAGCAGTAACTCGAGACGATATTCCGCATATTTGATGAGTGTATGAAATAACAGGTCATTCTACTACAGCCGCCCACATGTTAGACTCTGAACTTTTTAGCCCTCCCATACGTAACAAACACAGTTACATTTCTATTATATATAAGTATTACTTCCATTTATAAAGTGGATCAATATATACATTGGTCGTAACATTTTCATATGTATACATGCATACATAGATTTTTACTGAAGATTTTTGAAAGATACCAAAATGAAGCTACCTTCCCGTTTACAATATTATTTATACGATTGAGTAAAATTCAAAGTCCCGATTCGCTCGTCCTTTCTAGCATTTCTTTATTGATTATTTTTTAATTTAGAGGTAGGGAAGTTACGTAAAGTATAGACAGAAAACCTACGCTAGTAACCAAAGCATTGATGAGACTTAGAGGATGATGTTAATACTGTCATAAATCAAGATAATTGATCTTTCTTTATTAAGTGATATTTTGTTCATTTATACAAAAAAAGATATTAGAATGAATATGTACAAGAATTTCTTGATGATGCGCATCAAATTAACGTAGACTGGACACATTTGTGTATTTGTAAGTTATTTGGTATACTTTATAATTGCTGTGATCAGCCATTGTACAAGTTAATTTATCGAAAATGAATTTTACTTTCAAATACGACATAATTCATTTGTTATTACTTGTTTCCAGAAATATATTATTTTTAAATAATAGAAAATATCAAATATTTGGAGAAAGCACAATTAACTAATTTTATAATTTAACTATACGATAAAAAGTATGTATAGAACAAATTCCGATAATTTTGAATTTCAAAATGATATTACAAAAACATTTTATTTTCTGTTAAATCAACAAGTGCGCAGCACATGGTTATAAGGAACCGATTTGAAGGATGCATACAAAGTTGAAACGCGTAACAAATGTTATAGAAGCTAAGCTTAGAGTAGACGAGGCAGCGGTTCATGTCAAATGTGAAAATTACAATGAAGCTATGCTCCTATATAATCAGGTAAATACTATCGTTTAAATAATATTATAATATCGTAAGAATTTAATTTCGAAACAAGGAAGGATTTCAAAAATAGCACGTCAATAATGATTGAAAACAAAATAAATATGCATATACGATTATAAAAGAAACGAAAATAAAATAGTACTAATAAAAATAAAATAATAATAATAATAAAGAGAAGATGAGAATATACTGATACGAAATATCTTATGTGAATATCGATCGATAACCCTGTACATGTTATTATACGGAAGACATCAAGATAAGAGAAATAGATCTATTTGAAGATTTTAGGAAATCATGGAAAAACGTATAAAAATGATTGGAAGAACTTCAAATATATATAAAAATGTTGTAATCAATGAACGATTATGAATCGTATTATTATACAGGATATATTTACCTATGAAGAACGTTCAACAACCACTGATTTTGAAGTACGTGTTTATGTGGTGCAGAAGTTATTTAAGGAAACTTCTTCTATCTATTTAGTTTATATATATATATATATATACATATATTTTTATATAGAGACGTGTGGATTATGACGCGTTGTTGACTGTTTCTAAGGCAACAAGCCACCTGTAAAGGTGTCGATAATCGCACGTAGCAATGGTTTTACCCACAGGTGTATTACAGTCTTCTTACTCGTACAAAATGGTTGTTGACTGGATAAATTCGTTTAAAATTAAAAAGGTTAAAATTACATATCGCGTATTCGTATAGGTACGATTATATTTACGGGAAAAAAAAAAAAACAAGAAAAGTGTATAAAAAATTTAATATTAATATAACACATAAGAGAGATAAGGATACAAGAATGGGTGACACGAGTAACGAGTACAAAACATCGATATTTGACGCTGTGGAATTACAAGTAAACGGTATATTAAATCCTACGTTACACGAGCACAGTCTTTTGCAAAGCTTTGTAAGCGTAGGCATAGATAATACAGATGCGAAACAATCTAATGAAGAATCTAAGAACGTAAGTAAGAAAGCACGTGCAAGACATTGCCTTGGAAAAAATGAAGAGAACAATGATCTCGATAATCGAGAAACAGATAATGGCGATTCGAATAAAACGAAAAGGACGAATAAGCGATTTAAGGAGAAAATGGATACGTCTTTTATAGAAGTTCAAGTGCAGATGCAGAAATCAAGACTGAAACAAAGAAGCAATAATGCTCCGCGTCAAGAAGAAATTTATACCGATAAAGATCGTGCTGCTGCCGTTAATATGGGTAGCAAGGATATTAAACAATCCCTAAGGCAAAAAAAACGGCAAGACCGTGATAAGAGTCCATTACTTTCGGATATTGCCGAGCCAGGCTCTGTTCTAGAATTAGGAAAACGTGAAATGCGACTTGGCAACGTCAATGCCGCATTTAATTTTATAAATAAGGTTTACAAGAAAATCAAATATTATTCAATTGGTGAAAGAATAATCGAAATTTTGATTATTTTCAATTTTGCATTAGTTTTTCTAGCTCTCTCTCTCTCTCTCTCTCTCTCTCTCTCTCTCTCTCTCTCTCTCTCTCTCTCTCTCTATCTCTATCTAGTTACATAGATATGTAAATAAAATACTGAAACCATCCCAATAATCTTACAATTAATATATATAATATTCAGATTATATAACATACGAGACATAACATACGATTGTCTGATGTTCTATTTTAATTATTTCATTTGTTCTAGGCATTGGAGTTGAGCCCTAATGATGCTAATGCGTTGATTGCACGAAGTAGATGTTATCTTTTACTGGGTAATCCACAAAACGCATTGCAGGATGCTGAAACTGCATTGCAATGTAAATTAAAGGATTCGGTGAACGCTCGTGCGGTATATTATAAAGCGGAAGCTTTATATTACCTTGGCGATTTCGAGATGAGTCTGGTATACTATTACCGTGGAATGAAAATGCGACCAGAGTTTGGACAATTCCGATTAGGAGTACAGAAAGCGAAAGATGCAATACGTAACATATTAAATCACGGTTAGCAAAGATTATTGTAATATTTACAAGTTGACATGACACCGATTTTTTATTTGTTCGAATTCTGTTGATAATATTCTAATACGTGTATCTTCTTCATTAAATTTTTCATCTCATGAATGAATTCGCCGAAGGATTTATTTTTTGAATGACCCAAACCTCTCTCGAAAATTATATTTTTTCCTCATCTAAAATGTATTTCATTCATTTTTCCGCTATAAGTATACTTCTTAAAATTTGACATAGAACGTCTTGGGAAAATTTGGATTCAACAAAAGCGCCGAAAACCGACAAAGTTGGGGAACTACTACATTATTCAAATCATTACCAAATGTATCAAAAACTATGCAAATAAAATATACTTTTCTATTTTATTATTAAAATATATATTATAACACGTAATTTAGTATTTTATTTAATATTATATTAACACTAGATATTTATCAGACCAGTCATTTTAACTGATTTTGGTATAAATATGTATATCAAAATAGCTGGTAAATCTAGTGTTAACCTTTCATATTTTACCGCCTGCGCAGAACATCTTGCGCGCAACTTACAAAGTAACTTTCCCCACCACTGACGCATGCATGCATTGCATGCTTGTATGCATGTCAGCAGTATAAATTCTAATGACAATCGTTGACAGGCAATACGTGTATTAGACATATGATGGATTATATTCCAGAACTTTTAATACCACCCACTACATCCGATTACCAACCTATTACAGAAAAAGAAGCATACGATTTAAAACAATTAATAGAAGGTTGCGACTATGCTGTTTCAAATGCTGAACTTTTTATGGAAACACTTTCTAAGGATCTATCCATACTTGATGGGGTAATATGTCAATTGCATTTAATGATTACGAATTCACCAATAGAACTTTTAATGAATTTAAAAATTCATACAACGATATATTATTAATAACATAATAATTAACAACCCACAATTATTTGTTATGCTTTATCATTATGTAAAGCATAAAATATGTTTATAGGAAAATGTACGGCTAGTATTAGGTTCTGAGCCTCAAGTGGCTAAGTTAATGAAAAGTATAGAAGCTGCAGTAGAAGAAGCATCTATGGTTGAAGCACGCCTTGCAGCTTATGACGAAGCACTTGGAAGAATTAGAGAAGTTATGGCGCGTGTGGGACAAAAGAATCAAGCGATACATACAGCTAACAATAATGCTAGTTTCTTATTAGAACAATTAAATACAGCGATTGTAAGTGTACGACTAAAAAGTGTTCATTGTAAAACCTTTTGAACAAAATTTTCTATTAATATTCTGTATTATTTATTATAGTCACAGCTTGATATACCTGCAAATTATCAGCGCATTTTAAATGAAGCCGATTTGCCAGGTGGACGAGAAGAACTTAGTCTTGCAGGAATATCACTTTTGAAAGCAATGACAGCACCTTTACCGCTAGGTCTTGATAAATTAAGCGCAGTAACTGAACAAAAAAAACGTTTAGAAAAACTGAAAACAAAGTTTTCTGTCATTGTTGCTAGACATTTGAATAATCTTTTTATACATTTGGTCATTGCTCTTTTCTTCTTTGAATTTACATGAAGAAATTATGTATTGTTTCTTTTAAATTAATAACATTTATATTTTATATTTATAGGGTAATGATACAGGAGAAAATATAAATTCTTCTGAATTAATTCTTCCAACGCACGAAGCTGTTCATCACGAATTAGAGCCATATACTGAATTAATGCAATTATTAAGAGCTTTAGATAATAAAGCTTTCGTGCAACTTGCTAAAGTATATAGGGATACAATGAGTAAATTGTACAAGAGGGATTTAAAATACTTTTTCGAAATAGCAAAAAATAAGCTCATCAGCAAACGACTGCAAGGTATAAAATTTTACATTTTTCACATATTATTTATATATATATATATATATCAAATAAATGATATTTTATTGATATTACTTTTTAGCTCATGCTTCCAAAGGTAGTGGACAAAAAGCTGAAGACTTAATTAATCCAGCACCCATGTGTCTTCTTAGCGCAGAAGTCTGGCCACCTATAAGCGAAGGCCGTTTCTTAGATATGGTATTAGATGGTGTATTATCTCAAATGCAGCCTGTATGCCTCGCGGAACAGGCTTTTTGTATTTCATTTCTTCAATTAGATTCGGTTCTTACACCTTCAAATGTAAGATATGTTATGCTATTATAATATTATTTTATATTATTAACCCAATTTTATAATATAAATATTAGAAACATTTTATTAGAGTAATGAAATGGAAGAAACAGAATGTGTAAATAATGGCGCAGCGAGTCCTGGCTCGGTAACTTCAACAGCAAGTAAAAAATTAGAGCGGCAAGTAAATGAAGAAGTACGTGCTACAATGTCAGCTATATTTCCATCTTTGGAAATGGAATTAAATAATTTTATTGCCTTCCTAGACAAAGTTGATAGTTTGTGAGTATTTTTATATCATATAAAATCAAAAGATCAAATATATTTTGTATGTATTCAACATTATAACATTATTTTTAGTTGGTGTATGTACGTCTTAGTTCGTTTGTCACAACATGTTATGTCAGCTCAAGATACCGGATCCTTTTTATCGATGACTTTTGCATCTGCCTTAATTCAAGTGAAAAGGGGTTTTGATAAATTTATGCAAGCACAGCAACATTCAATTTTAACAGATACTAAAGTTAATCGACGACATAAATGTGGTATATTGCCATATGTTGCTAATTTTGGGCTTTTTGCAAAAACAGCGGAAAAAATTTTCAAACATTCTGATAGAAAAGTTGATTTAGAAAAATGGTATACGAAATTGGTTGGCACGATATTTGAAGCTATTGTTATTCATAGTAAAGAACATCATAAAACACCACCCGAAGTTATAAAAATGGGTAAGAAATTAGTCCTTACATTTTGGCCAAATTTTTTGAAGCTTACTTTAATTTTTTTTACTTCAGAAAACTTCCATCATATGTACGATCTCTTATCCCAAGTAAAGATCTCAGTATTAGATCAAGAACGCAAGGAGGCTAAACAAAGATATCAAGAAGCACTTCGTGCATATGTCATACAATATTTTGGTAGACCACTAGAAAAACTTAATGTTAGTTGTAATGTATATGCATGTGAATTATATCAAATGTATATCCTGTATATTCTATATAGGATATATCATATGTGGATACAAAAGGAAAGGGTCCGATATTTTAAGGGCTTATAGTAGCAAATTTCTTTTTAAGCAAATTTCTTTTTAAGCAAATTTCTCTGCGTACATTCAATACTGTGTACTATAAAATAGCCCTTAAAATATCTGGCCCTTTTCTTTTATTCAAACACTTTATATATATATACGATTTAAATGAGATTTAAAAAGATAATCCAATAACGATTAAATTCTCAGCTCTTTTTTGAGGGTGTACAAGCAAAAGTTGGAGCTGGTGTAAAGGAATCAGAGATTAGTTATCAAATGGCTTTCAGTAAACTAGAACTTCGACGAGTTATAAAAGAATATCCTGCTCGAGAAGTAAAAAAAGGTTTAGAAAATTTGTACCGAAAAGTTGAGAAGCATCTGTGCGAAGAAGAAAATTTATTGCAGGTTATTTTCAATAGCAACATTATTTAATATATATTAAATGTATTATATTGTTGTGTAAATATTCTATAAATGAAATGAAAATCTCTATTACACAGGTTGTTTGGCGTGAAATGCAAGGAGAATTTATCGCCCAGTACATATACATTGAAGAATTGGTACGACGTTGTTATCCGGACAGTATGGTGACGCTTGAATTTACGACTCAGGATATATTAGAATTTTTTTCAGAAATTGCCCGATCGCATTAACAATAGGTTTTAACCTGTAATGTTTGATACAATGGTATTAAACAATCTAAATATTCTTTAACGTATAATTACACGTATTACGATTTATATATCTATATATGCAATATGATATAAAATAATATTTATGATTATTTTAATATTATTGTCTTTCCTTTTATCTTAGCAATCGATACTTGATCGAATTATTATGATAATGATATTTATTTATAAAGTGCACGACAGAAACAAAGTTTTAAGTTATTTTATTTACACTGAATAAATGGCTTATAAACATTCATCGTAAATATAAAACATGAAAATATACACAATTTACAGTTGTAGGCCATGGGCAGAAAAATTGACAAATACGTGCGCACAAAGAGCGATGACTTATTTTTAAATTACTTTGAGCAACCTCGTTTCTTTTATTCGACAATGGACAAATTTTGTGATTATACATCGGACAAATAAAAAATAATTAAATTTTTGTTTAATAAATTCATAATTCTTCGATTAATATATATACCATATTATTTGTATAATTTTTAACACGAAAGAGTTACTCCAAGTATTATATTAAAGTAATTCACTCTTAGTGAATTTCGTAATGTCGCTTAGATCAGAGGTATTTTCTCTAGCAAAACGTATAGATAGATCGTTTACATTATAATTACCACTATAGACCACAATATTTCCAATCATATTTCGAGTAAATTGATGGAAATAGAAATCTGTATTTGTAATTATTATATCATTTTTTCTGTAACATACATACGCATTACTGCAATACATCCGCCATGTTAATACAAATAGTATAATTCGTCGCTTGATATCGGTAGCACTTTTTATCGTAGCTAGACAAATATTAGACAACAAACATTAACTATATAGTTGGCCCCTCCTAACAGTGTCGTATATTTTTTAGTGCCTTCCTTTATTCACTTTTTATATTTCTTCCTACTTATTAATGTAAGTCTCTTGACTTTGTATCAATACTTCAATTTCAGAATCTGTGTCTATATCTAAAACAATATATTTATATATGATGCATACGAAGCATTCAGTAAACAAATTTGTTGAACGAACTTTTAAACTGCACCCATTAACAAAATACATCAATATGATTCCAATTATTTATAGATTACACAGAATAGCTATACTATATTGTGCATACACATCAATATTCTTGTTGCAACTTGTAAAATTACTTTCAAAATACAGCTTTAGCTGAGTTCAAATCCTGCACCAGCTTCTATAGCATATAGAAGTTTTTCCCTTAACGTTTTTTCATTAGGAAAGTCAGGAAGTTTTAGAAGATTCATGCAGGTACTAGAAGTTGGCAAGCGGTCTACGGTGCCAGCATGTTGGATACAAAAAGGTGGATCAAGTTCCTGAATAGTAAGATAAAAAGTCAATTACGATAATGAAATTTCACGAATAATTATTAGCATAATTTCATACCTTAAATCCAAGAAGAGGTGGCCTGCTACAGCTTGTAACAAATTTCAACAATTTACTTTTTTGTTGATCATTAAATTCATTTACAACTTTCCAAAAGGCAGTGATAGTTGGATGATCGGGTGTATATCCTCCTGTGTAATTTGTATGTAATTTTAAATCATTTACATCTACAGGAATTTGAGCTCCCGATATTAATACTTGAAGTTCTTTGTTATTAAACATTTGTAACCATTCTAAGGGAACTACACTGCCAATACCTTGCTTAAATGCATAGCATTGTGCCCTAATTTGTTTGTTCAATTTATAATCCGCCATCAAATGTATGTATTCGATACGATTATGATTAGTGACAGGAATATTAGCACCACTTGGTTTTAATTCATCTATTCTTTTTTCTCCTAATTCATCGGATAGTACAGTAAAATCCAATTCTAGATCAGTAACATCTCCTTTATAACTTTTCAATGATAAAAGATTCGTATACATGATTGGATCCAAAGAAGCTAAATGATGAGCGTCAACGTCAGATTGAAGTCCAACGATTTTTGATAGGAAAAATTCAGCAAATGGTAACTCTACTAATAAATTCTCATACAATGCTTTTCCAAGAATTCTACCAATAAAATAATAGTGCTTTTGGAAATCATCCATTAACAAATGTACCGTTGGATTTGGATAGAGCATATTGTCTTTTGTATGCTTAAAAAATCCTCTATTAGGGTCAAAACTTGTTTTCAATAATTCTGATAAGAATTCTCTAAACAATCCTCCACCATCTACACCAGACTCTTCTAATCCAGCTGTATTAACGAATTGAACGCGCATTTTTAATCTTAATTCTGGCTCATTCTCTGGAGATAATTTTTCAAATGTGTCTTCGTACAAATAATTTCTTCTTACAGTTATTTGGATCGACGGTTTATAAGCAAAGTGAGTAAACTCACCTTGCTGCTCCGTTTTATCGTGATAAATTAATGATTGAAATACTACAACACGATCATTGAATGGTATAACAAATGGCATCTCACGAAGTAGTGTTAAAGTTCTAACTTCTTTCGCCGACAAAGGTGGACCTTCTTTCAGATCTTCGCGAGTTAAACCTCTAAGTCCTTGAAATGGTACATAGCCTCTGAGTCTGCGTCTTCGAAATGTAAAGTCTTGCGGCTTATCTATAGGAATGACTATATTTGATGTAATCCAATGATCCGGAGGACAAAATGGTCTTCTTAAATTTCTTGTATGTAATTGACGTAACAGACCAACGGTAACTTTAAACAAATGTGTCCTTATGTGTGTTACTAGAGTCGTTCGCATTGCATACGACGAGCCCAAAGCATTCTTATAATCTTCTCCGATAGTTGGTCTCGTATCGGGAAAAGCAAGTTCGACCAAACCCAGGCATACTTCTTTTAAATGAATAGATAATGTCACTAATTCTGTTGTAGTAAACGGCATAGCCTGTTGAGTATTGTCGTTTGATATTTGATCTGATTCTTTAATAAAAAACTCTGAATCGTGTAACGTTGCAATAAGTAAAGAAAATAATGAGCAAAACACATCTAGCAATGGAACTATCTTTTTTGAATCCTCCGCAGAAAGAGGTATACCGCGTGAAATGACTTGCAGTAAAGGAGCAGCTCCTCCAAATATAGATGTTTGATGCACAGATAACAATGCTGTCCATAGATATTTTAAAAATTCTGGTTTAAAAGCAAGCATGTACAATAGCTTGTATTTGTGTGTAGCTAGCTTATTATGAATTAATAAGTTATGGCATAATTCACACAATGGTTGTAGTATTGTAAGATCCTGACCTTGATCAAGTATTTGAAGTATTCGATAGACATGCTGCTGTTCGTTAAGCATATTGATACATTCTTGCAGAATATCACCTTCTTCGATATCAAGCATACTGGTATTATATTCGTTATCCGAGTCTTCCATGTCTTCTACATGTTCACCTGTGATTATTTCAGCAGGTATAATAGCAGAACTCATTGCAGCGAGAATCTGAAGGTAACTGATCGGAGTGATTTTCAGCTTGGATAACGCTGCATCAACAACAAAAATTCATAATTAATACATCGTTATTATATTTTATAATATTTATCGAAATAATAACGGTCCAACTTGAATACTTACTGACTTGCTTCGATTCTAAAGACAAAATTGAATATAGTAAACTCAATGTTGGTTCTATTCCTGATTGATTGATACAATTAATTAATTGTATGTATGGAAACTGTGGAAATTCTGCTAGAGCTGGTATAATAAACATTTTTATAGCACTGGATAATCTCGGCAATAATATGTTTTTACAAAATTCTTGTAAAATTAATATATTATGTTCACTTCTTGATTCCGAGGAAGAGACTAACTTCAAAGGTCGCTTTAGCATATCTAACAAGCATTTTGATATCGGCGTTGGAGCAATTGACGATGACTGTAACATTGGTGGAACTTTTTTATTTATTAAAGCTCGTAATTGCTCAAAGTACCTATGTTTTATTAAATAAATGAATATGTTGTAAAAATATGGATAACTATTTTTATGAAAGATTTTTTCTGTAACTTCTTCGTCTGTAAAAACTTCCATTGCTCTTAATGGAATAGCCAATGAATACGCTCCCCCAATTGATATTTCGGAATTGTATTGCATGCAGATACGAAGAATCCATCTATGGTAATTCAAAATATGACATATAAATATATATAAATTTAATATAAAATTAATAAATATACAAATATTTAACATATAATAATAAGCTTACCGTAACCTCCATAACCATTCGGCACAATGTAAACATTTTAATTTAATATCCTGTTGATGTTTAAGAAAATGTTGTAATATTAAAATAAGTCTGTTTGAGTCCAATGTGCGATTATAAAAAAATAATAATTTTCGAGTTTGCGATACTAGTTCCTCTAGAGTTAGACCTCTTTGTCCAATCGCTTGTTGCATTTTATCAAACTCCAATCTTACGTGCATACGATTTATTTTCCTTATTACATAGCTACGAATATGAGCTTGTATTTTAACAGCAGCATCGTGCCTTATACGCTGTTGCTGTCTTTTTAAACGTTCCAATTGTGCATGCTGAAGAAAAATTGCTTTATCATCTCTCTTGCTAGCACCGGATAAATTTTGCTGCGGTTTACGCCTGTAATCTCCTTCGAAACTATACATTTTCACTTCTGCTTATCAGATCAACATTCCTTATTTATAAGTTTCTGAAATTCGTATTAATAACAATGTTTACTCGTAAACTATTATTAATAAATACCTATAGTTGCAAATAAATTTGTTACAATTGTGAATTGAGCCGTATATAAACTAAAGATATAAACCATAATTGCATTAAATTACTTTATATATAAGATAAGGCTAGTTTCATCCTTTTTCACTTAATGTTATTAAGAAAAATTTAGTTAAAGGATTTACTCACTTTTATAACAACGTTGGCCAGTTATGATAAGTTAAAATCATATCATCAATTATCGCAGGGGAATTTTCGAATTTATTCTTCGACTAACTTTTTTATGCAAACCAGGTTAAAAGAGATAATATATTTATTTTTATTCGTACGAATCATTAACTTGAAGAAATATCTTGATAACGATATATTATTAGGAATATATTTAAATACCTTCATATGTGTTAACAAAATATAATAATAATTTACTCGAAATTATAATTATACGTTCACTCATTCAATGCTCGCCATAAACATATTTCAACAGTCATGTTGATCATGTTGACTACGCGCATGCGTGTAATACCAGGCTCGCCAATCCACAGGTAGGGTAAATGCATATTTATACATTTCTACCATCATTTAAAGCCGAATATGCACGTAACCCTACCTACCTACCTACCTAATGCGTATGCGCCACGTCGTGTAACCAATAATAAGATTGAATTATAATAGTCATACTGCGCATGCGTGATTACAAGTAGGGAGGGTATTGTGAATTCTATACAAAAAAATAATATTGAGATATTTAAAATAATATTTAAAATACATTTTTGGTTATTTCTTTTTTCTACAGGATTATATATATAAATTGTCATAATTTCTCCTTTATACTGCATATAGATTATTATAAAGATTTTTCACAATATATCTCATAAAAATGAAATTTTTAGTTAAACGTTTATTGCTTATCTTATCAATTACTTTCTCTAATTGCATGTTAATTGATATATTATGAGATTAAAGATAATTTTACACCATATATTGTCATTTTATGGAGCTTTTATTAATATAATAAATGTTTCATGTAGTTCCGATACATATTAATGTATTGTTTTTTTTATAATATCGAAGAGAAAGAATACTCGAGCAATATGTCGAATATGTTTGAAAATTATCTGTTTTGTTCGATGAAGTTTTTGATCCACTGCGAAACAAATGAATTAATTAATCAATACTTACAATTAAACCATTGCTACTAATTGTAAATATTTAAGCAAATTACATTTACCTATTAGAAACTAAAATATTATCTTGCGTGGACCACAAGCGAACTATACCATCTGCGCTGGCACTAGCAATATATTGTCCATCTAAACTCCAATCTACATTTATAACTGTATCTTGATGACCTTTAAGTTCAGTTAATAATGAACTAGTTGCTAGATCCCAAATTGCGATAGACTTATCATCTCCTATATAAAACAAATCAAATAAAAATTTATAAATAGTACATGTGTGCAGGCGAGTACTATCATTTAATGAATGAAATAATACCATTACGTGGTATATTTGTTATATAAAGATTTTTACCAGCAGCAGCTAAATATTTTCCATTCGGACTAAAAGCTAAACTATAAATAGTCGATTGAGCCCCAACGTATACTCTTAACAAACTTGCATCATCTTTGTCCCACAATCTGATTGTTTTATCCGCAGATCCTGTTGCTAAATAACGAGCATTTGGATGGAATTTTATACTCTGAAAATGATGTTATTATATTGCAAGAATTTTTCTTTTTCTTTTTTCAATGATATGTAGTAATAATAATAATAATAATATTAACAAAGTTGTACACACATTTACATCTAAAAAATGGCCTGCAAATATTCTTAAAGGAAATTTCCTATCTAAAGACCACAATTTTGCTGTTCTATCGTGAGATCCAGTTGCTATATACAAATTAAATATACTAGTATCCATGCACCATATAGGGTAGTTGTGTCCGCTAGAAAAAATAAATTTATTTATTTATTCCTAAAAGATATTTTCAAATAAATTATATTCAAAATAAATATCAGTAATGTACAATACATAAATTATTGCCGAATTTGAGCATTTGAATTTCATGACCTGTTTAATATTTGCAATTTTCGATTGTATAATAAGTAATGAAGCTCGTTTTTAATATAAAAAAAAAAACACATGTATACAAATATTTTCAATAATAAGAATGTGTATCCTCACTATGTTTTCATAATGATATATTATGACATACTTAATTCTGTGTGCTAACGATAAAATATTCAGTGATAATTATATGCGCGAAAAGAGTCACAAATCAATTCATAATAATATTGTTTAAATTATGCTATGTTACTTACTTATTGATTTTTCTCATCATTTTATAATCTTTTGCAAGATCAATTTTTTTTTTATAATCATTTATTACAACCTTGCAACGTTGAGTTCAAATATATAAGGTGAATCTGAAAGTATTTTCTTTTTTAAGGATTATTAATAAATTATGAATAAGTTGTTAATAAAGCAGGTCATATCGTCCAAAGTGCACAAATTCGTTATTACATACATTGTAATAGAGAAAAGACAAATACAGTTATTAAAGAACTATACGTACTTATATATAGCAGCGCAAGTATAATCTTGCAATCTCCATACCCGCATATTTTTATCGCTAGATACTGTTAAAAGAAGATCTGAACTTGGAATAAATCGCATATCGTGTATTACATCGGTATGTCCCCTTAATACTATCGCTCCTGCTTCATCTTTAAAGAGATTGTTTTCGCTCCATTTACTCGAAGGTGAGGTATTACGAGCAAGAGTTACAGATGGTTCTCTAAAATCTGGCTTGACCAGTACTGTTTCGCTTGTACCCCATAATCTTATTTCAGCAGTGCTGAATCCTACAGCTACTTTATCTAAATTAGATGCTACTATTCCACAGCTTGCACTGAAAATTGAAAAATATATTTAAAAAAATAATAATATTTATAATATATACAATATTTTGTGCTCAATGATTATTACATGTAAAAGACTTATTAATAATATAAACTTACTTTTCAATAGCATTGTTAACAGTAAACATGCGTAGTGGCTGCCAAGTATTATTTTGTATCAGTCGTATAGCCTCTTGTAATTCCCGCATTTCACGATCAACTCCAGTTCCGCATGGTTGCTCTACGTGTCCATTAATTCCAATCTCAGAGCGCTGCCCTTTACTTTCATTTGAATCCGTATCCATTGGAATAGAATCTACTTTCTTAATTATAGTAACGTGTGTATTTATTATCTGTAAGAAAACAATATAATAAATACATTGTTAGATTTAAATCTAACAAATATGATTATGACATATTACCTGCATCAATGTTATATGCCCATGTTTTTTAAGAAATTGTTGAAGGCATACATGAGCTACATCTGATATATCCACTTTGTATTTCCTAGTTCTAAATGCATTTACTAATGGCCTTAATTCAATATCTTGTATAGAGAAGACACCGGAAAGTTCTTCTAAAAAACTTTTTTCCGTTTCACTAATAAAGTCACCTTGATGAGATTTTAAAAATTGTACTGCGGCTTGTTTATTTCCAGCATGTAACATTTCCAAATAAAGATGACAAAATACTGGATACAAAAGGCCTCTCAGTTCTGTTTTTATATTATCATTAAGTATGAAATTTACCCATGTTTTTAACCTGAAACATTTTCAAATGTAAATATATGTATATATATATATATATATATATATATATATTGGAGATATCACACCGTCATTTGGTATTTGAAAGATGGGAAAAGTTTCATAATAAAATTCAATTTGATAATAATGCTTATGAAAATGATTGCTAAAAAAATAAGGAATAAAAGAAATGAATAAACAAACCGTTCGAATGCTTGATCAGCAGCAGCTGTATCAATAGTAATAGCACTAAAGACAATTGAATTATCTCGAGATATGCCCAACTTAACTGTTGCGCTAAGAGTCATTTCATCGCCGGTTTGACAAATTGATTGATCGGATTTACAAAAAAATTCACCACCTTGCTATGTAAATAAACAAATAATTAGGGTTATGTTATAGTATTTAAGCAATCTGTTAACTTAACCAAAAATTGTACCTGGTAATGACGTCGTTTTAAATACGATTCGACCGTAGCATTTATTATTTCACTTTTGGAACGCTTCATTTTCATTTATCCCTCGATCAATGAGACTTTCCTTGGTTTGTGGACGATTTTACAAATTTATTAGAATCCTTGTATAAGGGTATAAACTTCCAAGTGGAATCGAATACAGCTGATATGAGAATTTGTTTATTTTAATATACATGTTTCAACGAAAGGGGCACCACAAGCAACCACTATGCGAGGGCGCTAGCGTATTCCGTGTTTATTTCCAAGATAGTTGAAATAAGTTAGTTAGATTAATTTTCTCTGGTCTTGTTCTTGTATAGATTTTCATTGAAATTTGAATATTTTTAGGAATGGCACCACCAAAACGTTTTAAAAAAGATAATGACAGAGGCAAATGGAAGAAAAGGAAAGAAGATCACGAAGAATGTATGGATGATGACTCTACCGATGTTGTAGAAACAGAAGGAATTCCTGATGCTGCTAAAACTGATATAGAAAAACAAGATGAAGGTGTTTTAGAAGATGAATTTGGTGCTAAAGATTATCGTTCACAAATGACGTTAAAACCTGATTGTGAATCTAGGCCATTATGGGTAGCACCAAATGGACATATTTTCTTAGAATCTTTTTCACCGGTTTACAAACATGCGCATGACTTTTTGATAGCAATATCAGAACCTGTTTGTCGACCAGAACATATTCATGAATATAAACTAACGGCGTATTCCTTGTACGCTGCTGTTAGTGTGGGCCTTCAAACGCATGATATAATAGAATATTTGAAAAGATTGAGTAAAACTAGTATACCTAATGGTATTGTAGAATTTATAAAGTTATGTACGTTGTCGTATGGAAAAGTGAAGCTTGTACTAAAGCGTAACAAGTATTTTGTGGAGTCTCCATTTCCAGAAGTATTACAAACACTTTTGAAGGATCCTGTTATACAGCAATGCAGATTAAGAAAAAATGTAGACGATTTAGAAAAAGATGAAATTACAACAAACATTGAAAATAAGGGAAAGAGTATAAAATTTGGTGCTAAACCATTAGCAAGCGGTCAAGCAGTTACTGCTGCTAAGCAAGCTGCTCCTGAAACCAAAGTCGATCAAACGCCGTCAGAAATGGCTGCTATTCCCGAAGATATAACTACATTTTATGAAAAAATTGATAAAGAAGATGAAGACGAAGAGGAAGAATTAGAATTAAAAACAGTTAGTTTTGAAGTAAATCAAGAAAAAATTGAAGTTATACAAAAAAGGTGTATAGAACTGGAATATCCGTTACTAGCAGAATATGATTTTCGCAATGATAATGTAAATCCTGATATAAATATTGATTTAAAACCATCAGCAGTCCTGAGGCCTTATCAAGAGAAAAGTTTACGCAAGATGTTTGGCAACGGACGTGCTAGATCAGGCGTTATAGTCCTGCCATGCGGTGCAGGAAAAAGTTTAGTCGGCGTAACAGCTTGTTGTACGGTACGAAAGCGTGCTTTGGTACTCTGTAATTCTGGAGTATCTGTAGAACAATGGAAACAGCAATTTAAAATGTGGTCTACTGCTGACGATTCTATGATTTGTCGATTTACCAGCGAAGCCAAAGACAAACCTATGGGTTGTGGTATTTTAATTACCACGTATTCTATGATAACGCATACGCAAAAACGTTCCTGGGAGGCCGAGCAAACTATGCGATGGCTTCAAGAACAGGAATGGGGAATTATGGTTTTAGATGAAGTACATACGATTCCTGCTAAGATGTTTAGAAGAGTATTAACGATTGTACAGTCTCATTGTAAATTAGGATTAACAGCTACATTATTGCGAGAAGATGACAAAATCGCAGATCTCAATTTCTTAATTGGTCCTAAATTATATGAAGCTAATTGGTTGGAATTACAAAAACGGGGATTCATAGCCAGAGTACAGTGTGCCGAAGTATGGTGTCCTATGACGCCTGAATTTTATAGGGAATATCTTGTATGCAAAACAAATAGGAAACTATTATTATATGTAATGAATCCAAATAAGTTTCGAAGTTGCCAATATTTGATTAGATACCACGAAAGACGTGGCGATAAAACAATTGTCTTCTCGGATAATGTATTTGCATTAAAACATTATGCTATTAAAATGAATAAACCTTATATTTATGGACCAACTAGCCAAAGCGAACGAATACAGATATTGCAAAATTTTAAGTTTAATACAAAAGTTAATACAATATTTGTCAGTAAAGTAGCTGATACTTCTTTCGATTTACCAGAAGCAAATGTATTAATTCAGATTTCTTCGCATGGCGGCTCCAGACGTCAAGAAGCTCAACGATTGGGACGTATATTGAGAGCTAAAAAAGGTGCTATTGCGGAAGAATACAACGCCTTCTTTTATACGTTAGTATCGCAAGATACTATGGAAATGAATTATTCAAGGAAACGTCAAAGATTTCTCGTTAATCAAGGTTACGCTTATAAAGTTATTACCAAGTTGGCAGGTATGGACGATGAACCAGATTTAATGTATGGTTTAAGAGAAGATCAAGGACAGTTACTGCAACAAGTCCTTACTGCCAGCGATATGGATGCGGACGAGGAAAGAATTCCTGGGGAAGGTATAAGATCGGTTACAATGAAGGCAGGAAATATGACGTCGCTATCAGGAGCAGATGATGCTGTCTACTATGAATATAAAAAAGCACCGAGTTCCTCGACAGCTAACAAACATCCGCTATTTAAAAAATTCAGGACTTAAGAGTTTTACAGTAGAATCTAGTATCTTTATGGTACAACAATTGCTTTATAATGTCCTATATTTATGAGTTGTAAGAATTGTAAGTGATATAAGATAAATCAAAGTTACGAAGCATGCTGCGTTATATCATTTAGGATTAACAATTTACATAGATAGCACATTGAATAAATCAAATGTAATTTTAAAAAGATGTAACGTTGATAATGTTAAAAGGTAAACTGTATTTTTCATACACATTAAAAATATCTTTATACTATACTCTGGTATATTGGAATTAATTCACAGTTTTATGTGAACTTGTATGTAACATTTTGTAAATCAAATAAATTATTATAAATATTAATTATTTCGAAATGAGTATTTATATATTATAAGCAGAGCTTGAAGGAAATTGTTCAAATTTTCAATTAGTTTGCTATGAATAATATATTTTTGAGTAAACATGATTACATTCAAATAAAAGATATACGTTACATGTTTGTTACAACACAGTAAAACAAACAAGATTAGCAATGTTTATTGAGAAAATAATATATTATATAACTAACAAGCAGTATAAGAGTTCAAGGAAAACAAATTTTTTAGTCGAGAAATTATATTTTAACCAGAGAAAGTCCAAATTCTATGGCCTTGATTATTAGTACGAGTGTGAGTGTTATAATAATCATTTCTTGCAGGTAGAGAATTAGGTCTGCTGGTTGGACGGCTATTGGGTCCACGATTACGATCATCTCCAAATAATCGATTCCGAATAGAATTATCACCGATGGTATTTCTAGATCCAGAAAGTCCAGATGATCTGCCGGGTCCATATGCTCTTGGCGGTGGTGTTGGTGGTGGTCGTACCGTTCCACGAGCACGTGGTCTTTCATATGGTACTGTTAAATTGTAGATCGATAATGAACAAATTTATTGCTATATTAAAATATATCGAAAGTAATTTAAAGTAAACTATCCAGTCAAAAATAATGAAATATTATGAGATCCTTTTTGAAGACTTTTTTTATTTAGTGTTTAGTGTTTTGTTCATGCCAAATCTGCCCACTCGGCATATACATCTTTCTTTTTAATTATTCTAAGTTTACTCTTTATTTTTTTGCATTTGTTTTTATAAATACATGTTATATTATTATTCAAATAAAGAAGTATGTATTAAAAGAAATTAGTTAAAAAATAAAATTAAAACTTTCATGGAAGCATTTCAATTTAAAGTTATTAGCATTAAAAAGCAGTATTTTTAAAATTTCAACTAATTGTATTAATTTGTAAAAATATTATATAAATATATATAAAATGCATATATAAAATAATTAAGATAAATTTATGAAATAAGAATATTACATGTTGATTTACAGATTATTATGTAGCATGTGTGCGTATGTGGAAAAGAAAATTTTCTAAATTTTTTATAAATATCAATAAAAATATATATTCATTATTATCTTATATTAACAACTGCTAAAAGAACATTATTGTGATTATTATAACGGTATATAATTATATATATATTCTATAATTGAAGGTAATTAATTAGCAATTATATGTATACGAATATCGATCATCTATATACACGTAAATAGATCTTGTATGAACGTATGCATGCATACATGTAGATATATACTTCGCGTACGAAGGCACTGTGCATTGCATAGATAGCAATTATTTAATAGAGCAATTGGACGATAGGCATAAAGGCCATATTTGTAAAAGTTGCATTTTCAAATAGTCATGGTGTAGAAATAAAACTATGTACATAGCAAATATTCTATATAAAAATAATCAGGCGATATCAGGTACAAGTTGCAGTTAAATAGAAACTTTGTTAAATTATTTCGTCATAATGTAACTTCATAATTTTTGATAAAAACACAAATAGATTTGTTGAAAATTCGCGCAAAAGATTATATATATTTTATAAAATACGTTTGGAACAGTTATATGCCTTTTTTTTGTCTTTTGAATCAAGGATAGCAATGCACTGTTTATTATCAAAAAATAAAATAAAACAAACACAAGTTGTTTATAATCACGATCGATTGAAAATAATGAGAGCTAAGGTAATCAAACAAACGGTCGTAAAAGATGCAGATTGTCCGATGCTACTACTATTTTTACGATATACAGAATTCGAATTGTAGGAATATCCTCGATGATTCTGATTCGGATAATTTTGATAACCAGGATATTGTCCTACTGGATATCGTTGACCGTTTGGATATTGTTGTTGCGGATATCCTGCTTGCGGATATCCAGATTGTCCTGGATATGGGGGATAACCTTGACCAGGATATCCTTGACCAGGTTGCGGCATTCTGTTCATAGTTGGATAGGGTGGATAACCGAGGTTATCCGTTCGCGGATGATTTCCTTGATTCGTTGATGGATAAGGAGGATAGCCGTTGTTGTTATTCGAAGATCCTAGATTGCTGGGATAAGAAGGGTAACCGATATTGTTACCAGTATTAACTTGATGATAACCAGTTCCCCCGGGTACAGGATCAGCGGGGGCTGGAGGTGCATTCGCGTTAGCGTACGGATTCGAGTTGGTATTCGTGTGTTTATTAGTATCACTATTGCTGACTTGTTGACCATTCACAATATCGACACCCGCCGATTGGAACCCTGAAAATGACCCTCTTTTGTTCGTTTCGCTTGTATAAGGGCTAGTATTTTCTAAATATCTTTAGTACATTTTAATCAAACATAATTTAAATTTAAAAACAAAAACTTTCCGATCAAAGTTCGAGAGAAATGCTTTTGCAAATAATTTTATCAATGCTAAATTTACATCCTTAAAAAAGACTTCAAATTCCATAGCAGTTCCAGGTGTTAATATCTTTTTTATTCTTATTTTTATTTCCAATTAATTGTTAAATTTATTTACTAATTTTCTTACAAAAGCTTTGATTATGCATCTCGGTTTTGTTATTCGGTGTAGCGAACAATAAATAATAATAATAATAATAAAAAAAGGATGAATACAAAGTTGCTGAATTTAAATGGAAATAAAGCTAATATTTTTATTCATTAATTTTACTTTATATATTTATTATTTGACTTTTTAAAATATATTTCAAATAAATTGATTTTTATGCGATAAAACAATGTTCAAAAAGCAAGAAACATTTGTCGAATGTACTGCTAGTACTTGAAAAACACACTCCCCGTTGATTTGGAAAAATAGTAAATAAAATTTCATTCGATTTTTATGATGCAAATAACGTTATTTCAACGTTAGGGGGTCAATATGTTAAATAGGATAGCCATGCGAAATGTTAATTTTCTTGAAAGCATATCAACAAATTTGCGATATTAAAATGAAAAATATGGCAATAATAGAATTAGTAAAATACAGCCAATCACAATTCTTTGCATTCCGTATAATCTGTTATATGTTTAATTTAAAGCATATCTTGGAATAACATTATAATTATAAGAATTTTATCATCACAGCTATTGTTTTTTTCATTTTCACAAGCTTTTACTTGTCAATAATATCGAAAAGTGCAAAGAGTTGAGATTTTCGACTAACGATTTGAAATAATAATTTCAATATTAATCAAATGAAAAACTTATCGTCGAGATGTATAGTACCCACCGTTGGATGAAATCTTGCTTACACATTTTGGTATGTCATTTTCGGTTCTGCAATATTCATTTTTGTCACAAATGATGCTCGAGCAACTGCCCTCTGTAGAAAAATATTATAAAGCCCAATCATTCTCAAGTAATATTAGTATTTGATATCATTCCTATCACGGAGAAGTATTAATTCTGTGTAATCTCATATGCCGTTGTATCAATAGCTGCCATTCTTCGAATGAATGCATTCTTATTCATCCGATCGTAATTCGAGCATTACGTCGAAAGAAGTTTGTCATACTTTGGAGGAAAGGAATTACCATGTTAATGATACTCCACGAAGGGAGACATAAGAATCGCGTTAACAAAGTTAAAACATGCGCACGGTCTCATGCATTATGTAATATCATGCACGAGTGTCATTAATTCTTATGAAAGATATATGTAATATGTATTATGATATTACTATCGATATAATTAGAAAGTTAGTAGATTTTGGAAGTATATGCTTCAAAGACTTTGAACGCATTCAAATTTTCCCCAGGAACTCGTAAAATATGAAATTGAAAATTCTTCGAAAGATTATTGTACAACGTTCATTTTATACAATGGTATAAAATGTGTTATTCATTTCATTTTGGATGTTAAATAATTATAAGTTAAGGTAGGGCTACGTACTAGTTCCCGACATGGTCAGTAACATGTATGGGTGACCCGTCCGGGGAAAGAAAAGACAAAAATCGTGTGCTTTTGGCTCCAGAGAGGTGGTAAAACCACGCCGACGATAACGAATTAAAAGTATAAAATGATAGATAAATAGTTTTCGTATTCTAATATCAAATTATTGAATTGCTTGTCTTGCACAACTCTTGGAAGTTTATCACTCGAATTAAAATGTAAGCTAACGGATCAACGATCATTTTTTCTTATCTAGCGTCAAAGAAAAATAAAAAGTAAACTCAGATATTGTGTATTTCGTTAAACATGTAAATAAATGTCACGAATTGTTCTTACAGAGTATTTCAGAGTAACTATTTATTTTTCAAATACGACGGAGGGAATGTAATAAAAGATATTTTTGTTGATAATAAAGCAGTATTTAAAAATGCTTCTCCGTATCAAAATAATATAAGTAAATGTTGAATAAAGCGTTGTTCTCTGTCACAAGGGAAAATGAAAAATAGTTATTCTGAAATATGCGAAAACATTGAAAAGTATTATAATAAATTGATTTCGTTTTACCGCTGTTGCTCGTTTTTTTGCAGGTCGGATAAGAACCACATTTATCTGAGGAAAATGTGCAAGGATCTTCCGCCATAACGCAGACTTCATCGTTTCTACATCCAATATCCTTGCAAGTCCTTCCGTATTCTGAAATCAAAATATATATTTTCGTTTGAAATTATTATTGTGCGTGTAAAAGAGAAGAAGAAAAAATTATGAAACTACGAAATGTTAACGTCATAGTTATAAATAAATTTGATTGATATAGGATATACAAATCATAGGGACAATCATTCAATCATCGATACGTGAATAAGTGTACAGTGGTAGCAAGATAGATTGAAAAGATCATTTGCAAATATCTTGAATGACGATAATAGAGGCTTTAACGGAAATATAATTTTAACCAACTGTTAAGATATTCAAGGTTGTAATTGTAATTACGCGCAAGCCGTTTTTCCTTCTTTTATATACCGTAGGTAAATTGATGCGAATAAAAGTACCTTAACGATCTTCGTGCATTTTTAGGGGACTTTAAGTCGGCCACACCTTTCGTTGATATAATTGTAACTCTATTTCAACCCTGGCTCCTCTTTGCTTAAGAACCTCATCGATTTTCAATTATCGAGAGAAGAAGATGGGGAAAGGTCGGGGTTAGATTCTACTCGATTTTCTACCTCTTAGGAGTATTCCTTAATTCGAGCCAAAGAAATTCTACGAGTACTAATGCAATCGTTAAACGCTATTCTAATGCATATTCCACGCAATTTAAAAAGATCTACCAAGGATCAAATCAAAAATACGATTATTACAGTGGACGCGTACCAATATATATATATAGATATAATTATTTGTCGACGTGTTATACAGTTATAAATCAAAGATTTAAAACTTTATTAATCTTTAGTAGTGTTGTTATAGTTATTACTTGAACATTATTATCTAATGATTGAATTTTATAGAATTACGTCTTTTTATCGTTGACCTTTTTCCCCTTATTCTAGTGGTTTCCTTTTTCTGATGTTATTCGTGATATTGGCAGGAAATAATAAACAGAATTAAGATAAAAAGTTGGCGTTAGAAACATTAGTGATAAGTGTATGGATTTGAATGAATGCTTACTTGAATATGACGAAACATCCGGTATAGCGACGATGACCAATAGGGCCGCTAACGTAACCCACAGATTCTGTGCGTTAAACATTTTCTGGAATAAAAATATAAGTTAAATTTGTTCGGAAATAATCATATACACTTATACAGTTATATCACTATCGCAATTTAATCCAATTTTATTTGAAATAAAAAAGAAGAAGAAGAAATTTTTGTCTCTTTCGTTCGACGCCAGGAAGTGACGCAAGGATTTTACGTTTGTATCGTACTTGATAAACAAAGTAGTCCAATGTAAAAGGTATGCGTAAAAGTACGTAAAAATAAACTCGAAAAACTACCGTCGAAAAATTACTCCCGAAATTTCGTAACCGTATTTCCAACCTTTAATCGAATCTAACCTCACTTTTGTTACGAGACATTTTATTTCACTATGCATATTTGCTTTAATTTAATTTTTTCTCACGTCGCCTCTCTGTTAGATGTTCGTGACATTGAAGAATTACGAGATGCTTTTCGTTTTGAACGACCTCGAGAAATAATACGCACACACGAAGGAGAGAATCCTTTAGTGAAAATTCGTGTCACACTTTTGCGTCGAACTATAGACTATTATGAAAAGAATACTTTTACAAATGATATTGCCGTTATTCTTCCTTTAAAAGATAAGATATGCATTTCTGCAGTAGATGCATTTAGATAGCGAGAGACGATCAATATGTCCAAAATGATATATCTTACCAGTTTTTTATTTTTCTTCCAAGCGACAGCAACACTTTCCACTCTTACAGTTACTGCAGCACTGAGGTCGCAGTTAATTTGAAACCAGTTTTGTTGTCGTCAATGACGTTTGCGATGGGGGGAGAGAGAGAGAGAGAGAGAGAGTGAGAATAGGAGAAGGGAAGAAGGTACGGTAGGGGAGAACGATCTGAGTATAACCTTGAACGAAGTAGGAAAGTATCAATGACGTCATAAATAATGACGTCTCCTGCAGAGTCAACTTATCAATATTACCAACATATTATAATAGAAATATCAATTTAATCGTAAATATAATAATACATTTATACGAAACAATTTGGATTATCACATCTGCAAACGTACAGTTTCATTATAAAACTTGCCTCTCTGTTGATTTGAAATAACTTTATTAATAACTTTGATATATATATATATATACAAATGAATAAAGTTGTTAAAGAAAGAAGAGATTTTGTTGGGTTGAAAGTACTTATAAAATCGTTGAAAAATTGTTCTCTATGGAAAAAAAAAGATATGCAAAGTATTTGGAAAAACATATATGAAATATAAAAATAGATAGTACATATATCGCAATATGTGTATAGGTATAACGAGTCGAAAAGTCGAGTACTCTCGATGGGCACGTGCTTCTTCGAAGAAGGGAGTTCCGTATAGGGTAGTATACTCGATGGAGAAAATTGAACTAGAAATAAATTCGCGCGAGAAGGAAGTTCGCGCATAGCAAACCTTATCCTAGGCCTACGTTACTAACGGGGGCTATTATATTAGATTGCACAAGGTGGTACGGGGTGCGCGGTGCGCGATGCGCGATGCGCGCCGCAGTGCGCGCCCGATTGCAGTCGTGGGGTTGTGTGCGTGTGACAACGGGCGTCGACCGTTCTTAGTCTAATTCCTACCCTCAGTCGCGTACTTCATTTCGCGAATGACGAACACCATAATATTTCGTTCCTTCCTCATCCTTCTCCTTCTTTTCCTTTTCGCAATTCCACGAATTGCGATAATAAGCGAATTCAACGATCGCATTTTCTACTCTTGCTTATCATTATTTCTCATTGATATAGAATTTCGTCTCTGTCTTGTTTCTTCATCTCTTTTCGTTTCCTTTCGTTGTCGCGAAAAAGACAAAGATTTATTTTCCTATTCGCAGGAGCTTTTTCCGTTTATCAAGAATCGAAAGTTGTCTAGGTGGTTTTCATCAGAAATACGAACTGAATATTTTCATTGGGAAATGAAAACGATCAGTGTTGATTAGAAGTCTAAGATAAGAGAGAGAGAGGGAGTGGGAGAGTGAAATTAACGTGGCTTCTCGATTTTACCGACTGTCAACGTGGTGTGCATCAGGCAACCAGGTGTGCATCACACAACCAAGTGTGCATCAGGTAGGCAAAAACTCGACTATTCTCTTTCATATATGTATGCGTGCGAGTAAACGATTCAATCTTGATAAATCTTTCTTATATATTTATTGACGACAAAAAATGTTATTTACATTTGTCATTGAATAGTGCTAGAAATTGATCGATCATTTATCATGTTATCGATGTCAATATTATATTTTTTCGTCCACCAATTTATCTACAAAAGTTATTTCATTTATACGAGCTTTTTCCTCTCGTTATTACTATGATCAATTTTGTAATTTTTCTTGACTCTCGTACCAATCATCTTCGTTCAGTTTTTTAATATTTTATCAGAATGCAATTAAGATCTTTTCGTAAGACACGAAAGCATCAGCGATATTGAAATAATTGAATTAAGGAATCAAATAAAATAGATCGATGAATCATTATTGAACTGTTGTTAGATACATAAACGGAATCATAACACGTCAGATACGCATCGAATTTCGAGACAACACGATTACGATAATACGTATGATCGTCGTATGTCTAAAGTAAATAGGATGGAAATGAAAATTAACGTTATATGGGATGATGGAAATTCCGCTGATATATGGCCAACAGGTTCGTTCGTTCGTGCTTTGTCCTCGAATTTAGGAAGATAAATTGTAGGTTTGTCATAGTACGAGTAGCAACGCCTATCTATCTGTCTGTAACATTTTCAAGGATTATCCATTACTTTGAATCTCGTCATTTTCCATTTAGTAAATGGTACATACTTACGAAACGTGCCGGGTTATCATCTTCGGTACTTATGTTAGATAGAACAAAGATCGTACATCCAAAGTACATACATTGGAAAGCATTGCGCAGTAGCATTAAAACATCATTTCCATTTGCATAATGAAAAAAGAATATTATACCAGTTTAACAGAATTAGATTGGAAAAAGTAAATGTACATTCGTAATAGGAATATAGTTTCATTTTCAGTATTTTAATTTTTGCAAATTAAATACAACGTATTGCATGATTTAACTGATGAGAAAATATGGATAATGGACTGATGGACATATATCCATTGGACATATATCCATTGGACATATATCCCCATTGGATATTCGCAGATCATTTTCTTCAAGTTTTTATGTTACTTACTAAGATGTGCTTTAAACGTAACATCCCGCGGATAAAGTTAGTTATAAAATGAAATACTCGATAGGATTCAATATAATCCGAGCCTTAATAATTCCAAATTCTCGAGTTCTATTGGAATAGTATTAATATTCCTACTGGAATAGTTTAGCTCAAGTTTCGTCGTTTGACTTCATATCGTATATAATACATATTGTTTCTTTCTCCATAAATCATCCATTTAATCCGTACATTCTGGTAGTACACGTTTAATACCATTAATAATGAATTACCGGCATTCCATTGCTTCTCGTAGGAATGTCTTTTAGAAAGCTATTTTGAGAGAATGCTTCTGGAACTAACCGATTACATTTCATTTTGTCATAGAATAACAAAATAACATATAATATTATAATCATTGATTATCTATAAGTATGTTAAACTGTACAATCCGTATTTCCACTTGTGAATAAAAACAAAATGCAATAGACGTTATTAAAGTTCCTATAAAATACAGCTACCAAACGAATTGCAAAAAGAAAAGACATTATAATACTAGTGCAACTATTTTGTAAAACGATCGACTGTGTAATAAAAACGTGGCATCGAGCCAAGTTCTCTCTTTCTCTCTTGCTTTCTACAGCCGGTTAAAAAAGGCAGAGTTAAAAAAAAGGAATAAAAAATGTAAAGTGACCAAATGGAAGAAAAATGACGTAAAAAAATGACCATCGAGTTATCTCCGAATAGAATTATCATTTTACCATTTAAAGAGAATTGCGGATTTAACCGGTGTGGGGGGATCATTTACTAAAATGAAACAAAAGGGCCATTCGAATGTATTTTTATCGACAGACAGAAAAGCTGATACAGGGTTTCAACAATGAGATCATTTATTATCAAATAAATCAATACGACATTTGTGTAATCTTCGAACTGATGATGTATAACTACTAAATATATAATATAATAATACTACTATATGGTAATTATACTTAATATGGTACATCTGATTTTAAAGGGTAACGCTAGCCTTACGTGGCTTCAAATTCATAACCAACTTTAAACTTGACAATCGGTTTTACTATTTATTTCTTTTTTTTTTTTTTATTTATATATATTTTTATTTTATTAATATATATTATATTTTTAATATATTATATAATTATATGTATATTATTATATTTAATATATTATATTAATCGCTCCTAGAGAAATAGCAATAAAAACAAGCTAATATAACAGGACAAAGTCCTAATAAAATGAGAAGAAGAAGAAGAAGAAGAGTATATATTATATATTTATAAATATTAATATATTTTTATTTTAAATTTGTCTTCAGGTTAAAAACTGTAAAAAATATAATACTATATATATATGGACACTCCTGTTACTCACTGTATACATTTGATGTCTTTTCTGTATCGTATGCGTAACGACCGAAAAAAAGTTGCATCGTCTGCTATTAGCCTTTGAGATGGTCTTCTTGTAAAAGGGGCTTCTCGATGGATCTCGCTGGGGCGAATAGGTGCTCTCAGCTTCCTTTGGGAAAAATCAATTTCGCTGACGCGACTCCTAATCCGATTAATTAAAGGCAGGCGCCGGAGAAAGGCCATCGAATTTTGAGACCGAACATCCTATGTTGTATGAAATTTCATTCGCGAAAGAGCTAAGGGAAATGAAAGATAACGCTTGCGAAAAAACTATTGCAATAATATTCCATCGATATTCGTCATTTTGTTAGATTTTCGAAACGTTGTCGTACCTTATAACGATATTTAATATTTCTTTTTTTTTCAGTCATACTACGATAAATATCGTACTTTCGATAGATTCTTTCTTACGATAATATTCCTAGTATTTGCGATGATGTGTGTGTGCGTGCTTGTGTGTGGATATTAAATTGATACAAACGAGTTAGATAAAACAAGGAAGCAAGATAATAACTGAAAGTTTTATTTTTGTTGCAGAAATCTTAGGACGAGATAAACGAGTTGTTTTCTGTATCAAGGCGTAAGATAAATTTGTCGGAAGGAACGATTTCTACAAGTTGACACGGGGAGACTGTTCGATTAATCATTCCTTGGATTCCAATCGATGCAGCTTGATTAGGAACGAACGAACGAACGATGTGTTATTTAACGTGACATGAACCAACGTCAACGCGTTTCTATTTCCAAAGCATAATACTTATTTTTCATTGGTTAATGTACTTGGATAATAGGCGTATTCCATCAATCGCAATTCTCGCAACTTCTCCTATATCATCCATTTACAGTGTCACAGGTTTCGCGCGCGTTACTTTCCGCCATACATCGAATTCCTTTTAACAAAGCCCGCGGATCTTTAAACGAATCTCCAAACAATTTCGGATATAGATCGTCGATCGAAAGCTCATTTTTTCGGTTTTCATTTTTTCATCGTTAGGTTGGACAGGTTGGGTCAATTTGTTCATTATTTGACAATCATCTACGAGATGAAAATATCTTAGAATAAATAAATGGATAAGTGCGTTGGGGAAAATCTTATTGTTAGTTCTCGTCAGTGAGATGTTCCCATGAGAAGAGTCGTCTGCGAGGTGATGTCTTGTTGTTGCTGGTGTTGCGACAGCGGGAACAGTACAGCTGGTGCAAGAGGAACAACAGCAACAGCAACGGCAACAGCAACGGCAGCAGCAGCGGCAGCAGCAGCAGCAGCAAGTGTCGTGGTTGAGAACCATAGTGGGAGCAACGCCAGCGGGGGTGGTCTCGGAATTGCATCCGGATTCTCGGCGATACTCTCCCTCATCGTCGTCACCGTCGCCATCAGCACGGGCGAGTGGTTGTTGACCGAGGAAAAACTTCCCAAGACCTCCTCTAACGCCTCCGTCGAGCCGGACAGCAAAGTCACTTACAGTGGGCTTTGGCGCGTTTGCGTCGCCATAAGTGAGTACATAAATTTGCATTACAAGTATTACGATCGGCATCAAATTCGGCATCAAATTCGGCATCAAATTCGGCATCAAATTCGATATCAAATTTTACTTACTATATATAACCTTCGCGGTAGCATCTTTCAAAGTGCATCGAAGGTTTCATCTATTGAAGGGAGGAGATGCAGTCAGAGCCATTAACAAATTTTGAATAATTTTTCTTTTCTTGTTTTTTTTTATAATTATTATGCATATTTGCATAATTGCATATTTTGTTGAAATGTTTGTTATAACTAATAAACGGGGCGTTGTATAATCGTGTTTTATTTATTATTTATGGTTTATAATAGTAAGAAACCTTTTCGAAGAACGTGTTTAGTCATTTTTTCAAATTTATCTATTTTATATTTTCTTCGAAATTTGTATCTTTCTTTGGCAAGAATCTGAAAATAGATAGTTTTCAACAACACGTTTTTCAACATTTACGTTGTAAATTGAATTCTGTTACAGAAACAAATAACTCCTAACTAATTTTCTTTGTGATAAACAAATTATTTTTCCATACTCTGTATGTCATAAGTTTCTTCGCGAACCTTTATAAAAACAATGATATTGTTTAAAAATTGATCAGAATCGATATTTACTCTAATCATGTATTTTTACTAATGGTCGTTTTGAGGTTACCGGTGACCTCATGGCAGTCAACGTGTTAATGTAAGCCGACCAGACGTCTTCTTGGTTCGTACGAGAAAACAAGTGCAGCTTTGCGTAACCTTACGGTTCTATTTTCAAATGAAAAACGAATCGATCGATGTACATTCGAGTATCAACCAGTGGTTTTTGATAAATACTCTTACCTGTTTCAAAGAGCGACCAAACAAAAAAAATATAACAAAAAAAATATAACAAAATTTCCATTGGAATCAGTTAAACGTTTTATTATGCAATCAATGTATTTCTTTCTCTATTGAAGCATATCTATCAAATATGATGGTCCTTTCATTCTGTTAATGATCAAAAACAAATTTGTTTAATAATATCTCTGTCGAATGTATCGTGAAAAAAGCACTGGAATAAAAACGACGATCTCGAGGAAATATGATATATCCAATTGAAAGCTTTTTATTATTTCAGATTTTAATAAAGGAATATATGCACGTCAAACAGAAATAATACATATTCAATTAAATGTTAATTGCTTCGAAGTATTTTCTTGAATAATATTAGGATCGATAAGAGACGAATGTTGCTTTTAGATATTTAAAACATTGGCGCTTTGTTTCGGAATAGTAATAATTATTTTTTGAAAGCGTAAGCTTAGTTCGAATTGGACCAGGAAATTTGGTCTATCACTTTTGTCCAATTCCTTTCCCAAGTATCGCCTAAAAATGCCTACAAAGATTTCATCAATTCAAATAAAAATCTCATATCTCGTTAGCAGAAATATGTAAACTGTATCAGGGTTTTCATTTCAAATAATAATAATTCTTTATTTTGATAAAAGCTGAAAACCGACATTAATTTCTCATCAAATCAATATTCTGCACATGAGGGAGAAAATGGTAAAACGGGTCTATTCGTTTTACAACTAGATTATGTTACTACTGTAGGAACCTTTTTTCATCGGAATAAATTGAAAGTAAACATCAGAAAAGATTTGGAGTAGCACGTTGGATTCGAAGAGAAGAGCAAAAGACATTTGCTTGGATTCCGGCCTATGTTTCTCTGTTTCTCTTCAGATGGAAATGGCTGCTACTCGAGATTTTGTTGAGATAGGGGTGTGGGGAGGGGGGGGGGAGAGAGAGTACCCTAGGTCGGAAATGACTCGTTACCCGGGGCACCGGAAACCACTCTCCTTCTGCTAACCCCATCAACCGGTCTCGATCCATTTGAACAGGTCTACGAGCGGAGGGATGCCTCTTACTTGGCTGTGCTCTTGGATGAACGTAAAAAAACGAGGAATAGGAATGAAAGGAAACCATTTACCGATGAGCACAGTCGACAGCAGGATACCTTCTTATTGCGGTCGAACGATCTTCAATCTTGCGCCGTGCTGCGCTTTATTGCGCTTCGCAGGGATTTCAAATCACTTTCATTTCTTTTGCATTACTTTTAATTATACATTTCTTTTGTTTTATTTTGTTTCTCAAATAAATTGCGCTTTATGTAGAGAGTTCATAATTATTCCCCAATGTTATTACATTTATTTATTGATCTACATTCTATTGTCAAGCTTTCGCTAATGAATATTTCTGGGCTCCTATACTTATTACGGTTGTACAAGTTTCAATACGTTAGGTTACCTAGATTTTCTTTATCGTAATATTAACAATGACCGCTCCGCTTGACGTCGTTACCGCCAAAGAAAAGCAACGTGCAGTTATCCGTTTCTTGTTGTTTTCAAGTAAGTCAGAGACCAAAATCCATTGAAAACTTTCAGTCATTGTCCCGATACTTGAGATAACAAGAAACGGATACAACAAACTTGGCGTGTTTTAACGCGTAACCACAAAAATACTAATGCGTTAAGCACTTGACATTATAAATATTAAAGAATATTCAAGAAAATGTTATTATACTCTGTGGATAATAATTGAAGTTACCTTCGTAGAATAGACTTTTGTGTAATACACAGATTTACATAGATCGCTCACATTATCAGATGTACAAATTGTTCAAGTGAATATTAATAAAAGATGTAGAGGTTTATTATTTGTTGATTAGGTTATATAAATACTTTATATAGATAGAATTTTTGCATAGAATAAAATTACTTTCCGTTAGATCTATAATTGCTAGGCTCGAAAATCCAACTCTTTATTATTCGAAAAAGACGATGGGAAAGATAAGGGAAAAAATTCCGTTGGAAGAAGAAAAAAGGAAGAATAGGCACCTAGAAGAAGGGTTCTTCTAGGTGGAAAACGGTAGAAATTGCTTTTCCCTCGCGGTAACAGGATTTCTTGGTGCTTTTATTAGCGCAAACCCTGACGCAAACCCTGACGCAAACCCTGACGCAACCCTGACGGGTGACCGGCACCGAATAAAAGCGGAAAGGGAAAAGGAGAAAGTAAAATCGGGTTAACTTCCTTGCACGAACTTAATAATAATTCTGTTAAAATTTCGAAAACAAGGAGCAAACGAGACGACGGGAAACTTGCAAATATAAAAGAACAAAATATAAAAGAACAAAATATAAATGAACGAAGGGAGAATTTCGATTTCCATTGTCAATTAAAAAAAAAAAAACAATGAAATTCTGAATAATTTTCCAATTTTGGGACAACAAGTTTTCTATGACATAACAGAAAATATGCTTTTTCCGTATGTTTCAGGCTCGCGGATGGAATACGAGTGTTCGAGTATCGACTATTTTCCAAACGAGGAGTACAGTCCCGATCCCAGTGACTCTACGATGGCGATTCCGTGTTAGTAACGAACGTATTTATAAAATAATTAGAAAAATGAGAGAGAAATGGTTTATTTCGTCGTCGCGCGAATTGCATACAAATCGAACTTTATTATATGGTAAACTAAATAAATACGCTAGTCTAGAGTAGATGTTTCTCGCAAATACAGGGTAGAATGATTAACGAGCTGATTTATTTGATCTGCTACGTCCTTGCTTCGTTTATATTTATATCGATGGGTCGGTCTTGGCATGCAAATCTAAGAAGCAAAGAAGAAGAACGCGCGTGGAAAGTTCTTCCTGGAGCAAAGTTTCCAGGAAATAACGAAGGAGTTTGCAATAGAGACCGGAGATTCAGGAGGCAAACTTTCCAACTACGATCTGCGAATTTCCAAGAGACAAGTAACGAGAGCGAGAAAGAACCTTACGAGTAGTAAGAATGAGAAACTGACGTTCTCTTATGTAATAATAAATTAACCTATTCTTATCGATATGCTTTTCGTATTTCCAACTTTCCACGGCACCTTCTGGATAATATCATCATTTTCTATGTACTATAGTCCTGACAAATATATATACTATTTCTGCTCGAAACATTATCAAACTTCAAAATATATATTCCCTTATTTTGAAGTCTAAAAGAAAGTAAAAAGAAAAAGGTTAAATTAAATGAAAAGAAGTTGAAAAGAGTTTCTACCTTTTATGCATTATATAATGTTATAGGATACCAAAGTATTATGTACAATGCCTAGAAAAAGTAAGTAACAATTCTTCTGTTTCCTACATTGGTAGAAACCGCTTGTCATTGTTACCAATGCTCACAATCTCTGAATGTCTCGCTTATATATATAATCGAAATACGGTTTGTTGACGATTCGATTACGCGCGTATTGCACCGAAACTTGCAGATCGTTCTTAAAGAAGATAGCATTGCACGGGTCATCCATTCGCATTTTTCTCAAAAAAAGGGGACGACCCACTTGGTCGCGGCAATTGGGTGGCGTCAATAATTTAGAGCAGTGGTGTTCAACCTTTTTGGTTACTTGGGCAGCGCGCGTCTTGAGTAAAAAACAAGTAGAAAATATAACAAATGTAGGGAACATCGGAACAAGGTGATACTCGACTAGGACCGTTTACTACAAAAATCGACGTCAAATTTTAAATAATACGCAGCTGGAATCGTTATTTTTCGTTATTTTTCGTATATTTTTATAGGCAGCATTTACGAATCCGTGAATCCGCTTAAAGGTATTAGCACAAATGAATGTATCCACGTTTATAATATGATCACGTGTGAGATAATACGTTTATCAATGAGATATGCATTAAAAAAAAAAAAAAATAAAATGTAAAAAATATATTTATCATCGTTTTTCAAAACTCTTAATATTTCACAATACGTGATATTAATTTACGTATTAATTGCTTTCAATGTACTTCTCTGGGTACTAAAATTGATCAATGTTCACGATTGTTTCTTCATTTCTATTGAAATAAATATCTATCCATTTTTGGTCTTTCCAGATGCAGTTACAAAGTCGGCCATGTTTTTCTTCGCGGCTACGTCGTTGCTAGTAATCGCGGAAATTTGTTATTTTGCCGCACACATTACTCATCCAAGGCACAGACTTTGCGTCTTCGTAGCTGGAGTAGTCTTTATAGTTTCGGGTAAGTCATTTGATCAAATTTAAGCAAAATTCTTTCTTTTGACGCGTTCGTTCAATTATTATCACGTACAATATTCTAAAAGGGATAAAGATGTATGAAAGGGCTACTGTTCATTCGTTAGTTCCGAAAGTATAATATCGAAACTTAACACGTTCGCAGATGTGAATGCTATAGCATTCATTTTCGTTGTAATGTAGAATGACATAGCATTCTAATTTGAAAGCCAATTATTTGGAATTTTATTTCATATAACCATAAGTTTTTGTAATTTTTATACCTGTAAAAGTAATGACTAACTGATTCTTTAATATAAGATAATCTGATTGCCCTTATAAAATATGTGTTAATGAAATTTTCGAAATAACAATTAATTTCTAAATAAAATGACTGTCACCTTTTTTATTTTTTCCTCGCTGAAAGTTTTACTGTCCGCGAACGTGTTAAAAAATATCGAGAGAATAAAACAAAGCTACGTATTTTAAAATTTTCAATACTGCTACAGGATTACTCATGCTGGTTGGGATGGTCATGTACATATCAATTTTCAAAGCCGAAGTTGGCAGCAAACTTAGGCCGCGATCGTCATTTCAGGTAAATCTTATCGATCCCGCAGGTATACAGAGCACGTATCCCTGTGCTTTTTATTTTTTTCTACGAACTTATATTACACAAGTCTTGAAGCTTGATACTTTTGATATTGCAGGGAGCTCCTTTCACGTATAGATATGGGTTTTCCTTCCTGTTGTATGTGAGCGGGTTCATCACGACCGAGGTGGCTGGTACATACGCTATTTTTCTATATATCTCCTGGCACCAACGTGAATTGGTACGAAAGGACTTGAGACGCAAAAATTATGGGGTTGGTAGTATCGGCTACTTTTTTGTTCTTTTTTCTAATGCCACTGTTGCGCAATAATCGTCACGCCTTAATCTTTTCGCACGATTTATCATAATATATGACGAAAGATGAAAAGCTTCTGATGAGTTTTACGAGTTTGCGACGAATAATTCAAATAGGAAAAAAGAAACAAAATAAACAAGATCATTTCTATCATTGATTGTTCGCGCACAGGGTGTTTATCACTTGGACAATCATCACGTAAATCACGCGAATCATCACGCGGCGTTAGTTCATGGCAACTTTATCTGCGAGAGACATCAGAAGAGATATTTCTTCGGAAGGGATTCCGTCGATTATGTCGATTTCGATGAATTCTTACCACCACCGCCTAACTTGGATCATTACGATTATTCCAGACAGTTTCCGAGAGATCTCACTGCTCTAACGGTAAGCGAACAATCGAATAAAAGTTATTTCAGTCTAACATAATACATATTATAACGAAGCACGCGCGAGAGACTACGCATATAATCCGGATCTGCTAATATTTGGCTGCTCATCCTTCAAGAACTTTCGATCTCTACCCTTCACTCCTTCTCTCCCTTCCTTTATCTCGAGAGTCTAGCTCCACGAAGAAGGTGAAGATCGTATAGGTAACCTTAGCAACCGGTGATAATCCGGCATTTGATACTCCATTTTAGATTTCTACTCGTTCTCGAAAACGACCTTCCAGGTGAGCACGACGGCGGACATACTGCAGCAGGAGGAGGATGCACAACCAGACACGGATGGACCGGATTACACCGTCCGCCACGAGTTCGTGACCTTTGACCTCGAGGATCCAGTACCACCGCCAACACCTGTCCGAGGCTCCGTCCGAGACTCCGTCAGAGGCTCCTTCAGAGGCTCCGTCAGAGGCTCCGACTGGGCGTTCGCAGCTCTCAGAAGAACAACTCCCGTCTGATATAGCGTCAGGTATTTTCCAAGTTATAATTCTTTTGTTGCCGCGTTTGACAAAAAATCATGAGAGTGAATTTTTACGATGCGCGAGCACAACCATCACAAAATAAATAGGATGAAGTTAGTCGTGTCATAGCCAGTTTTGTGTGTGTCACGTGTACCATATATATGAAAAATCAGTTAGTTCTTTGATTGGTCATTAGATTTCGAATACCATTTGCCCGTTTCTCACAAATAAAATACTATATTTGGTCTCTATATACTTTTTATTATATTCCATATATATATATATAATGCTCTTCTACCTCTTATAGGTGAATAAACAGAATATTGGGTTTCACTATGAATAGACATTTTATTTATTACACAAATTATAATATAATGAATTCAACAATTAAATTTCATTTATAACAGTTCCTTAGTTTTCTTACCTATAAATAGAGAAACGACACTTAAGCTTATTCTTTCCTATCTTTTTTTTTTCATTCTGACGATCTTTCTTAATTTTATCCCTATCCACTCTGCCTACGTGTCACTTCTCCCACTACCGGCCTAATTACCTTCTTTTCTCTTAAAGAAACTTCTATTACACCCACAGATCACGCGGCAAAATTCAAATGGGTCCGTAGTAGTATCTGTACTACTTTATATATACAATTATAATAAACACAGATTTGATCATTTTTTAAATTTCATTATTTGTTATTATTTTGTTTTGTTACGCCAAAGAAATGTAACTTCTTGCGTGCGTACAAAAGTACACACACACCACACGTGTTTTTTTCATTTTGCCTTTCCCCTCCTATCGTTCGATTCTCGATCGTTTCCTTAATTTTCATTCGCCTATCATTGATCGCGAGAAAGTGAAATCTATTTTTGAATCAACTCACCAACGTTTGTGGAATGGGTCAAATCTTGACGTTTAACACTCTGCTCTGTTTGATTTCCAATCTATTTTCTACCGGAAAATTGTAAAAAACGAATGACCGTCGTGTAATCGCATCGATAGAAAATAGAAATCTCGATAATTCTCGGCCTGAAACACCACGCATCAATTGATTTTCTTTTATGTCAAACTCATGAACGTGCCATATTCGTCCTACTGGCATAGCCAAAGGGCAATGCACATTCGTGAATCGAGTTTAGAATCGTTGTTATGTAACATTCGTATTCGTCATTTTGACACAAAATTAGAACAATGGGAAACATTCAACGCACAATCGCTAAATTAAACAAAAAAAAAATAAAAACAAGCTCGCGCATTTATTTTTTTGACATAAATGGGGACGATCGAATATGTTTGATGGAATTCAAGTTAATCTCTAACCGTAAGACTGCTATTTGAATTCGGTTGTATTCGTGTTTTTTTAAAACATCGCCATTTAGAAATCCAAAAGGTCGGATGAAAAACCAAAATTACTCGTAGATCTTTTCATTTTGTAGTAAATAACTAGATACGCGTGTAAAAGAAAAATCTCGAGGAAAGTTAGAAACAAAAGTAGAAATATATTGTCTTGCTTGCACATTAAAATGTAGTTGTATTTTAAGAAATAAGAAATAAGAATAAGAGCCTTACTTTTGTCAGTTTGGCTGGTGGTGAACAGTAGTAAGATTACGAGATGTATGATATTAAAATTGTTTTTAGTTAATGAAAAATGCTCATTTCTTTCTGGTAACACTCTCTCTTAATATAGAACTCTTTTCATTAATTTAAGTGACGTCTCTATAAACATGCAATATGGTATACATACATATATACATTTTCTAAATGTTTCAACTTCAATAAGTATCCGCATTATTAATAAGCACCATGTTGCAAATAATGTACTCGCTTAGAATATTCTCTAACATGAAATATTTGCTATTTAAACTTTGCCTCAATAGATCTACAATTCTGAAGTTAGCCACTGAATTTCTCGTTACGCTAATCTTCCGTCGAAAATTTGTCATTTAATCGAGAGCGTGGATTAAATTGCGATCCTCTCGATTCGATTTTCATCCGAGTAGTATTGAAATATATTGACATTTCAATTACAGTTTCATACTCGACTTCCGGTTAGATCACAGAATTTTGAATAATTCTTAGTAGTATTTCTTATATGCAACACCTTATAAACTTTTGTTTAAAATTAGATACTTTATTTAATTATTCTTCAAAGATAATTAAATAAGTAAAGTGATAACCGCTTTATCGCGTTCCACTGCATTTTTAACTCTATTCGAACATACTGGAAGAAGAAGAAGAAGAAGAAAAAAAAGGATCATTTATTACTATCCAACAGTTAGTTCTATGTCATTCGTAGTCTCTGGAATTCTCCCTTTACAATTCGGGAAATGGTGCGGTCGATTCCGGTAGAATGTGAATCTTTGGAATGTGCAAAAGCATTTCACCACGAGTTTACAGTTTCTCTTGATAGTAGACGAAAATAATCGACTATTGTATAAAAATACATTTACACGTAATTCTAGTAATAGTTATTGGACAAGTCACCCCGATACATATATGTGTTTAAAGATTCTTGGACGTTTGCTCGACTAATCTCTCCAATTTCGCTATCCACAAATTGATTGTCCTAAAGTTTTAATTATCCAATATTTCTCTCTACCGTAGGTATGCGAGGTTGGTGCAAAAGGTCGACTGCGATGACGATGACGGCGACGACGATGGCGACGAGGACGAGGACGAGGACGAGGACGAGGACGAGGACGACGACGAGGACGAGAACGACGACGACGACGAGGACGAGGACAACGAGGACGACGACAAAATGGATGAGAAAGTGGAAAAATCCAAGAGGCAAGAGGAATTCACGTTGGACAAAAGCTGAAAATCATTGGAATTAACCAAAAATGGAATCTTTTGTTTGGCCATTGGAAATCGTAGAGGAGACTGTTCGAAAATATATTTGGGACATTTCCTTTGTTGAACTTTGGATAAACGGCCGTCAGGAAGTGTTAGAAAATATCGTGACGTCGTGGCACGCGATATAAGCCTTCGATTTAATCTGAAATTCCTGTAACGCCTCGTAAACGTTAATCGATAACCGAATATTATATAATCTCGCGAAAAATGGACGATTTCGAATGATTTTATTTATATCCTTTCGTTTTAATCGCAACATTTGCAAATATTTCCAAGCTGCGCGATTCTTTTTCACATATATTCATGTGAATACACATATTTCACATATATATTATATGTATAGGAATGATATATACAGGCATAGAAACAAATGAAAAGTAAACACGTTCTATCTTATATGCAGGCTGTCAGAGTTTTTTCTTCCATGGTATGAATAGGATAAGTAGGAACCCTGACACCCTGTAGAATAAAATTCTTCAATGAGATCGTGTCATTTCGTCGTATCGGAGAAAACCGTCCTATGATCCAGTATGAAGACAACAAAATATTCTACTTGTATCGATGACTAATGTTTTTTCTTTCGTCGTAATAAAATACAATAAAATACAAATGCAATGTGTACAATTTTGCTAATTCGGAGCAACGTATCCAGAAAAGATGACTGATATTTATAATATTAAACAAATTCAAATGTATTTTGTTGGAGGTCTACTGGAATTAATTACTGGAATTAATTACTGCAATATAAATGTACTTAACTAAGATCGATAGATTTTGTTCTTTTTCCAGAAATGAGTCATTCTGATTCATTCTTAACACCAAGAACTTTCATTTATATTCGTTTACATTACATTATGTTACTTTGTTTATTGTTCGTATACTATACAATGAAATGCAAAAAATAGTAGCCGGCTGCTTCGTAGATCGAAGTTAACTTCAATATTACGTACTCAGGTATTAAAGTCGACTGAAACTCGCTAACAATAAGATTAGGTGATACATTTATTGTTAGAATCAACCGACTGCTCTGTAATAGTTACGAATACATTAGTCATATATACATAAGTCAACGGAAGATGCTTGATAAGTATATAATATTACGAGCGTTTATTTGAATTCCGGACTCAATTGAAGAGCATATTTTCAAATCGTCTTAACAAATCAATATTTTATCGAGATAAAAATGATTCAAAGGAGATTTAACGGAGATCTAAGAGAAAGGGGGGGGGTGGGGGTAGGACACGTTTTTGAATTTTATTTTTAAATATCAGATTTTTCTATGAAAATTAAAGCAATCGTCTAATATCAATTATTTCAAACGTACCAATAATATGCGTTTCGATTTTTAAATAATTATACGAAATAAACTTACAATTAAAACACAAATATCATATCAAAATAATTGTGAATAATTATATATCGAAATTTATTTCAAATAATAATTGTAGAAAAATTGTAATTTTTTCTCATAATTGCGTCATAAATTTAAAACGTTTTGGAAATAAGCTTTTCATATATTATAAAGTAAAAAACGTATGACATTTATTCGTTATAATATCGCCTATGTACTTATGCAAATAACATCTTCGAGAGCATGCAATTGTTGATTAATTAAATATTCTTATAAATAACAATTTAAAAATTGTGTAACATGTTTAAATCGCGTGGACTAGCTGTAAGCATAAGATTTCTATCTTGTATCGATATTATAAAAAAGCATAACATAATTATACCCAGATTGTAAACTATTTGAAGACCTTCGGTAGGTGATATTACACGATAGGTTTTTACATACTTAAATGAAATCATTTTTAAACGATTATAGAAATCTACAGAATCTCTTTCGCAGCATATTTGTCTACCTAGTGATTACTACTGTAATCGTTTAACTAATCGGAAGAAATGACTGTTTTGCAATTACTATTAAATATTACAAGTAATTTGCGATAAAGGTGAAATTTTATAAAAGACAAAAATATTATTAATTTAAGATTAGAATATCCCCTACCTGTGTGGCAACGACAAAACCATACGTAACAACTACTATTTAATACTTACCATATATTTTCATTTCGTATTTTGTTATGCATCATGAAAAAATCGTATTGCCGAGATCAATTTGATCAATATTGAAAAGATTTTTTAAAAAATAATAATAAAATAATCAATAGTATATCAGGGTATTTTTATAAAGTATATATTGTTTAATTACACGAATGATATTTTCTAATCTAAATCATATTATCCGTCGAAAAAGAATATTATCGAATTTATTGTGAGATTTAAGTAAGTACTTTTTAATACAAATCAACCACATTTGTATTGACGCGCGCGCGCTTATAATCTGAAATAAATAATACGATTAAGAGAAATACTAGTCATAAATGAATACATAATTATTACTAGTACGTAATGTAAATTTGTTGTTTGTCTTCGATGGTGATAAGCTTGTCCAAACTTTACTGTTTATACAATAAAGGTTCATCAAAGCGAACACTTTGATGCATTGAATTATTTATTCTTTATCTTTTGGTGCAAGAATTACTGACGTGTGAATATTCACTGACTGAGTATGCGTGACTTTTGTAATATTTCATTAAATTCTAATCAAACGACTGTCTTTATTCGACCATTAACATTTTACTTTGATCAGTCATTTCTACCAGTAAATTTGCTAACGTCAATTTTCAGAACTGAACAATCGGACAAAGGAACTTTCGAGCAAACATTCTTCCCCAGTTTTCGCAAACCAATCTATCTCATCTGCCTAGATCATATTTTTTCACAACGATTACATTAATATTTATCTTATTAAAAATTATGATAATATGCTATTATCTATACGCGCGTATTTTGGTCTATTTTATTTTCCAAATGTTTTTCGGAAGACACTAGCATATTTTTCGTACGCTGGATATTTCACATATTTTATCGGGTAGAAGAATAAATATTATTTTGTAAATATTTAGATTAAAGTTTGAATCGATTTTTAACAATAGAGTTACATGACAAAACCGATTTTCTTTTAGATCAATTTGTACAATTTCTTAATAGATTTGCTTTTCATTTTTAAGTACATTAGATTGTCTTATATATTGCACAATATAATTTTGATATTTTATGAATATCAAAGAAACTAACAATTATCTACAACGATATAAAGATAGTTTTACTATTATAAAGTAATGCAATTCGAAAAGTGATTATTGTATAAGCCTTATTCAAAAAGGTTTATGAAGGTGAGGCAGTGTATCGATTAAAGGGGCGTCGAGAATTACAAGATAGAAATACGAATCACCCTGTATATAGGATTCGTATCGAAGAAGACCGGTGAATCGGTTGCGTTTACGATTTTTTTTTCTTGACCAAGACCTTTCGTAAAAACAACAATTATGACCATATTCCAGAGTAACAATTTGTAAAACGTTGATAAGTAATACACGACAAATAAATTTATACATTTCATCTATAATACGTCATTTCATTATCGACTATATTTAAGTTCTGTTTATAAGTATATCGCGCATTATTAATATATCATATTTATAAACTATTTCAAATTCGTATTACGCGAACGTTTCAATATGTTTGTCCGAGGTAATAAAATAATTGTGAGTCGTTTGTTTCTATATAAAGTATAAAAGAGAATTTCTATCAATAGAGTATAAACATTCCTAATTGGTAAGATTATTGAAAATTCTTCTGTTTTTTTTTTCTTTACATTGTAAAATGTAAATCGTAATTCGTAATTTACGATTAAATGATATTATCTTTACGAGATAATTAATTAGAGATATGTTTACCATCGATTGGTTTTCGAAGCCTTCTCTCTTTCTTTCACACACCATACTCACACACCCGCACACACAACATACAGAGAGTTTCCTCTCATATTCTTTCTCTCTGATAGTCATACACGCGAATACATTTGACAAGCATACAGGAAAATATATATATGTATATGGGTCATTCCATGTCATATCGACAAATTTTTTACCTGACCCCCTTTGATTTCGCTGAAAATTTTCTATCTTTTTCTACCCCCCGAAAGTTATTTTTCAGAATTTTTTCAAATTTTTTTTCCCGACTCAAAAAAAGTTATGAATTTTTGAAAAAAACCGCTCTTTTATTTTTAAATTGCCAGAACTTTTTCAAAAATTGACCGTTTGGGAACTTTTTTTTTTTTCA